TTGCATCTATCAGTCAAATCACGCCTACCTCGATAGTATTTCGATAGTAGGTCGAGGCTCCGTTCTCACTGCTTTCAACCGCTTCTTCTCAGGCCCGTCCATCTGGTTCTGGCGGAGAAGGCATTCAAAAGCTGCTTGCAGGACCCACGGGTAGTCGTAAATTTCTTTCCAATCCTTTTCGTGGATGTCGTGGGTTTCGAGGAGCTTAGGAATCATCAGTTGGCAGACGATCTGTTTCATTTCCATCTGAGCAGCGACGAGCAGAAGCTTGATGGTGAGATGTGGAAAGGCTTTCCAAGCTATTCTTTCGATGAGATCCTGAATCTCGAGCTTCAGTGCCGGAACATCATACTTGTTGTACCAGTGGTGCAACATATGAACCCTCGCCGGAGTCGCCTGGCTTCGCTCCTTGCGCTCGAGCAACGATACGACTGACAGAAAATCTGCTGCGCACTCTCCCGCAAGAGGTATCGGTTGACCATCACCCACTTCCAGCAGTCTTGCAAGCACTTTGAAATGATATATGGTGCCCATGCTTACTACAAGCTCATCTTGCTCGAACTTGACGACGACAGGCTTCTCCATAAGCTTCTCCAATAGCTGGATGTCACCGTCTCCCTCGACTCCGCCAGTCGCTCCAGTTTCCATAACTTGCCGGCTGGATTGAATGGCACCAGCCCCTTTGCTGTCTTGCAGCTGCTGCTTGTCATACAACGTCAACGGTAAAATGCAAAGTGTTGACGTAAGGCTGCATGATGCTGCATGCATGACATCGGAGTCTGCTGCAAGTTTCTGAACACAAGAATAATCAACCTACACGGGCCTGAACGTGCGAATGTCACAATATCGGATTCATAAATTTTTGTTCCCCAGTACACCGAGCTACTTCGAACCGGGGGCTTGTCATTGGGATTACCCCGAGCATCTGAGTCGAAGTTCCTGAAGAGTAAGGAACTGTGAGTGGAATTCCTGGCTCAGAACAACGCTCGGCAGTGCTTTTTCTCCAGCAGGTGCTTCACTCGCTAACGCTTTCGTTCGCGACGAAGTGATCCTTGAGGGCCTCCTGGGGTTGGGGCTAACGGCTAACTTTCAATAGCCACGAACATAACTACCCTTACTGCCAATACCAGATTGCGGGTCGTTCGGGCTTGCCTCACTGCGGTCATCAGGTTTAAGAACGTTGTAATTAAGCATGCAGTATTTCTGCACGTTACACTGTGCAGCTGATTTGCAAGTTAAGACAACGTCGAAAAAGCCTTGCGACGTGTGCTTCAGTTATATTCTGCCGCTGCTGCCATCCCTGTTGCGAATGTTCTCAATGCTGCTCCTCGACTACTCATGCGGCACCCAGCCACCACGGAAATACATGCATAATAAAGGGTCCAACCGTGGAGGTAGTCAAGACGGACTATCAATTCGCCCATCAATGCTGCAGGGGAATATATGCAAGCATGCACAACAAAAAGCAATAGCATCTTCGAAAGCAAGCCAGCGCCTTCGACAAAGCTCGTTTTGCAGAAACAAACATGTACTAAACATGGTCAGCCAAGCTCTGTACATGAATCGTTTCGCAGCCATATGTATCTATATATATATATATATGTAGGCATGTATGCATGTAAGCATGTATGTACGTCATATCTGTATTTCGATATATATATATATATATATATATACGTATGTTTGTATATATGTATATACATATACAATGTATTTGTACTTTTGGGGTATCTTTTACTTTGCTGTGTTCACAAGCACATACACACCCTTCACACCTGAACCTAGAGAACCAACACACACACACACACATGCACAGAGATTCTGTTAATTGTGGATGGTCTGTGCCCGCACGTATGTACACACATACATAAATACGTACGCCTACCTACCTACCTACCTAGTCATGACTACTCCAAAGGTACGTATGTACGTATATATTGCAGCAGTCGCCGGTTACTTACATACACACGTGCATCGACATGGAGAAGGTGCCGCCGCCTGGGCACCGAGGCGTTGATTGGGTGATGCGGCGAGTAAACCTTCCAGCCTCAGATCCAGGGGAAGTTTTCCAAGCGGCACATTTTTGCTTCTCGATGTGTGCAAGTGGCACATGGGTTCAGGGGTAACTGCGGGGAATTAGGGTGTACGCGACTAGGGGTTTCGGGGTCTAAAGCAGAGGGTGATGCTGATTTAGCGCATCCGGACTATCGCAGGACAGAATGCATAATCATTTCAACATGTGGAGGCAATGATTCTGAGGAATATCCATCACCAGGACCATCTGCACCAGCATCGCTATAAGTACCTGCAGCACCAGCATCACCACAACCACTGCCACCATCAGTGCCGCACCGTCGCCATCGTCATGATGAGGATGATCATCCACAAGATCAAAAGCACCAGTCCCTGCTATGACCTTTTGTGACAAAAGTTTTGTCAGCTTGATTGCTCAGCCCCCAGCAGTGCCAGGAGCGCACCGTGCTGGGGCAGAATCCGCTGTTGCAGGGGCTTTGCCATGTTGATCACCTCCTGAGCCTCCCAGCCGATGGCACGAAGCTTGTGCTTCAACCCACTAACCCGCTCCCATCCTCGAAACTAGTTCACCAAAGGCCCGAAAGAAGCATGCAAGGCTGAAAGTGTGCTTTCGATGAGAAGGCGGCCGCCCTGAATGAAGACTTTTGCAGCCAGCCCCACATCTGGCAGTTTGAAATGCAGCACCTCGTCGATGAACTTGCGGTTCAGCCGCAGAGAGCCTGCAGGATCATTACTGTCCAGCTTTACGGACACCCCCTTGTTTTGGCTTTCTGCTCCGCAGTTCAAGCCTGGAAGTGCCTTTGGTGTGCGCAAGGCAATGCAGCCCCAAGAGAATGCCACACACTTTCAATGGTCTGATGATTTCTCCTACCTGCAGTTTGCTAAATCCGTGTCTGGCCAGGTACGGTATCATTACATAACTTTTCCAGTTAGTATTCTCAGCCATGAGCGTGTTGTATTTTTCAAGCTTTCCGACAAAAGTTTGTTCTGTCGGAAGACTTCCATTTGTGCGCACCACCTGCGTGTGTGTGTGTATATATGTGCGGGCGATCTTATAGTTTTGCCGAAGCCGATTGCAACGCTCTTTTGTTGTCCTAGATCCCAAAGCACAAGCCGCGGAGGCATAAGGCCAGGACCTTGGCTATCGACGGAGACATCCTCTGGCAAGCTGCCTCCTGCAACATCAATCGCCCAGTGTAGGCTCAGGGTGGTGGCTTGCAATATTGCAACCAAAGAGCAGGCATGAGCAGGCGTTCTTCGGAAGTCAAGCGCAAAGTGCATCAATCACGAGTGCACATGCCAAGCAAGGAACCTGCGGCAGCACTGCGCAACATCTCGCGCGGAAGCTCGCCTTAGATCAGCGCCAGTGCAGGTCTGGTTTGGTTCGGAAACAGGAGCTTGCACATCTCTACTGCTACCGGTGACTTTGCTGTTTTCATCTCCATATCATGCAAAGCTTCCGATCAAACGCTCCATCAATGCCAGGTGGTGAAGGCTGTTCTGCACCGGGAAGGGGCGCTCGCCAGTGTAAAGAGTCAGCAGGATGCAGCCGAGACCTGGGTGCAAAGCAACGGGCGACAGTGGTCTCCTGCTGCGCGGACCACTATATCACGTAAGCTGCTGCGAATGGCCTCGGCAAAAACCGAAACTGACGAAGCGTGTCTCGGGACAACTCGTCCCCTCGCTGAATCCCCGGTCCCCAACTTCAACTGAGCTCGCCGCTCCACACCTCAGCTCGGGTTTGGAGCCGACATCGATTCAAGGGCCCAACTAGCCAGTGAGGCTTCAACCCATTCTACAGCTGCTTGCGCAGGAGCCACTATGAGCCGAGAGCGCTGCCCCTAACGAATCTGCAACTGTTGAGCTTGCACCAACAGCGACCACAAGCAGCAACACTCGTGACGGTATTGAATTTTTAATCAGGTGCAACCTTGCCAAGCCACATCCGTCTTCTCGTCCCACGGAAGTCCCAGAACCACTTCCGGAGATCTGTACTGCCTCGTCCCGACTCGCTTGCTGTGCCGCTCTTTCTTCAGCCTCGGCGAGGGATGTGTCCCTGAGGGACTTCAGGGTACGGGGTTCAGGGTACTTGAAGCACTGCGCCAAAAAGAACGCTGTCTTTGAATGGCCCAAAAGAAATCTGTCTTGGAATGGCCATGCTCAGCGGAGCCAGGTGGCACAGCACCGCCAAAGTCGATGACACGAACTTCCTTATATACGTGGGCTCTGTCAACTTTTGATCCAAGTCTTGATGAACACACATCTGGAAGCAACTTTGGCCAGATTCTGAGTCTAGCCTAAGCACCGTTCGGCCCAAACCCAAGCAGTCTTGCTCAAACGTGGGAAACCTGCTGCAAAGAATCGCATCGGTGCAGCTTCTTCGTTTCCCGCCCTGGCTTGCGTGGGTGGGGCACCTCAGCGGACCCAAAGCTCCATGTAGTATGGCATCCATGACCTGCTACTATAGCGACAAGGACTGAAGCCGAGACCAATCTAGCTACAATACTGCTCGGTCTTGGAGGCTCAAAGCTTACATATCATTCTGAGAACGGCGCCAGCTCACCTCTGGAGTCCTTTAGCATGGCATTTCGGCATTTGATGTCCTGGGCAATGGGCTCGCAGCACAGGCTTGCATGACTCCGCGCGTTTCATGTTCTATGCATCTCCGTGTCACGGAACATGTGCATGTAAAGACTGTGAGAGTGAAGGCTCCATTCGTGCGATGCTCGTGACTGGAAGCTGCAACTGTAAAGCATTCACCCTCATTCAGCCCAGCATCGGTGTGAGTCAGGTTCATGGCATTGAGAAAATGCAGACACTGAAGGATCTGGGAAGCAATCGTCCTGATGTCTCCTGGAAGTGCTGCTGACAGTGCATCTTTCTCGTGCATAGACAAACGAAACCGAAACGACGCGGGGAGACGGATATTAGCAGTACTGCAACATGGTTTCGACGCGCACACCCGCAGAGGCAGATGCGGCTTAAAGCGAGTCCAGCTTCGTGGTTTGGGAACTGTAGACATGTGTACGCAGGCGAAAGCAAACATCATCTTCATGGTGTTATCTATGCCGGACTTCGTGCTGATGAGCGCAAGCCACTCATGATTAACCCCCCGAATAAACGACAGCCTCGAACTCCCGCCCTCGGCTACGAAAAACTCAGAAAGCCTTGAAGCCGATTGGGACATACGGACCCCACGCCCCAAGCAGCCAAGAGGCTCAGCATCAGCCCCTCGTCACCGGTCTCTCCTGAGCTCTGCTCCCGAATCCTTCCTCTCCCAATCTCATCGGTTTGTGTGAGACCCGACTCGACCACCCCACAACGAAGTCGCAAAGCCGGACGAAGCCGCTGCGCCCTAGGAACCCTTTGAATCCTGAAGCTTGGAAAATCAGCTGAAGACTGGCTGAGCTCAGGAATTTCTTCGATGTTTATGATATCTTCTTTATAACCCTATCCGACCCTATCACTCAGAAGATTTGGAGCACAGGCTTGAGCTGACTTTGGGAAGAGATGCATGCCAAAGAATCACGTGCGCACCATTATTCCCTGCCACATACAGCCTGGTGCCTAACAGCATAAGAGCTTCCGTGCGAAACAAACCGTCGTGTGCTGAGCAAGGGTCGCATGAAGTCGCTGAGGCTCTTGTCCAGCAGCTCCTCAGCAGGCACCGATCTGTGCATCTTCGAGATTGGGCGTATGCCTCACTGCCTCACGTATGTTTATCGTTCACTTGGACTTCCTACCTGTGTTCAGTCTTATCATATTCATGACCGCTTCTAGACATGTACGCACAAGCTTAAACAGGCGATCCAGGGATGATACCTCTGTCTTCGGGATCAGGGGTGCCTTGTAGCTTGTAGTGCGTTTGGGAACAGGGGTGCCTTGTCACTTGTAGTGCCGCAACTTGGCCGAAGGCTTGCATGCTCTTCCTTCCACAAGCTTCAACGTCATGCTATACCAAGTCCACCTACCAGTAATTCCAGATCAGCAAAGCTGCGACAGTCAGAAGCTCGTCAGGGATGGGGTTCTCGCAGCAAGAGTTTCGCATGTCAAGTTCGGTGAAACTGATTTCTCCTCCATGACCACGCGCGACTAAGCAAGCACCTCTCCAACTCACAATGTCCAGGATTGATGTTCCGTTTTGCAGATATCGACTCTGCTGCCAAGAAGCGAACACGAGGCAGCAGTGATTCAGGTCATGGGTAAACTCCCCCAGCAGCTTGACGCAGTAGCTCTGTCGGCCCGGATCACCTGGATGTGTCAAAACTCACTTCCTCGCGCACGGAGACACCATCTAGCCTGTCAATCACAGTGCTAGCTGTGCTAGGCCGTAGATTACAAAACCCTGCAAACCGAATATGAATCCGCCGCAGCAAGCCTCTGGGGAGGAGAGCCCGAAATTGGATCCCTGAGAACACGACTGCCTAAACCCAATATCGAGACCCGGCATGCAGTCATGGTGCTTGTCGCTGACAAAACTGCATTGGCGGATTTGTTAGAACAATGTAGAACCTGCTGGGCATGTCGCATTATTGCATTATTTCTTCTGTCTGCTACTACTGCCGTGTTGCCGTTGCTTATGATGCTGGCATTGCAGGAAGGTCACAAACTCGAAAAACAGTCTCACACCCGTCACGTGCAAGACACATCTCCGTATCTCTCGCAAAAGCTCTGCTTCCGCATGCGCGTGCTCCTTGTACCGGGCCACGCCTGCCGAGGAACTTGCAACAAATCTGGGCGAGTATTCCGAAACTCCAGGCACTCTAGCGTAAGACACTATTCCCTGCCAATCGGAGACGGGTTCATTGTGTCATTGTGACCACTAGCAGGCCACGGCCAACCATTTGGACAAATATTGGGGTTGGGACGGTTGGGAGCCCGCAAGCCGGTATACTCCACTCCATGTGCTCCACGACCTGCAACCCTCAAACCCCTAAAATGTAACACTCCAAGCAACCAACCCATAAACCCTGAACACTTCCAAAGGCCAAGATCTGGGTAGGATTGAATGTCGAACCCCTGTCTTCAGTCCCACAAAACCCACAGCACCGGGCATGGGCTTCTCCACTCCGACGGATATCGACGGATGTTGTCGGGCTGGTGGGGTGTCAGGGTTACAGACATCCGAATACTGTGGCATGAGCCCGGAGTTGTTCGAACAGTTGTCTAAAAGCCAATTCCAAGCGAACATGCTGTATGTACTGTAGAAACGTCAGCCCTCTGGTCAAGTATAGATCCACCCCCCCGACTCCAGATCCCTTCTGAAACACCCCAGCTGCCTTTCACCACCTTCACAGCCACCATCTGCTTGGAAGTCTCCTCCAAGCAAGCCAGGACCCGGCCGAAGGAGCCCTCGCCCACCTCGTGGCTCTTGGTATTATACGGATATACGGATCTAGGGGGTTTTCTGTTGGGCTCTGCAAGGGGGAATGGAGGCACCTCGCGGAAGGCGCCATGTCGGGCTTGGAACTTACGAGGACCCTTTACGCTCCCGCAACTCGGAACTCTGCCAGACGAGGTCTCTCGGCTCGTGCTGACTACAAGTAGGGCTCAGGTCAGCCCCACAGGATACAGCGAGAAAAAAGTCAAGCCAGGACGAAGACCTTCGATCCAAGGAGAACTGCGATGCGTTGATCGACAGGGGTTTCACGAGCTATCCATTTTGCCCCACTCACCTGTCGCCATCTATCTCAACAGAGGAACCGGGCATTGCAGGAGGACACACTAATGGACCTGGTTGTTGTAGAGTTCTCGATGGGTTAGTCATTAGTCGGTGCTTGCATCCAGAGTGCTAGCGCTGGCACTATCACGCAACATGATCGGCGCCTGCTTCCGGACGATGTAGTTCCCAGTTCCCAGCTTCTGGCCACGCGTCCAGTGAAAGTGCGGAGTGTCCCGATTGTGCTTCCCTTGGTGGCGTGGGCTCTGAAGACGACTCATGCATCCCTGTCAAGAAGACCCTCATCCTGTCACTGGGCCAGAAAAGCCAAGGCATGAAGCAGCAGTGATCGCCATGAGCTTTAACCCTCCCTACACCCTGCGAAGGTTAGACTCCTGCAACCTTCAGACGGCAACTCAAAGTTGAGAAATCTTCAAGTTCTGGTTGGGTTGGCTGACGCAGGTTCCGCCTGAAAATCTATGCCATGGGCGTTTGAGGATGCTTCCCCAGCTTAACCTGAGAATCATACTCACCGAATTCATTGCTCCGGTAGTCAAAGTTGGCGCGGCAGCAGTTGCGCTACTTCAACTCGAGGATGCGGGAGTGAGACGCACTTTACACCCAGAGCCGGACCGGGCCGACCAGCTTGGGTGAGGTCAACACGTAAAATTCCTTTAAGACTCAACCAAACTCCCCAATCCACCCGGATTTCACAACTCAAAGGCGGCATGCAGTTGCAACAACCTTCTGTTGAATTCAAGCCACATAGCTGGTGATAACCTGTCGCCTGCAATTGCAATCGGGCCGCTTTCCTCCGAGTTTTCGCTGGAGTCGGCTTGATGCTCTCCTGCGGGCCCTGCATGCAGCATTGCATACCGTCTCACGTCACATAGACGTCGACATCAGTGCTATAGCAACCCGAAACTGCAACGAGGAAGGCGGCGGATAGATGACATGCCAGGCGGAGTAGAGTGCCGAATGCTTAGTTCGCGTCGCAAGGGAGAAACAACTTTGCCGCTCTGCGATCGCGCGTCCTGCGGTACCATGAACTCCACACACTCAATCACAGATTCCCAAAAAAGTCTGGATGCCGGGAGAAATGCTTGTCTTCCTATGCCACAGCAACATTGACCGACATCCTGCCCTCTCTTGGAAACATGCCATGCCATGATATGCAACGTCAAAGGCAGAGTCACGAAGTACTGGGGCGAACCAGCCACCCTGGTTCTACCGAAACCCTAAACACTAAGGCTCTCTAAGGTAAGCTTGAAGGTCCTAAAGAAAACAAAGCTGAGTAGGATCTATAAAGACTAACACTCGGCTACTTTGAAGGTCAGGGGCCTCTGGCCGCATCCTCCCGGGGAGGGCTGCGGCTCCGCTCCTTCGGTGGCTCTTCGTCGCCTCCCGCCGTGTGGGAGCTGTGCCTATCATTAAAAGTAACTGTTGATACTAATAGTAACTGATACTAAATACTAACTGTTGCTATTCATATTAGTATGAGTAACCCCAAAATTCAATACTAGTACACCGAAGTCGCCAAGCTTGAGTTTGGCGTTTGTAGCTTCTGGGTCCTGTCTTGTGCTTTTGTTGCGAGTGTGTTTTATTTGCTGAGTGGGCAGGGACCCACAAGCACATCTCGCTCGATCGGGCCAACGAGTATTAAACTCCCGCATTCAGGCCTGGCCGTTGCAAGCCTGTGAAAACTGATTTTCGCATGTCCAATAGTGCTACTGTCTATAAGGCATCTCTACTTGAGTTCTATATTAGGGGCCTTAACAGTTACTACCTATAGTATGTTGGGGGTTCCTTATGATGTTTATAGTTACAGGCTTCCGCTCCGGCTCCAGGCTTTCACGCCTGAGGCGCACGCCGGTCTGTCTTCCAACATCCTACAGATAGTCTGCCCATGTCGACCTTTTGTTTTTATCTGATTGCATCTGTTACTAGTAAGAAGTTCTACAAGAAAAGCAGCACTTTGGTAGCATATTGGTTTCGACTCTTCCGCCCGCAATGCCAGGCAAGCATTCTATGTGTGGTTAAGGGTGTAGAATGAAGACGCGTAGACAGCTTGACACGTCTGGGGCCTGCAGGGCAGTCCTCTTAGGTTCAGTGGTCTCAGGCGCCTGGAAGGCTGTTTCCATGCAGACACAGGACACTTGTTCTCTTTGTCTTCAGGAGGCAGGGCACTGGCACCATGTGTGCTGGTTATGCCCCCAGACTGCAGATACGAGAGGCCCTAGACCCTGTAACTCTCTGACAGCTCGCTTTGGCTGGCTCAGGAGAGGACACACAAGACAGGACTTGCAGACGCTTAGGCACCTGGCATGTTGTGCTGCCAAGTTGTGGCAGACCAGGCACACTTCAGACAGGGCTTAGGCATGTGACTTACTGTGCCACACTGTGTTGGCTCGCAGGGCGCACCTTTGGTGTGCAGCGGCTAAAGCTGCTGACTTCGGAGCTGACAGGCTTCACTAAGGACACTCAGCGTCGTCGATGACTGGATGGCTTGCAGTGCAGCTAAGGACATGTTTCCTTTTCCCTTTCCCCTTTCCCTCCTCGGCGGCGGCGACGCCGCTGGGCGTGCTGGCTACGAGTGGGCTTCTGGCTTCACACGGTGTACCAGCACGTGAACAACACTACCAAGGGTGTAGAATGACAGCCTTTATCCTCAAGGATACTGGACTGGACTCCAACCCCCAGTTTACGAAGCTCTGAACTGTTGCAGCTCTTGTAGTACCAGTAATGATCACCACAAACCAGCATTGACAAGATCTATGCAAGACCCGTACACCCCGTGTCCCGTGTGGTTTCTGGATTCAGCTGCGGAGCTGTCGTGGGCGAGTCTGCCCACCACGCACTCACGCAGTGCCAGAGACTTTCTGTAAGGGGTTTGCGCTCTCACAACTCGGACATGCAAGGCCAGATCTTTCAGGTGCGTGTTCTCCGAACAAGTGATGCAAAAGAAGGAAGCCCTCCCGAGCAGAAGCCAAACACATAACCACTCCACTTCCCTTCACCTTCGTGCTAGCGGTTCAGGATCTAGTGTAAGATGTGACCCCACACCCCATAGGGTAAAGAAATATAATTAGGCTTCATTCACGAGGAGTTTCGCAGATATCTTCGACAGGTATCTCTCACTCTACAGAGCTGCTCGCTTGGCCTGGTGGCTTCTCCTTCTCTTTGGGCTCCACCGGGTCGGCGCCTTCCTGAACTTCATAGCGGAGAAAGAGAGAAGATAAGATAATGAGGTATTCGCACATATTTGACAATGGAATGGTATTCATATGTGTGCGTGCGCACATGTATGCGCATTTTTACATGTACGATCTTGCACACGCTTCCACGGCTTCCCGTGGGACAGTTCGAGCTCTCGCGGTGGAGGTCAATGTGGGTGTCTTAGGTATGCCGAGTGAGTCCCACTTGGGCCATGCCTTCAAAACCGTGCTCCTGCGTCCAATGCAGCTACCGTTCAACATCGGCCTGGTGGGCCGTGACTAAGACGCTTCGGGGCATTCGTTAAAGTTATTGTTATTACTATTATTGTTATTATTACTACTATTATTACTATTTGGCTCCCACTTGGCTGGTATTATTACTATTACTGTTATTAGCATAAAGGCGGCTTCGCGAATATCTTCGGAGGCCACGACGGCGAACGTGCGCACAGTGGCTTCTCAAAGTCAGGGAGGCATGAAGCTAAGACGTATACTTGTACTTGTTGCTCAATCCTGCATGCAAGCCCGGGTCGTGCTGGATTGCAAACATATTACGACATGGCGAACAAACTTCTTGATCTCTAAATCCATCCGACACATCCGTGCGAGCGCCACTGTGAATTTGGCCGAAGCTGACCCGTGGTTGTATAGGTGAGGTACCAAGCCCCAGCCGTAGAAGGTTGTCTCTTGCCGCGGACTGCTTCGCATAGAAGAAAACTTCCTTACTTCAGGCAGATGTAGCCTTCACCTTTTGCATCTTCGGTCCTAGCTTTGCAGCATGCCACATCTGGACAAAGAACATCTTGTGGAAACGTGCCCTCTACAGTTAAGGACATGGAATGGCGTATGCCACACGAATTGCAGCGTAGACTTCCACGGACGAGTCAAGCCTCTCGGCCCTGTCTGACTGGAAGCATCGCAGAATCGCAGAATAAATTGAAACAACAGGCGCAATCAGCACACTCTCACTCTCTCTGACTTAAGTTCAAGCAACTGAAACTGGTAGAATCACTGGAGCCAAGGTGCGAAACGGGTGAGGCCAAGCATGCCTTCAGAGACTCCAGACGCCGCATGATCTCCTGGACGGGTGATCTTGGACCATATTCTGGCCTTCAAAAATGATGCTCCATGCCGATGCCTCTCGTTGCAGGAAGATGGCTGGTAAACGCGACGGACCGGAAAGACTATCTTCGTCACAGGCTATCAGACAAACAGAAGCTGCCGGGAGCAACAGCAAACGAGGCAGGTAAGTGAGCCACAAGCACGTGCGAGTCTGCCCAAACTCGAAGATGACCCATAACATCTCCCTACAGACCGTCAACCCGCCAAGCTGAACAAGCGCCGACTTGCTTTCAAGTGAGGCCCCGAGCTGACCTGCGCGCAGCCAATCAAGCTCTTCCTGGCCATGCGGACCTGCGGATTCAAAGATGCAACTCGCTTTCTTGACGCTGCTTTGAAGTATTTTACACAAAACCTGGTGGGTCCAAAGCTTGCGGGGGTCTCTTGGCTGGGCCTGGGATTATGGCTTTTCTTCGGGCTGGGCGTCTGCTGATTGCTTGTTTTCCCAGCCGCCCCGCCCACAAATCGCGCCGCAGGGACATCTCTCCGAAATGACTGGGACAGAGATTCGCTGCGCATGTTCACGGCAAGCATGTACTCCCTCTAGCCAAAACAACTCTCAAGTGAAGAGGGAATACATGCACGCTTCGAACTCAAGGGGATTGCAGCGTGGCGCGCAGGCGCAGGATCTAGGCATCTTCTTGTCGAAGCTTTGAGCCCCAACCCTCTTAGGCGGATTCTCACCGTTATTCAGTCAGGCGGAGATCACGGCAGGCAGCCCGAGGCAGCCATGGATCTTAATGGTCAAGACAGGCTGCAAACTAGCCATTTCTCCGCTCAACATCCGATCAGTTTTTTTCTCGACTAGGGACCATCCTAGGCCATCATCTGCTCGAACCCATCATGGCAATCATCAGAGAGCAACCCCCGGCTGTTGAAGCAGCCCAGTCCCCACGTCCCCGTATCCCGTTTCCACGAACCAACCACAGAGCTTGCAAGCCATTCTAAATTCCGCACCGAACCGGATGCAAACAAGGGGCCGAGTCGCGGTCGCCCCATGCAGGCTTAAGGGCATCGAGATCGATGTCGTCCAGCTTTTGCATGTCGTTTTGGACCTGCAGAGCTAAGTCAGTCTGTACTGAAACGACTAAGTGAGCACTACTATCGCTCTGCACGAGTTCTTTTATCACTTCCATAATTACACAGAAGCATGCAGGAGCTGATACACACATGTGTCTGTACTTATGTATTTAGCACCTGCTCTGCGCTTAGACTCGATGTCAATGTGCAACTCGCTTCGCATGTGTGCATCTGTGTGCAAACGTATGTTCACGCAATTGCTTGGGCACAGCATTTTGCAACAGTTACATCTCTTCGACAAGCGTTTGCTGCATGATCTTCGTCTTCACCTGCTATGTGCAAAATAGACCCGCCGTTGTGTCAATGCCCTTGAGCGCCTTCGTCAGCGCTGTGAGAACCTCTTTGTTTGCTTCCTTGGCTCGACTTGTTTAACGTTGCTTCGTGGAATTCTGCTGGGCGGAAGAAATAGCTTGGCCTGCTATGTCGCCAAAACTCGATCGTCCTCTCCGCAGGGAAGTCGCCTGAAGTTACCCAGGGTCCACATCTCTGGATCAGGTCGTTCACCTGGTCATCTCAGCGCGAAGTACTAAGCTCGCCAGCTCATCACAGAAAGACCTCGAGTTTCCGATCAGACAGGAGGCATGGCGCATGCTCTCCAGCATAGCAGCACCAGTCGACTTCACAGCCGGGTGCTCCGTAACCATGAGCGCCTGAGTCTTACAGCACATTCCGCAGCAGTAAACATCCAGTTTGCTGGTAGACTGGCTGACGACATCAGGCTTGAAGCTGCGGCCTGAAGGTTCCAAATCTCTGAGGATTTACAAGGCGGGCCATCGGGTCGCATGCACTCATGTTTTCGTCCTGCGCTGCGTCGCGACCGTAGCCACGATTAATCATGAGTACGGGGAAACAGCGACGATTTGCTGCCTCCACATCTGCAACAAAACCAACTACTACCAAAATCAGAGCATTGATGGCGTAAGGCTAGACTAGCCGAGACGAACACGACTACCTACGAGCCTACGCATTTATACAGTGCTGTCTTCGAATTACGATGTATGTCAGCTTCAACAGCAGATACATCATCTTTGAATTCCCAGCAGCCAAATCCAGGGTGCCATCGTCCTGCTTCAGTCATGAACCGGTCAAGTATGGAGGCGAATGCAAGATCGAGTTTGCCTCTTTAATCCTCTTTGTCGAAACGTATGTATTCGTTGACGAGGCTGCAAGATTCTCTAGGAACTCGAGAATCTCGATCGAGCGCTAGTCTAGCCCATCAAGCATGCTCTGAGATCGGTTCAAAGATTTGAACGTGATGCGTGGGCCCCTGTCTAGAGCAAAGCATGTGCACGGTTACGGTGTTGTACGACGCACACAAGCAGCCGGAACTCGGATTGAACACCTGATGTGTCAGCATGTGGCAAGGGACCGAGCTGTAGTGTGGGAATGCGTTCGGGCCACTTCCCGATCCAGAGCTGAATCTGTCGAGTTGAAGCCAACGGCTGCGAGCTTGCGCCGCCATCCCATGCTCATATCTCCAAGCTTAAAGCCGATACCCTTGTACAGCCACACCTGGCCGCCTAAATGTGCAAAGCCCGAGAGCCCTCTTCCCACAATCCTCCAAGGGAGCTGCATCGAAGGACTTGGAGGTTCCATTCATCGCACCACCATGGCAAGGTCACTCCTAGCTTGGCCAGAATAGCTCCGCTCTGGGGCTTCGAAGAATCGAACCCCTTAACGTCCGTGGCAACGATGGTTTAAGGCTGATAGGGTGGGGCTTGGACCTGGGGGCCAGCACGAGCGTACCACCACACTTCAGTTTGCTAAGTTGGCTGGGCGATCTGGTCGCGCAGGTTGGCTGCAGCACAATGGGTTGGAGTTGAACGGAGTTTGGGGTGTGGAGGGCTTTTGGATGCTTGGGACGATGTGCAGCTTGGCAGGTGCAATCGCTTCGGTGGTGCTATGGGGTGGTGGATGAACTCGCCCAGAAGCTGTCGGCTGTGAACTGCATTGTCTTTATGTCATGTGAACTTATTGCAGTCTGTCTGAGCCATGGGCACCGGCGACAAATAGGCCTTACGCAGAGTTGCTGCAGCCTGATGTGATACTGTTACGAAAGCCGCGAAAGCCACCCCGGCTCGTGATTTCCTGTCAGCAGAAAACAATGCGCCGAAGGACGAGAAGGCTTCAAAACGTAACGTGCACAACTCCCGAATCTACATAACTTTATTATGCAATCGAAATCCTATTCGAACACAGAGCCTGCGTCGTAACTAGTGCCCGGCATCCGGAGCTACATAGGTTTGCTAGCAAAAATCACACCACGCCTCAGCATTTTGCCCGCTAGGTGGTGATCTCGCGCATGCCAGGCCGTCCGCGCTCCCGCTTTGGCCAGCTTTGGGATATTCTCGCATGGCATGAAACTTCGGAAATGGTCACGGCTCAGGATCAGCAAACACCCTAGGGCTAGGGCTCTAGGGCCCGTAAGCTTCTGGTCACTGCGCGACGGTAACCGTGACCGAGAAGCAGGTGTGCCGCTAATATAATACAAGGGCCGAGAAACCTTGGAGGACGGATTTTGGGGTACCATGCCATGGGCCCTGCTACTTTCATGACCCAGAGAACAAGCTAAGATCTCCGCTTCGGTCCTTGTATTGTTCATGGAACTGCAGCCAGCGGCTTGGCTACTGATCGCGAGAAGAGTGGCGTCGGTCCACGAGTTCTCTTGTTTCGGGGGCGTCAAGCTCTGGTAGACTTCGGGGGTGGGTCGAAGAAAATTGCATCCACGCTCCGTGGTGGAATTTCCTGCCAGCTCTGACCGGCGCTTCTTGGCTGCCAGAGACAGAGAGTCAGCAAAGCCTGCCATGTCGCATCGCTTGCCTCAGTGTGAGTGCTCGCAGCTTGTCAGAAGGTGTATGAGCCCTTCCTGATAGGGCCGTGGGCACAAGCACTGAAGTTCGTGATGCCATGAGACTGGAGGCTTTCAGGCCCAGCCGTACCAAATCATTTTCGCTTCGTTTCGCAGGAGTCTTTCTGTCAAACGGGCCGAACACCGATTTCAACCCTTCTACAATGGAGTGAGACCATGAAAATCATGCAGAATATACAGAAAATTGGCTGCACGCCGAAACGACAAAGGGGCCCTGTGCATGAAGGAGAGGCACTTGCCGGTCTGGTCAGGCAAGCTGTCCTTGCCTGATGGCAGGAGCCCGAAGGCTCTAGGCCCAAGGATGGAGTTGGATGCAACCAGGTTGCAAATCATGGCCTGACATGGTACAAGTGATTAGAATCAACACAGGCAGCGTAGGAGCTTTTATCGCCTCCGTTGCTGCTACACATCCTTGCGCTGTTTGCTGGAATCGCTCCAGCCACTCCAGAGGTGTCACTTACCCAAGCTTGCCGTCTTGCCGCGGTGGCTTCACTCCGTCTGCCTGCCTAGGATGTTCATTGGTTGAAAGGACAACATGGCAGATCGTAATTGACAAGAGACAAGGGGAAACCGAATGGGTCGGGCTGTGTCTTGGTTGGACGGGAAGTTGTGCCGATGCGGCTGCACCAAGACAGTCCAGCTGCAGGCGAGAACTAGCAGACCGGCATGTCGTGTTTCGGTGACCCGCACACACCTGGCCGAAAAGGCTTGCATACGAGCCGCATCAGGTTCTTGACCAGCACACCTGCGCGGTGTGTTCGCACACGTGACTGAAGAGCCGTAGCCGTAAAGCCCGTAAAGCATAGCACACATGCTGAAGAAAGTCTCGAAGCAAGGGGGTGCTGAAGGGAGTCGCAGATCCTTGTTGCCCCTAAGTTTCTATCAGCCCGGGCCCGTCCCCGACATCCCAATGGCTTGAACTTCCAGCTGCCTTTCGTGTTTTTCACCTCCAGCGCACTCAGCAAGACAAAGGGCACAACATTGTCCCACTTCTCAGGGACCTAAGCAACGAGCAGGGAAGGCCCCAGCATCAGATCAAGGTATGCAAACACTTATTTAAAATTTCAACTCCACAAGATGTGCTGGGCCGGAAGCGTCCATCTTGCAGATCCGAAAGACCTAGGCTCGTGAGCCCATGGTTAAGGCTCAGCATCAACTCCTGAAGCCTGGGCCAGTGGCAGTCATGTACGTCTCCTGGGCTGGCAGACTACAGACATGAGGCTGCACACCAGACTCCGGTGAGCACTCGAGGGGAACCTTCGTTCAGAGTTCCGCTGAGGTGTTTGTTGCAAAACTCTTGCTCATGAGAACAGGTTGTCTGAAATCACTTTTGCCGAGCTGTGGAGGCCAGGACACGCACTGAACGCGACAATTATCATCTTAACGGCCAATCTCTACGACTCCATGCCATGCCATGATGCTACACCAGTTTAGGGTCAACTGTGTAACCACGCAAGAGAGCCTTGGGCAAACCCTTCCCATCTCTTCTGTTCCTAAATTTGTTCTCCGACCGCGGACGGGCTTCTTCCGCATGCCAGCAGGAACTGCACCAGCCATCCTCGCAGGAATACCGCACCTAGGCTGGTTTCATGTCCATTGCGACAAGCAGTGGCAGCAAATAGTAGCAAGAATAGACGGCCATAGTAGGAGTCGCAGTAGTAGCAGCAGCGGCAGCAGCAGCAGGAGCAGGAGGAGTAGGAGAGTAGGAGTAGTAGGAGTGGTAGTAGCCGTCGTCGTGGCGTCGTAGTAGTAGCAGCAGCAGCAGTAGCAGCAGGTGTTGTTTCTATTGATGTTGTTGTTGGTGGCGGTTGTGGTGTTGCTGTTGCTGTTGCTGTTGCTGTTGCTGTTGCTGTTGCTGTTGCTGTTGCTGTTGCTGTTGCTGTTGCTGTTGCTGGTGGTGGTAGTGGTGGTGGTGGTGGTGGTGGTGGTGGTGGTGGTGGTGGTGGTGGTGGTGGTGGTGGTGCTGGTGCTGGTGCTGGTGCTGGCGCTGGCGCTGGCGCTGGTGCTGTTGTTGTTGGTGGTGGTATTGTTGTTGGTTCTCGTTGTGGCTGTTGGCGCTGGGGTTGCTGTTGCTGTTGCTATAGTTGTTGCTGCTTACTTGTTGGTGCACTGGTAGCGGCAGCAGTAGCTGTGGGGGTAAGCAATGCGACAATACGACAAACATGAACGTTGCCACGGACGGGCCCGGGAGGACAGACAAGCACACACACACACACACACAAGAGTACTGTGCTTGTCAAATGCCTCTGAAAATGACAGTCGAGAAAAAAGATGGCTAGATGCCCCCAGATCAATATCAAGCCCAGGGACGTTGGCTCCCAGGGTCTCCTCGCACGCCTGGGTTTCGTAAACCGTGACGAGATTGATAATTGCTCAGATCCAGAATACAGGTAGGATCGCATTGTGTCGTGCGTACAACTTGGTGAGCTTAGGGCTTTGGGGTCTCGAAAGCTGGCCCAAATCGCCCTGCTTTGCCCGGGCAACAGGCTCGAAAACCCTTTTCGGCGAAGAACACGTCATTTCCAGCAAAGCCTGTCAAACAAGAGGTGGCCGCCATCAACCGGAAAGGCAGCCATCGCAACCCAAAACAGGTCACATCGATGCTGACTACAAACTCCCATGCGGTGATACACTTCGGCGACACCAACAAACTATTACTGATGCGGCCCGTGTATGCCAAACACCAGATCAGTCCAAGGGGCGCGAAGAAGAGCTTTGCGTTTGTACGTCGCCATTTTCAATGACGGCTTCCACACGATCTTGACCTAAGAACACAAGAACCACAAAAAGCTGACATGAGTGATTCAAACCCGAAACTTATGTTCGGCTTGGCGGTAGCGCTAGTGCTACTTGCAGTGCTCGTGTTGGTAGTAAGCAACACAATTGGTAGAAGCTAAGGCAGAAGCAGGCCCTCGCAGGTAGTTGCGAACCAGCTTCAAGGTCACGCTATCACCTGCCGAAATGCAGTATTGATTAGGTGACCAGTAGAAATTAGTACGGTACGAACAGCATCATGATCAATCCAGTCCTCGCTGCCAGGGTGGGACTGCTTGCGACTGCCACTCACCGATATGATGAACATGAAGACCATCATGTGATGAAGATGGATGACAGTCATGACAATCATTGTGATTGCTGTAATTCGAGCTTCGCAAGTCTTCCAGGCGGCAGAACTGCCTTCGGACTCCTTGACTAGCTTGCTGACGGTCTTCAAATCGCCGCCTGCAGGCAGGTGAGAGAACGGTGCAACGGCTTCCTGCGCTACTCGCACTGCACGCAGGAGTATGCTGAGCCTGCAGGCCTGCAGGTCCAAGAAACAGGAAGTTTCGTGCAAGTTACTCCGGCTGTGCTAGCTGCATCCATGCCAGAGGTTCTTCGGCTGCGCCCATCTGTCGTGTATACTTGGTCGAGCGGCCCCCACTACGACGGGCGCAGGGGGCTTTGCCAATCCCAGGGCAAAACTCACAGGAACACCATCATGCAAAAGCCATGCTTTCGAAACCTCAGAAGCCCCAAAACATCCCAAACTTTGGGGCCTTCGCAGAATGTGCCGTTGACAGCTACCACCTCGTCTCCCTCGAGGACAAACATGCCTTCGGCCTCAGAGCAGATCGGTGAGAAAGGGACAAAACAATTTAGGGCCGTATGTAAGGGATTTGGTTCTCCCTATATCAGTTAGGTATTAGATGAATAATTACATAGCTATTTTTAATAAATAGTAAGGGCCATGTAAGGGCTCGTGGCAGAAGAGTGCTTTTCGGAACCGGGGAGTGGCAAGGTGCATCCTAGGGCAGCCTGTCCATTGCATCCGAGCCACATCGTTGAGCAGAACCTCCTTGTTCCAGAGGTCCTAGGGTTCACACAACTTTGCCAACAATCGCTCTGAACATGTCAGCACTCAGTCCAGCCCCAACTGCAGTGTCTGCATGGGTCGTACAACGCGCGAGGCTCTCCAGCGAGCTCCAGTGCATCCACAACATGAACTTCACAGGGACCACATAGATGAAGGATGCATGCTCAACAAGCAGCCAAGCCATTGTCAAGCAAGGCTCCGTGTTGCCGCCTCAGGGGTGCTACACTCTTTCTGAAATACACTGAACCATATGCACTCCTCGTGGGTTTGGTGCTGGCAAAAGCCTCCCCGGCGGGCCTGTCTTGATGCCAGCGATGCCCACGCCCGGCCGGTTTGGAAACTCCTTGGGCGTGATGCCCAAAGGCTTGGTTATGGTGACATCGAAGATGGCCCTGCCGCCTTCAATGCGCTTCCTGAGACACATCTCCCAACATGCCCCTACCGCTGGCTTGGGGGTCACGGTTGCTGCTGGTTGCTGTCTGGTAGCACCCTGGAGTTCCACTGCGCCACTGTGGCGCGACATGCCACCATGGAAGACCGGGAGTGAGCTCCCTGTCCCCGTCTGCGTGCAACGGAGGCAGCGAGGGCTCCCAGAGAGGCCATTGCAAGCGCCAGCGGCGCTGCAGGCACAGCTTGCTCCGCCCTCGCAGGGCACTGCAGGGTGCCTCAGTAACTGCGGTGCATTGCTGTCGGAAGCTGTATCTGAGGGCCCCTGGATGGGACTTGTCACCAATGCAAGGCTTGGCGCTGTTGCTTCGGCCTCTAGAGTGAGCATTGAGCTGCGCCTTGCTGGACAGCCGGGGCGATGGTGCCAAGAAGGTCTGGGCCCACGTGCATGCTGCCAAGACAGCTGCAAGGAGAGCCTCAGATGCAAGATCCCCACCGCTTGCAGCCCGCGACGGCTAGTGGCTGGACAGATTTCAAAATGTCTGCGTTGTAGTCGGGGAGCAGCCAAAACCACCGGCGCGTATGCCGACATGGAATCGAAGGCGGAATCTACGGCATGGCTCGAGCACAGCGACTCCTGCAGTTCCGGACCCTGAGTGGCGCAAAGAAGTCCTCCAAACTGTACCTGAACCTTCTGAAGCCCAATCTCGGGGCCGTTCGGCTCCGCTCCGTTTGTTACTGTCCCCACCGGCCCCTCGAAGATAAAGAGTCTTCAAGGATGATACCACCCTGCAGAACGCTTCTCATCTGCCTTTCCCTGGGACGCTCCGAGGGGCAGGCTTCTTTTTGCACTCTAGTACGGTGCATATCTCGCGGCCTCAGCCCACTGCAAAGTCACCGACCACCGCTGCTGCGACAGAGACATCTAAGTCTGGGACGAAACCCTTCGAGTTGCCTGGGCAGCACGTTGCAGCTCCAAGCTTTTCCAGAAAAACCCATGATAGCAGAAGAAGTACTTGTGATTCATACTGATGAACACCACAATGCCAGCACTTGAACTCATGATCAGCTTTGGTCAGCGCATCAGCAACACTACGTAAGAGACATGACTTCTGCGCAATCCACGGCGAAATAACGAAACATGCCACGGCATCACTCAAAAGAGATGGCCGCCTCCTTTGCCCATGTTCCAGCCGTTCGCACCCTTTTCTCCTCTCCGGCAAGCTGTCTCTGTCACGGAGTGAGGGCTCGAGATGCTCTTCCCTCACAAGGCTTGGGCTCGGGGTGGTTTGAATGGTTCTAAGACCTTATAAGGGTCTACAGCCAAGTTCTGCCTTGCCTGGGGCATCTTTGCGAGCAATTGCCTCGGGCACGGATGCACATCCTCTGCTTTGAAAGATTTCTCACGGCACCAAGTAACCCAGTCAGATAGCTCGAACTGATCAGCATCCCTGAAGCAACTTTGCGTTCCGAGCTCTGGGCCGTCCCCTCTGGGCAAACGTCTTCGGCTCGGGGTCGGCCGGTCTTGCCTGGGATAGAGAGGTGTTTGCTCATCTTGAGCTTTTGCAGGACGGCCTACAAGGGCTTTGGGGTTGCAAGTTTCAGAACTGTGAGGCACTGTCAGTGACTGTGAGGTTGTCCTTGCTGACGCTCCGTACAAGTGGCCAAGGGCAGCTGAGAAAGCAAGGGCTGCTGCCAGCTGCGAACTGCTTCTAAAGCCTCGCAGTTGTCTGGGCGTGGCGCTGTCCAGGACCACGCGGTAGCTGACTCGCGTGCCTTCTGGCGGTATGACCTCACATATTTCACATGCATCTCCGCATCATCAGACGTTCTTCAAGCATGCTCACACCTGCCGGGCTCCAGGCAGACCCGAACGATGCACAAGAGATGGGCATCACGAACATTTTCTGCCATGTTTGTGAAGTTTCCACTGACTACTTAGACAAGAAGCATGCAAGACTCAAACCTGCCAAGGAAAGACACACCGGCTTGGAAGCCTGCCCTAGTCGCGTGCTCAACTGCTTGGTTGCACCTGGCCATCATCTTGCATAATGAAGCCGTACCTGGGTTTTTCGCAGCAGTCGAACCCTCTTGGCGGTAGAGGGCAAACAAAAAGCGCCGAATCCAAGGCGCGGACTTCTCTCCCCGCTGTTGGATCGTTCCAGCATAGTCTAGGCCCAGGCCGCCCAGGCCGCCCAGGCCCGCGTTTGGAGTGGGGGCCGCCATTCCCGTGCCCTGACACCAAGACATCGTTCGGCTGGCTTTGTACATCTACAAACCAAGCATGATTGCTCGGTGGCGATGCGTCAAGGAGGCTAGATGTCAGCATACACTCCGAAACCTCGGGACGGACGCTTTCTGCTCTCGGTCTGCCCGTCTTGTTGTCCATCACCAACTCAGTCGCGAGTATGTGCGCTTGCGAGTTGCAGATAGCTGGGACTCGGCCCGGGAAATGCTGGGAGCTTGGCTGTGTATGCGACTCTGGTTCCAACTGGCCTCATGCGGTGTCTATCATGTCTCGGTAGCTGCCCGTTCGAGCTGCTCTGAGGTCCCAGGCGGCATGGCAACTTCGCCAGTGCAGGCAGTGCAGGATCCTGGCATGACCTTTTCGTCAGGCGAGGGGGGCGATGGCATCAACAGCAGCACCCCCCCCCGCCCCCGAATCATCAAAACAAGCTCGGGCACTGGCGAAATGCTTCTCGCCAGAATCAGACTGGATGAAGCCGTAGGTTGGGCCAACCTGCACGGCCAACACCCCTGGAACAAACACACTACTGATTTCAACAAGCCGCTCAATAATGTGAAATATCATGACAACAGCTTTTGCTCCAGATCCTGCCGTCTACGACTGTTCCTCAGATAGGTTCGGATACTTGCGGTAAGTAGCTTGATCGAACAGAGGGCTCCAGGTCCAGTGGCATGTGAAGGACATGCTTGTGGTCTACAGCTGGTTCTTCTGGGGTTGCAGGTGGCCTGCTCCAGCTGTCTGAGGCCTTCACCGCTATGACTTGAACAGTGCATACACGTATGTATGTATGTATGTATGTGTGTGTGTGAGTGAAAGAATGTAGGTAAACATGCCTGCATTCAGTCATGTGTATTATGCTTAGGGATATACAGTATAGGGATATATAGATATATACACATGCATACACATATACATGTGCATACACATTGACATGCTGACTACTACGTAGCGCTACCATTGCTCTGCACCGTATTAAGGCCTGCTGAACCTGGCCTGGATGATGGTCCCGGTCATCTCAGACATCCCGTTCCCACCGACCGGCCCACCGACCGGCCCACCGACGGGCCCACCGACGGGCCCACCGACGGGCCCACCGACGGGCCCACCGACAGGCCCACCGACAGGCCCCAAGCCGATCCTCGGAGTGCTGCAGTGGCACCAGGTGAGCTCAGGGCAGGCATGTCACTAGGCATGTCGGTGTGTCTGCACACACTGCGTTGTTTTTTGGCAACTTATTTTGCACTGGCACTTATTGTGCCCAGCGTGACTACCACATTTCTTGCTAAAGCGATTCAAACATATTCAAACGATAGCTCTCTAGCCAGGAGTATCCCAGTGTGGCAATCCTGATGCCAAGGTGTGCACGGTGTGCCCCACTGCTGCTGGGGCATGGTGGTCTGCAACGCTGGCTGCAGCGTCGGCGGGGCCTCATTGAGGCGTGGATTCATGAAAGTTCTCGCCTTCCAGGAGTCAGTGTAAGTGCTTCTACAGGCTGCAGTGGTTCGTTCACGACATCATACCACTCAGCGTCGCATAGCTGTTGTTGCGTCGATGCTTCTGTTGCTGTCGCAGTCATGGCTCCTGCAGCTGCTGTTGCCGGTGTCGGTGGTTGCCGTGATGGTGACGGAATTCTTTCCGCCGACTCTGTTGTGCGTCGCGTTGCTGCTCCAGAGGTGGGGTTGCGTATGCTGAGAACCTAAGCTCCTCACGGTGCCCTCCGGGCAGACATCTTCGGCCCGAGGCCGTCCCGTCTTGCCTGTCAGTCCGGGGCCAAGTTCTGATCGGCTTCGGGTCTGTGCCAACTTCGGGATGTTCCGCTGGGATGCGAGAGTTTGGACTCGGAGACAAAAACCGAAGCGGAGAGCAACCTTGGAGAGGCTAGGAGCCGCGCGGTCCATGACCACGCGGTAGCTGACCCGCGTTCCTTCAGGCGGTATGACCTGGAAATAGCACATGAACGGAACAGCTGCTGTTCTGTTGCTGCCTTGTGTTGTCAAGCTGCCAGTCCGGGTCTTCACGCATGAGTACCAAGGGCGAGGACTCGAGGACTTACCACAGAAGCAGGATCCTCAAGCTGAGACGTTCCTTCAGCTTCCGGTCGCATTATGTCGCACTGCCCCGATGCAGCATGAGCTCAGTCGGTTGCATATCGGTCAGGTTGTTACGTGTCCAGCTTGCTGCTTGCGGGGGTCAACACCGAACACCGGGATGCGCCCCCTTCTAAGTCGCTGGGTGGCAGGCCCGGCCAAAGACGTCACAGGAAATGGGCATGACGAACATTTTCTGGCAGGAGCACGGGGCTCAGGAGAAAAGCAGCGATGGACCGGAAGCAGAAACATGCAAGCAGGGATAGACTGTGATCTGAGAACAAGCCGACACGAAAGTGTGCAAAACTCAGAACTCAAGGGACGGAGCCTGCCCATCATCTTGCAGAATGAAGCCGTACCTTGACCACAGCGGCTTCGTCTCCAGATTCTAAACGAGCGCGTGCAATCATCAGGTTCCCGAAAGGATGTTCACTGCGAGCACAGCTGAGGTCAGCACTTCTCCCCTGTCTGCTGGATGGTTCCGGAATGATCTAGGGCCCCTTGTGCGGCCGCCATCCCCACGGCCTGAAACAAGTGTGACAGTGCCAGCGCAGGCGGCTGCAACGCTCGGAACCTCTGGCCGGACACTTTCTGCTCTCGGTCTGCCCGTCTTGCCGTCCACCACCATCTCAGCAGCAAAGAATTCTTACTGTCTCTGAACTCGAGCAGTTGCAGCCAGTCTAACCAGGAATCCGGCTGTATAGGAAACTCTGGTTCCGAGTGGCCTCACATGTGGCGGCTGGCAAAACCCAGCAAGCTCTGAACTGGTAGCATTTCATTACCTCTTCAATTCACTGAGCTCTTGGACGGGAAGCCGACTTCTCCCGTGAGAGTTGTGCAGGACCCAGGAAGCACCTCATCTTGTTGGAACACTTCTGCAGTTGGCGACGCAGAAATCGAAGTGCACCGAGTTGTGCAAAGACTCCGCATCTGATCTGCTTCGAAGGGCACCATCTTCACAAGGCAGTTCGTGAAACGTGCATCCAGAAATGGCATACTCGTGCTGCCGAAGCCCTGGGGCTTGTTGCGAATCACACCAACCACTGAAATGGTCTCAGGCACAGGCAAAAACCTTCTCGTTTGCATCGGACTGGATGAAGCCGTAGTTCGGGCCAATCTGCCGATGGCGAACAGACAAGCGACAATCTCCTGTGGTGCATGTCATTTGCACAGCCGTGCTAATCGTGCCAAACGAAAGGTGATGGCCACGGTGAGGAAAACGCCTAACGTATACTGCCATAAACAGTTCTAGCAACACAAAGAAACGGCTGTACATCCAACAACGACGAGCACTATCAGAGCAGGCCCAATCTCACCAGCGAGAAAGGACTAAGAAAACAATACTATGAATCTGAACATCCATAGCAATACCATCAACAGCAAAGAAAACAGCATCAGCAGTGTCGAGAGAGTCTACGAAACCGAGCCCTGCCGACACTCACAAGCAAATGTGGAAAGGCGTGCGTCTTTGGGGCAATCCAGACCGGAGTCGTTTATAAAAGCAGCCTGCCTACTAATTATTCGTCAAGTAGTGCCCTGTTGCCTCCTGCAATGCATCAGTTGCATGTGCTACGAGTAGCTTATAACTTATAGTGATACAAACCTTGTCGAGAGAAACCATATCACTGGTCACCGGTCACCATCATACTGGACGCAAGGGTCACACCCATGACAATTGCAAAAAAAACAAAGAAACCAGCACCAGCACCATAATCACGGATCAGTTTTTTGATTTTCGGGATGCAGGAATTGAACCAATAAGAGATGGCGATGGCACAAGCAATAGCAGCGGCAGCGAAGAGACGCACTAATCAACATGCACTCCAAAAGTAATGGACGCAATCATGGATCTCGCGATACCTTTTTTGCATGCAGTCTTGTAGATGTGTAGTAACGCATGTTGCCTGCGTGACAGTGCCGGAACTGGTGGACATATTGCCACCCAGTCCGCCACCCATACCGCCGCCGCCCATGCCGGCCGTCCTTAGGCTTACCAGCTTTGTGCTTTATCGAACATATGCATCATGCGCCACGTGGGTTGTCCAAAACTTGTGTTCACAATCAACAACCATCCGAAACAGCGATCCATTCTCTGACGCTGATACATCCCAGGGGTCGGAGCAGTGTTTGCGATCATGATTTCGCTCTGAGAGAATACGCTTTGATAACATGCTCATACCAACTTATACCGAGGGGCGGCGGGGCGTTCCAGCCTCCCTCCGGCTGGACGTTCTCGGCGCGAGGGCGCCCTGTCTTCTGATCCTGACCGGCGGTGGAGGGTGAACGCTGCTTCCGTTGCTTGCGGCTTACACTGTAATCGCTGCTGCACCGGTACTGCCACTACTAGTTTTTCTCATAACCAGGACTGTCACTACCCCGACCACTGCTGCTGCTGCCGCTGCTAGTGCTGCGACTGCCACCACTCGAACGACGGCGGCTACGACTGCGACTGCTACTGCCGGACTCAGACGACGACTACTACTTCCACTAATAATGCTAACTCCTGCTAACATGATCACCACGGCTGTGACACAGAGTCCTTGGCGGGCTACTGAACTGTATCGACCCCGCTGCAAGAAGCTTACCAGGTCATCTATCCTTCGAAACCTGATGAACAGCACCACCACTACCACCCCAGCCTGCACAATGTCAAACATCACACGAGTTCCGACTGGTGGGAGCTCGCCGCCGCACGACTTCGGCAGGACGAACATCTCGCCCTTCCCGGGTCCATTCGTAGGCAAGTACCGCTCAAACAACAACAATTTTGCTTCATGAGCTTCGAGGAACTCACAAAATCTGAGTGTACAGATTAGATGCCTTGGCTGGGGCTTGCCAAGAGGTACTTGGGCAGGTGTCAGCGGGGCAAGCTTCCAAACAAGAGCAAGGTGCCTCACCATTATCCTGGTTGATGAAGCCAAACTGTGGCCCACCTGAGAAGCTGGTAACAGGTCTTGACCCTGGCCGGGCTTTGCTACTTCGGCTCTGCTCCACATCGTCTCAATCTCTGCGCCATGAGAGCTCGCCCAACTTTCGCTGCCCAGGCACTCTTGCCCATCGTGCCGGTCTTCATCCCCTCAGCACGAAGAGAGTGCAGCTAGTGGCAACGCGTTTCACTTTGCCAGGCCACGCCGTTTGAGTTGCTTTTCAGCCGGCGTCGTTCATGACTACAAAGGTGCAAACTACCACACAACGATGGCCAGAAACCCGCCAGCACTATGCCACCATGCCGATTCCTACCTGAGGCCCCGGGCCAATCTAACATTCTCGGCCCTGCTTTTGCCAGTTTTCGGGTCTGGGCCGATGTCGAACGCAACGCGTGTTCCAACGGGCGGAATTTGATTTCCTGGCAGAAAGGAGGCACAGCTGCAGCAGCAGAAGTCAGAAGCGAGCAAGTGCAACGGTACAAGTTTTCTGCTTGTGTCAGCAATTGTGCACCACGGGCAGCCCAATCACGACACTAGCAGCAGCAGCACCAGCACTACGACCAGAAGGCGAAGACAATAAACACAAGAGGAGTTTCAAGCATGCTGAATGAGTGGGGCTCTTTCTCTCTGGAATTTGATAGAGCCGTGTTTTCAGTTCCGTCGCACCCGATCTAAAAATGCAGCCGGGGTGTTGCTTTCGCTGCTGCACTCCTGGGACTTAGCGCAAACGTGCCGCCGAGGCCAAAAGCGGCGCAAGAGAAGGGTAGGACCTCAGCGGCTCGAGGGTGTCTCAACGATCATGGCTGTGTCCTTGTCTTGCGGAACGTATGAGCCTTCCCCGCGTGCGTAAACAACAGGAAGCGTCTGCCTTTGAAGCTTAAATCCCAATACTACCCGAGTACAATATCCTGCACCATCCAATAAACTTGAGATGACCGGAGCTTGCCAGTTTTCCAGTGCCTGGGGGGATCCGATTGTAGGAGTCAAGGGCGCTGGCAAAAATCTTCTCGCCATTATCCTGGTCGATGAAGCCATACCCGTTGCCTCGGCTGACGACTCTTGAGGCCCCACTTATCATTCACAATCGCTAACACCGAAGTCATGATTTCATCTTGAACTGATACATTGTTCTGTCCCGTGTGTGCAGTCCAGATTTTCTGCAGCTGTAAGCGGTAGCCTCAGTTGGTAAGATACTTGCATGAACTTTGCCTGGCTAGCTTAGCCGCTTGCGACAGTCACTTCGGTATGATGAGCGTGTTCCATGCGCAGGCGCTTGCCCATGGGCGCTCAAGGTGCACACGTACAGTGACACTCCGATGGGTACCACTGCACCAAACCTCACAACAAAATCTCGGCGAAACTCGCCTGCGAAGCAAGTCCTGCTAACGGGCAAGAACATCGCGATTGCAGTGCAGGTGCAAGCAAGACGTGTACGTTTTGCTAGCATGGGAGGGTTGAGATTTATGTCCATTGTCCATGCACAGGTGGCAAAGATGCATCCCAAGCCGGCAGCACCAGGGCCCGGACAAACTTTGCCAACGACCTCAAGCGCTGGCATGAACAGACACTTCAGGCGACATGAATCGGAATCTGGATGGCATGATCAGGAACCGGTGCAGTACCCAGAAGAACTCCCTCATCAACTGAACATACTGAAGTCGCTTGCCAAGGCCCATGCCCCAAGAGTGCCGGTGCCATTGGCCGGAGCCTTCACAGAAGGGAAATAGACTAAGTATGGGCAAGTGCACTTTCAATGAGCTTGAACTAATCCCTTCCAAGCTTTGCTTGGGCTCTGCAACCAATAGAGCAGCTGCAACCCCCAATTCGGGCATTGCATGCTTCGCCCAAGATCCGAGCTGGGTTGCTACCGCCACCTTTTCCGTTTCCGACCTGGCAGCGGGTTAGAACATGCTGCAGGTTTGCAAGATCAGCGGTCGGCAAGCATGAACACGCAACAAGTGCTAATGGGCGTCTTCCGCAGCCCAAGCCTTGCTAGCGTCCAGAGGTTGGACCTGAAGAAGGCACTTCTGAAGAGTAGGGCTTCAGGTTCAGCTGGATTTGGGCGTTCAGGCCATCCAATACGCCCAAATGCATCCAGGCTGGGCAGCTAAGAGAACGAGCTGTACTTGAAGGGCATAGTTGCTGAATGGAAGATCTCTCTCGGAATATGCTGAGGATTGCATGAGTATGTGGAAACTATCCAAGAGCCATGAAGCTGCCACGCAGATCTTGCCAGTTCGGTTTGTGGAGAGTACCGGATGCAAACAAATCATGATCGTCTGCGGGTACACTTTGCTTAAAATCCCCTGCCCCGGAGAAATGCACATCAAGTCAATATCGTTACCTTCTGATGCGAGTGTGCTATGTATTAAGGTGAAGAATGTGCCCCTTGACAAAACGATCCACTTTCATTTACGCATTCCACCCTGAAATGTCGGAAACCGTCCTTAACTCTTCTTCTTATAATGCCTTTGAGTGTGTAAAGCCTGTCCGAGGCTTCTGCATTTTCGACCCGAGGGCCGGAATTCTGCGAATCGACAACAACGTCGTACATCACCTGTGCTCCACCGTCCAATCCCCAGGTGACTGCCCTTCCACATTCGCACAAGCGCTAGACACATTCCGGAACCATATAGCATGTGAAACGGGGAACCAGGTGACCTCAGACAAGAACAAAGGTTGGCGTCGCCTCAAGCACCTGGAAGTCCTTCAAGCCCATGGCCTAAACCTGACTGACGAAGCCCCGACATGATGATCTGACACTTGGAACAAGATCTAGTATAACTAATAAGCCACAAACCATGTGTATGTATATACACATACATGCATACATATATACATATATATATATATACATACCAACTCTGTAACTAGGTGCCGCGCCCGCGTGCCGACCGGGGGGATGGCGCTCTGGCCAAAGGCACGTTGGAAGGAGCCGGGCCTCGGGGATTTGCACAAAGGGCCCGAGGCTACTTGTAGTAGTGATAGTATCGTAGTCATAGTATAGTAGTAATAGTATAGTAGTGATAGTATAGTAGTAAGGACAATAAACAATAATGGTAATAGTAAGACGAAGAGGAAACTCACCACTCGGACTCGCAAAAACTGTTCAGAGCAGGAAAACGTGTGTACTCTGATGTGCCACTCCTTGAGCAAGTTCTAAGCCTAAGGTTTTCAATCACTCAGCAAGGTTTAGCAGCTTTCGGTGGTGAAGGTCCATGGGGCCAGTTGAGAGCCTGGGTCCCGGGTTTCTTTCAACCTTGCTGCAGCCAAGCCGGCACCAAGACCATTGTTTCCGACGCTCACACTGGCACATGGTAGATAAGGCTTCAAGCCCCGAAGACGTTGGCAAAGACGAGCATTGGTGCTCAAGTCACGAGATGACGTCTCTAGTTGATCTCGTATAACGTATTCAATGAAAAGGCTCTTGGTCAGGTTTGCCAGGTTAGGTTTTTGGGGTGAGTAATGTACATCCGCTGCTCTTGGCAACATGTGCTGCAACTGGGTCTGGGACAAGCAGGAAATCTTGCTGCCATCGTGGTCCTGTGCGATGATGCCATACTCGGCCTGCTGGGATACGTCATGACGTTGACTTGGATGCTCAGAACTCATTATTCATCTGTAGAGCTACATTAGCTTTAGCTTCGGAATAGCAGTGCTACACTTGCTTCTTGCTCTCCATGCTCATGGGTTTCTCCCGGAGGTCAGAACGAATTTCCACCCTGCCAAGCAGATAAAAACAACTCTCAAAGGAGGCCGCCGAGAGGCTGAGCTTTCTTGGATGGTGCCACTGAGCGTCCTCGGCCCCGAGCGGAAATATGGGAGTTTCTGAAAATCGGGGACCCTAATGTAGCACCTAAATTAAAATAATAGGATCCTTTTTGTAAGGCCCCAAACTAAGGTACCCCTAATTTTCGGAAACTCCCATATGCATGTATCCTCGCAGACACCGCTGCCACCACAACTAGCTATCACCGCCATCAGGGCCATCACCATCGAGGATACTTTTCGAGATTCGGGCTGCGGGTGCGAGCCTTGCCGGAAAGGGGAACTCTTTTTGCCGTCGAGCCTGGCCGGCTAAGCCATGCGCGAATCACGAATTTCTAGACTTCAACCTTCAAAACACACCTGCAATACGCCCAGGTCACCAAGCGCCTCAGAAACAACGAACCCTCTAAACCCCGCTCAAGGCCCGCCCAAGAATGCTCGAGGACTCGGCCCAGTAGGTTGCTCACCTTTTGCAGCGCTGTCTTGGGCGGCATTCGTGAAACGTTCTCACACACACACACATACTCTGCCAACCGCGAGACTGTTGTTCTTCAACCTGGGAGCTGAACAACACTTACAAGGCGTTTCGCCGCTGCGATGGTAAGGTCTTTCCGTAAGGTGGCAGAAATACTCATCACCATCATCACCCAAACCATCATCGGCGCCACTGCCGTCAGCATCCAGCTTGGAGCTCTGAGTTTGTGGCTGGTCTCTCAGCATTCACACTCGGAGAGGCTAGGCGAGGCAAGACATGACACTCTCGGGAGCAGTGCAGGAGCTAAGCAGCTAAGTAGCAATCTGCCGCACCTCTGTGAGTGCTAAAACTCATATTTTTTTGACAGCGGCCTTTGCAGCACATCGAACACCCCACATCCAATCCTCACCGCGAAACAAACACGTCCAAAACCTCGCACGACTTTGGGGACGGCCTGGCGTCACCGAATCGGATTCCGGGAAGACGTTCTCGGCTCGGGTCCGGAGCGTCCTCTCATCCACCACCAACTCGTAGCCTCGAGCGTGTCTCGTCTTATCAGAGTACCAGTAGTTTGATGGCGGCCCTCCTGGAGTTTCTGTTGCACCCGCTGATGGTGATGGGTGATCAGGATGGTGATGCCGTTTATGCTTATCGATGTTTATAGTATAGTTGTGGTGGTGACGGAGCTGCTAGTGCAGGCCCTCTGAACACCTCAGTGTGCTGTACATCCGCTTATCAGCCCTGCCTGATCGGAAGAAGCACGGATGCGACGATGCAACAACTCCTGAATAGATCTAACAACTAACAAAAAACGAGGCACTGCAGCTTCTGCATTTCCAGCAACGACTACTTTCGCCAGATCCAATAAAACTAAGATGAGTTGATGTGTAGCGAGCAAACGAGCTGGACTCGAGCTCTGGACTCGAGTCCCTCACACACTAACCCTTGAATGATTCAGTAACTGCACTCGTAGGAAAGAGAACACCGCCGCAAGACTGTGTCAGGCCGTACTCTTGCAAACCTTTCTGGGTCAACGGCGTACTCTGGCCCCAATCGGCGGCAAAACGTCATTGAAGCCTTTGCAGCCTTGTTTGCTTTGGTGGCCGCTTTGGGATGGGGTCAATGAGTCTATGCCTGCATTTTCCTTCCGCCCATGAACGGGCGCGGTTGAACAATCGCAGGGTGATGAGCGGTATCCTCGCACTGCATGCCAGGAAAGAAGGGCACGCAAAAATGGCGCATTCGAGGACACTTCACCTGACGGGACAGCATGTTTTGAGAATTCATTTAGAATGTTTTGGAGCCGAAATCCGGCAGTCGAATCATGTCGAATCCCTCGGTTTGCAAAGCGGAAGGATCAAAGTAGCATGAGTTGAAAGTCGGGGTGCTTTTCGGCATCACGAACAGCTCGTCCGTGGCGCCATCCGGCTGGATAAAGCCTTGTGTGCTTTGTCCCTACACCCTCCCGTCTGCATAACCATATCTGCATCATCGCATGTATCCATCTGTCTATCCAGCTGTCTGTCCAGCTTCAGGAACGGTTTGGCTTGACTTGTTTGGTGGCTTGTCCGTACTCTGAACATCGCACCTTGCTGGGCCTCACGCAACCACCAATACCTTGTAATTCTTGCGGTAGCATTGTAGCGACCACAAACAAGCATGCCCCACTACCTACATGTACCTGTGCCTGCAAACGTACGTTGGATTGCATTGGTACAAATTGGTACCTGTACGCACCCGCACATGCATTCATGCCTGAATTGATACTCGTTTGTCAAGTTCACACATCAACATGTCCTTGCCGTCGCTGATTCCATCGGCCTGTGTGTTTGTGTTCCTGCATGCATAGTTGACAAAAAATCGACCCTTCACCAAATAACTCGAGATCAATCCCCGTACAATGTACTCCTTGCAGCATTGGTGGCCGAAAGTGCCCAGGTTTTTGATGACCTTGCCTGGCAGCTTCAGTGGCTCTGCTCTCCGTCACATGCTGTACCCGCATTCGAGCAGAAGCCCAGAACGTGTCCGAACCTAAGCCCTATGCCCTCAATTGCAGCATCCAACCGACTTGCATGACTCCCGATGGCCGAGTTCGAACTCCCAAACTAAGATTTGCGCCTGCAGTATGCATATTGCACCCTTAGACCATGAAGGCCAAAACCGTCACACATCTCCGTATGTTGCTAGTGCTATGATCATGGTGAGAACTCGTCCGGGCCTGCAAAAACATCACCTCCACCCATCAGTGGGTTCCCGGGACCTTCGGCACTGGGCTTTCGTGTCACAGAGGCATTGCGCCAGGTTTCCGGAAGGGGAAAACTTGGATCTGTGGGACTCAGATTTTTTTCCCTCCTACCTAGCAAGGACGAAGCCCGCATTGCAGGGTGTCTCGGTTGAACAGTTAACAACAACAGAACCGTGGACTCAGATTTAGGGTTGGGGCTTTGTGGCTGAAAGGTGCAGAGCTGCAGTGAGGTATCTCCCACGGTCGGACAGATTCGGCGCGCCTCTGGCTGAGAACCCTTTCGCACTCCCACTAGACACAAGCTTCTACAAGCTCCGAGCTCGCGGAAGTTATCCGACACATCAACAAGGAAGGCACGAATACTTGCGAGATTGACTTCGGCCCCGAAAGCAATGCGATTTCCCCGCCTGCGATGGTTTGCGTCGTGGGATCCATTAGCACCTGCTGAGGACGGGCCCAGGTTCCGTGCCCACAGTGGTCAGCACCAGGTCTTGCAGGCACCACATGTTACCAGTACCACCGACGACCACTTCGACCTTGTGTCCCTGTCTGGGAACCTTCTCAGTTATGGAATGTCCTTCTAGGCCTGATGCCTTGGTGTCCTTTATCCCGGGATCTGAAAACTGGCCAAAGTCTGAGAATCGTGGTGGTTTGTAAATCCGAACGTTCTGAGCCTCTTAAAGCCCGCATAAACCTGTGCCCCGAATCTGGCACCAAAAGCGCTATCAAACAGGCGGCTCGGGCGAAACGACAGATGCTTCCCGCCGTTTCTACAATGCCGGGCCTCCACAAGCCCATCTGTTGGGCGTCAAGACAACGCTCTGCGTGGTTTTGAAAGGGGCAATAATCGTCACTGTGGCTATCATCGTGGCGGCTGGTACGGTGACCCTGACCTACAACTGTCAAGTGAATATCTTAGTCAATGGGGTGGGCCAAAACGTTGCGAGAACATTGCTGCTGTGACAGTTGCAGGCGCAGTAACCGTAGACATGAGAACTTGTTGGGTCTATGCCTATTTGTTTCCTGGCAGCCAATGGCAGCAGATTCTGCGAAATCAAAGCTATGAGCACTGTCGCTGGACCGGACCTGTCGTCGAAGGTACTGCTGTTTGCATTGGCAGCGTTTGTCACAGTCTTCATTCTTGCGATCTGCGCATTTAGCTTGAACTCCGGGTGTCACTGCCACTGCAGCGGTCATGGTAATGAGTTTTGAACCCGGAGCTGCATCATCAAGATTTATAACATCATCACAGAACATCGCATCACTGTTGGCTTGGCTCCATGGCCGAACTGTATGACCCCGATGACTGCCGCCACTTGATCTGCTAGCATTTCCCACAGTCCTTGTGCCCAAGGTGCGTGTCAACTCCTTGTTCCGGCTGCTCAAGACGGCATTTGGGGCTTCTCGCCGTTTGTGTGTCTCTGGTGTGCAGCACTTCGTGCAGCACGAAACGGGCACGTCCCTCATGGCAACAGATCTCAAGTATCAAAGCTGCGAAATAAAGGCTTGCTGTGGGAGAACTCCAGTCTGCTGCAAGGCTATTTGGCAGCTCTCCTTGTCTAGCATCGCAGCTCTGTGAGGTTCCATTCAAGGGAGGCAGGAGGCCACGCAAACAGTCGCAAGCCCAAGAGGCTTTCGACTGCTGGCAACTCGGTGCATTATCTTTCCAGCCTGCTCCCGGGCTAGATTTACGAAGGCTTTGTGCAGTGACGCGCTGTGACTGGCTACCGATCCGTGTGACAATACAGGAGCAGTGTTGATGCCAAGCTAGAGACGGTCTGATGTCAATCCACTCATTCCGTGTCTCCTGGGCCGGTCAATGCACTCGCGACAAGAGTGTGCGATATGCCAGAGCCAAGCAAGTCCATAGACGAACACCCTGCAGCAGAAAGACCTAGTGCAAGTCCGAACAAGCTCCTTATCAGAGAAATGAAACTGCAACCACGATTCGGTCGTTTGTCTTCTTGTTCTTTTTCTTGGGCTTTTGCCTGAGCTCGAAGGGTGTCAGTCGTGAGCGCTGGTTCAGAGTTCGGGCTTTTCAAGGTTCAAGGGTCTGTGGTTTAGGGTAAAGGCTGCCTGACTGGCCACGAATTGGCCTGACTCGAATAAAGGCGGATGCACTCCTCGACTGGCATCTGCTTCCCTCAACATCCAACACCCTGAGCACTCTGACCAAGAAACGGGGCAAATTGCAACATTGGAGTCTGAAACGGCCGAAACGCATCCAGTACCATTGCCAGCTCAGGTACGCTGGCCTAGAAGCCCTGAAACAAAAAAATCTGAGCGATGACAACTACTTCTTGCTCAAGTGCGAGACGGATCTGCTTTTATGCACTCTGAGCGACTTGAACACGCAAACAGGAAACTTCCTACCGTGGTCTATATTGGGCGTGGATGCGAAAACGAAATATGGTCCAAGAGGCTCTTGCAAAGCCGAACCTAGGAGGTCGTCACCGCTGGCTTCTGGGAGACGCGCTTCTCCCTCCTGAGTCTATGAAGCATGGAATTGAATTCAGGTTTCAGGCTATGCGCCTTGGGGGAGCTGATTCGGGTTCACGGTTTAACTCGGAGGACTTGTGTTCCAGTTAGGGGCCTGAACGCATCACATCGCGTGCAGGTTGGAATCCCATGGCTCGCATGCCAAGCGATGTTCCAAAGTTCCGAGCATCTGCGGACATGCAAACGAGCGACTTCACGAAAAAAGCAAAGAGCGAATGCAATGAATCTTTAAGCCGTGGTGCGTCAAGAACCCGTACAGAAATCGCATCCACAGGCTCGCCGGCTGCCTCAGCACGAGGATGGCGAGCGGAGAATGTGGCAAGATGATATTGCTCGAAGCTGACGCTGTCTTAGTATACTATAGGGGGCTGAATTTTTACCAATACTAATATGGGAGTTCCTTATTAAACTTATAGTATAATGGGCCCCAAAAGCCTATCAAGGCCCTGAGGCCCTTCTATTACGTAGCATCAGCCCGCTGTCGCGAACGAGACAGGCAAGGTCAGTTGGTTTGAAGTCACGAATGGAAAGCTGTCTCATCAGCCACCAACAGCCCTGTCGGAACATCACCCACACATATGCACAAATGAAACAGGGCAGCAGTCTACATTGCCCTCGCACCCAGGACTCCGTACATTCGGCTGTTAATGACCCACCATGATTGACACAGCCGCGTCACTCAGGGCAGGCTTGACCAAAATTACAGGTTTCATTTCAAGCCATACCCGCAGCCCAGATCCAGCAACCCCTGCCTGTTGCATCTAAACTAGAGGCCGAAACAACCGGCTTCTGATTTCGAGGTGTTCCCTACAGCTATCGCTATGCACGGATTGTATAGGAATATGGGCTTACAGCTTACATGTCAACAGTCTAGGGCTCAGGCAGATGGATCTGATTTGTCTTTCTTCTGCTTCTTTTCCTGCGACAGGGTCACACCATCTGCTGACTGAAGCAAAGAACCAAATTTAACAAGACGCATGTGCATACATGCAAAGAGTATCACCGCTGCTACTGCTACTGGCATCGTCAGCTGCTTTTTGATATCATCTTCTACTCCTCCGTGAAGACTGTCAGTCAGCTTCGCTACAACTACTCCGGCTAGTGCTGCAACAGCCAAGGCCTTCTCCTCATACGATTTCCATATTAGCCGCCAAGAAACCGGGACCTTCTCTCTGCCATACTGCATTCACCCACCCTCCCAACTGCAATGCCAGCCACGATATATCCCGATGTCCTTCTTCTCCTTCTTTTCTTTTTTCGCTTTCTTCTCCTCTACCTCCGGCTCCTCACCGATGGTGGAGTCCTTGCTTCACACTGCTGGAGGCAGAAAGCCGTTTGAGACAAGCGTTCCCGAGCCCTCCAACATGCAGGGACTAAGCTCGCCGGGCGGCAGGAGGCAAGCTCTCTGTGTCCCCCTGCTTCCCCACGACAGTCGAGGATGGAACCATCACGCCTGGAAGGAGAGGGTCGATGGAAAGATTATCCAGGCCGTTTCTGTCTTGATTATCAGGCATCCAGACCTCCGCAACAGCTGCAAAGCCGGGCGACCCACGACAGTTTAGCAGTAGCAGCAATAGCACGAGCAAAGCAATAGTATTTTTCGTGATGCTATGCTTCCCCGGGCGCAAACTTCAAGAGGCACTGCATTCGCTTTGCAACACTTGGCTTGGCGATACGGCCTGGTGTTGGCGTTGCTTCTGTGCCGTCCTCGAGCAGAGTGGTTTTCTCCTGGCACTTGGGCAACTCCCTTCTGTCACGACTTAATTAGCACCAAAGGCATTCATGCATCTCCTGTGCAGGAGCACAAACTCTGTCTCAGACCATCCGTGCCCCAAAGCGTTCATCCCGACACTGTTACAGCTGTTGAATCTGCTAAAGCCCGCAATCCTTCTGGATTCGCAACCCAAATCCCCGTCCTGGTTGCGATTCTTCCGCTTATCCCGTGCCTTCTTGGCTCGAATTCTGGCCTCTTTGGCTCGATCCCGCTTACCTGCACCGACGTAGATGCCACAATTCCTGGTCGCGGTGGGGCACCGGTTGCAGTCGGACTATGTCAGGTGAAACCGCAAAGCTCGCACTACCCAGCGATGAACAGCTCGGACTTTCACAGCTCGAAGCCTGTCCTCGCCTCAGGAGCCTGGCCATGCATCCGTTGGAGGGCGGCCCATGATCAGCCGACATGCTGACGTCGTCCATAGCGTTCTTCCTGACTGAAGGAGCATCTTAGCTTCTTCTTGCTTCTGGGCACCCAGTTTAAACCCTGATGACAGAGTGGTTGAAACGCTGATGTTGGCGTTCCATCGCGACCAGAATCGCAACGGTGCTGTTCCGGTAACTCTTCCTACAGCCCACAGCGACTACCGAGAACCCAAGTTTTCTGTGCTGAGCATCTGGATATGGCGAACAGCAGCGATGCCCAATATCGCGCAGCACAGAATCACGCCACCAGTTATGCCGACGATCATGCCAAGCATTTGCATCGACACCTGTGCCTGTGGCTCAAAGAAGCTGCTGCAATCTGTCGTTGCCTCAGTCAAAGCAAAGGCCCAGCCCACGGCATCCCAAGCTAGCGTGCCTTGTTGCCAAGCGACAGTGTCGGTAGTTGGGCATCTTCCATACTTGTCTTCCTGGTCGATAGGGTCCACGGTCTGGCAGCCACCGTCCGTTGAACCATCCAGATTCAAAGTGTCCTGCGCAGGGACGAGATCCAGCACGGCACGGATACCCGTGCTAACATGCTTGTGTGGTGTTTTTCCAGGGTTATGTTGCACAATGTTGCACATATCTTTTCCGACATCATGGGGGGCCCGGCACCCTTGGTGCACCAAAGCTGACCCAAGTGGACTTGGAACGAGGCACCAAGACGAAAGCCACGAACATCTAGGTCGCGGCGATTCAAATGAAGTTTGCTCGCCAGTGGACGGTGGGTTGAGGCTACAATACACAATTCGGCCGGTGGTCAGAACAGAGAACGATTGATTTTGCCAATGCCAGAAGGACAGTATCAGTAGCTGACTCAGTAGCTCAGCAGAAGAACGGTGCTTCATTTGCAGTATCGGCCATGCCATACCCCATCGACTCACCAAAGCTCGAGACACCTGCGGCTTCCTAGAGCCTTGATGCAAAGCTGTCGCCATTGGGCTGTTGTAGCCTGGAAGACTGGCGACCGGAACATGGCCCTAAACGATGACCTGCGCTGCGCTGGAGCGGGCTGCCTCCGTGCACTTGCGCTCCACCAGCTGCGCGAGCTCTGCACTGGACTTGCCCAAAGGCTCCTGACTCTCGCAGAGATTCAGGAGGACCTGGGAGAATTTCATGTTGAAGCCATTCCATCCGCCAGTGGCATAGTGATACTCTGATGCGGGGCAGCGCTCGTGGATCACATGTGCCAGCTTGTAGTGGCAGTCCACATCGCTCATCTCATGGCGCTCCTGTTGCAGCTTCTGCTGGCAATCGACTAAGTTCACCTCCGAGCAAGCCTCCTTCGCAAGGTCTGCGAAAAAGGCCTCGTCGGCCTCTCGATCCCGCACGACCTCGTCGAAGCGTTTCGAGGCTTTCGCTCGCGCTTCGGTGGTCTTGGCATTCTCAACGGCCCAGAAAGCCTGGGTGACGTAGATGTCTCGGGCGTCGACGGCACCGTTGAGGGCATCGGCTGGCTGAGCCAAGAGCCCCGAAGTCTCCACCTTGCCGATGGCCTCGTCTGCAAAGGACTTGTCTCCGAAGCTGCAGACGTGGCTCTTGTTCGTCAGCTTCGTCACCTTTAGGGCCCAAAAAGCACATAAGCAAAACCAAGGATGGGGATATCGCATATAAACCCCCTCGTAATGAAGCCCAATAAAGTAAAGATATCCCTGAAACATGTTTATGCTCTTGTCCTTTTTGGGCCCCTCTAAACCTTGGAGATCTGGCTGTTGAAGGTCTCGGAGGCGAACTTGCCAAGGTCGTCATCCTGCATCCAATTCACAGAGAAGAGATCTCCCAGGCAAGAGCCGATGTTCTTGCCCCGGACCAAAGCTGCATCTCCACAGTAGGTTCCCCAGGAAGACTCCTTGGCGTTCGAGGCGGTCACTGCCAGGATTTTGCCGGTCTCGGACAGATCTGGGAACATGGAGCCACTCTCGCAGGCTTCCATGTAGAAGACCATCTGCTTGAACATCTGCTTGCTCTGCATGGTCTTCAGGGTCTTGGAGAGGTCCTTGACATGCAGGAAGGGACCATTCGGAAACGCTACGATGCCAGGGCCACCGTGGTCCACAAAGTTGACGAACACGGTATCGTCGGCTTTGCTCTTCAGAACCTTGCCGGTGGCTCCCTGGGTGTTCCCTGTGAGCACATCCATGAAGAGCTGGGCTGTCACTATGTTTCCTCGATAGTCCACCTTGCAGCCCTTGTAGACATCCGGGGAGTCATCTCCCGGGCGATTGAACAACTGGCCCGGGAAAGGGTTTTCCGAATCCTGGGCCACATCGTCCTGCATCATGAGAATGATGTTGTCGGCAGGGATGCCACTCTTGAGCATCAGCTGGTAGGCATGACAGGCATCAGCTTGGTGCCGGTAATTCCAGAAGCCCTTGGAGCCCGCAGCAATCACCGCCCACTTGTCTGCGGCGGCCAGTGTCGGAAGGAGGGCCAGGAAAGCTCGGAGTGCCATTCTGGAACCCTCAGCCGAGCTTGGAGGCGTTGGATGGGCTCAGATTCTGCCTGGTGCTGTTACGCTTGGGATAGCGGCCACGAAGAAAGACAGCTGCAATTGAATCTCTGTCGACATTGCCGCAACACGAAGCATGTATGGGGTTCTGGTGCTGGTGACAAAAAGCTCTCCTCATTTACAAAGAGCAGCAACGCATACCAAATCGAGTGCGTGAAGAAGACGCACTCGTCAAAAGCCTCAAGACGCGATCAAAAGGAACCGAAGGAACCGACCCGATCTTTCTTCATGAAATGCCTAATGCCTGAAAGGAAAATCTGAGGTTTCGGCCGCCTTGGCCTCGGTGATGTTTTGATTGTACCTTGGATGCAGCCACAGAACGTCACGGGGTCTTGGCCGTAGCAACTCGCTGGGCTGTTCATGTTCTGCAACTGCCCTGCGCATGAGGAGTTTTTGCATAGTTACTTCTATGAAGATTGATGACTGGAAATCTGCATCTATAACCTTCTGATGAAAACGGTGATTGGATTGCTATAGCTATGCCCGTTGTCGTGGTGGGCGTGGGTGTGACGTTGCATTACAATGCTAGCTATGATGCTTAGTAGCTATAAATAACCGTCTATCCCGACCATATGCTAGCGTTTTTCTAGCAGTACGGGCGCTCCCGAGGAAAGCTCCACTGCTGCTGCTGCTGCCGCCGCTGCTGCTGCGCCTCCTGCTATTGCCCCTCCTCCTCCTGCTACTACCACCACTACAACAACTACCACTCCCAATGCCAGTTCGACCTCCTCCTGCTGCTGCTGCTACTGCATCTACTACTGCTACTTCTACTGCTGCTACTACTACTACTACTGCTGCTGCTACTACTACTACCACCACTACAGTACCACCACCACTACCACCACCACTACCACCACCACCACCACCATCACCACCACTACCACCACTACGACTGCTACCATTACCACAGCCACTACCGCTTCTTCCAAGAACACGGTGGAATTGCCATTGTTGTTTACGAACACCACTACTACCACTGCCACTGCCGGCGGCTGCTATACAGCAGCTGATGCTACTGTTTGCTGTTGTTGGTGCTGTTACAATGGAGGCGACGATAACGACCACGACCACTGAATCACTACTGGTCACTACAACGACGAAAAACACCTACGACGGCGACCCTTTCTACTTCGACGAAACCTTGCTACTGGTGCTACAGCAAGCGTTGCAAGCAAAAGTGAGCCCTCATGGTCGTAATCATGCTTGCAACAGAAAGCAATTGAAAGAAACGCTGGCATCGGCTACCATTGAATTGGTTTCTCTTCTTTGGGCTTCTCTTCTTCTGCCAGGCGTCTGCTCGAGTTCCTGCTGTGCAGCCAGCTGCTCGTCCGTGGCCAACTCGAGTGTCGTCGTGGTGCTGGTAGTGGAAGGCCTGGCTAGGGCAGTCCGATTCTGAACTTCAGATGTTGAGTCTTCTGCAGGCTGAAGGCCGCCTCAAAACTGAGGTTTTGCCGAGACTTGCTTAGGGAAGGCTTTGTTTCATGTGATTTCACGCCGTCCGGCGCAGGCTCTGAAAGCCGAGACGCCCCGATGCCTTTCTGGTTCAGAAGCATATTCATGACACTGGGCGATGCTGTCATGGCTTGCTCTCATTGGCTACACCACATCCATATAAGGTGTTCTTACGGCTGTTTGCACGACTGAGAACATCAGCATACGACAATGACAAGGGCACGAAACGAGATCAAGCATGTCCACTAGGCACCTCCAAAACAGCTCCGGGCCCGTGTGGCCCACAATCCGCCCACAAGATTCCTTCAGGCCGAGCCAGGGTGCAGGGAAAGGGCCCCAATAACGGCTTGGCCTTAAGGAGGTTCGCAGGATGGAGCCGAGATGAAAAGTTGTGCTTTGCTGAGGCTTTGCAGATTCAAAGGCTTATCGCTGGGCTTAACTGAAGATTTTGTGAATAAACTTGGCCAGGCATCGTAGAAGGATTCGGAGGCCGTGAAATTGTGAAGGCCGTATTTACAAACAGTTCCACTGTACTGGTCGACGGATCCCGCCAGAACATCCATGACATGCAAGTAGACTTTGATCTGAGAATGCGTGTCGTAGTGCATCATGTCCGTGGAATACAGATTTTTGGCAGTACACTGGAATCCGGGAGCTGCAATGACGTAGGTGTCGTAGACCTTGTCTTCGTTCTTCTTGAGCCACATGCTCGCCAAGGCAGCATGCGAACCGCCCAGACCCATGCCAGCCAGATATACGGTTTTCACGAATTGCTGGCCTTCTGCCAAGACTGTCCGCACCAGGTTCTTGATCAAAGGCCAAAGACCTTCAGTGTCCAGGTAGCTCTGGGCAATCCCTGATCCAACGCTGACCGTTTCCGCATCCACGAAGGGAGAATATGCTTCGTTCAGGAACGCACAACGGATGGGAAACTCGTGCGCTTGATCTGCTTTCCTCGGCTGAGGTTTGGGACTACCAGCAGCAATAGCAAATGTGATACTGGCTGGTGCTTATCGCTCAAGGCACCTCCAAGTGATGTTCGTTGAGGCGGCCTGCTGGGCGCTGATGAGCCACTGCTCACGCAGAGAGTCCCTGGGCTTCTGGACTTACATTTGGGGCCTCGACACTAGAGTACTGACGAGCTTGCGCTGTGAGCACACGGCATTGCACAGAATGGCACAGACCACTGCTTCATGAAAGCCAGGACAACTTGCTCGTTCGGTCTGTCTGTCTCTTTCGCACCCTGAGTGGGTCTGCTTGCTCACTCTTTGCTTTGCTTGGGGCACAGTTTGAGGGCCGTAAGGGCTACAGGATTGAAGAGATGAAGTGCCGAGGTCAGAAAGCTTGAAGCTTGAGGTCGTTCCATGGTCCAAGCGGCTCGAACTGCTCCAGCAACCAGGCCTCTGCAGCAGGACCCATGCAAAATCTGGCCCATTTACTCCCTAGACAAGGAGAACCCACACAGAAAACAAGAAGACGGTGCAGCAGTGATGCAACTATGACCTGTACTGACGACGGCAGTAGTAGAAGAAGAAGTAGAAGTGGTAGTGGTGTTTGAAGAAGTGGTACTCGCCTAGTAGTGTGTACTACAGGAGTATCAGTAGTGGTGGTGGTGGTGGTGGTGGTGGTGGCGGCGGGGGTGGTGGTGGTGGTGCTGGTGCTGGTGGCAGTTGGAGTGGTAGTAGTAGTGGTAGTGGTCCTGGTAGTGGTCGTGGTAGTGGCAGTGGCAGTGGTAGTGGTTGTTGCTGTAGAAGTTGTAGTAGTAGGTAGTAGCAGTCGCAGGAGCAGCAGCGGCAGTGGCGGTGTTGTAGTGTTGATCACAACTGTGCCTGCTGCTGGGGAATGGGGGCTGTGATTGTGAGTAGTTGTGGTGACAACAAATAATGATGCCGCCTGTGGATGGTCGTGGATTAACTCGACAGGTTTGTGAGCTTCTCTATGCCGATAAGCTAGAGGGCACTGCAGTTAAACCCTACAGTAGCGATCCGAACCTATTTACTACCCGGCGCCTCTGAAAACATAACTCACGTAATTAAGCCCTCAAGAAACAAGAGACTCCTCCAACCCACAAAACTCAGAGCCCCCAACCCCGCCACAACCCTTCAAAGCCCTCCGAAGGCCATTCACCTTGTTCTGCCAGATGAGATTTGCCAGGTCGGAGGTTCCCAGTCCTGCCTGCAGCACCTTCCCGGATCGACACCAAGGCTTCATGTCATGTTCTGACAAACATGACCGTAAATCCGAAAGCGTGCAACCGCAAGATTTCATGTAATCTCGGCTCTTGGGGCTAGAGAGAGAGGGTTCAGTAGGTTCAGGAATACCCAAGTCCTAGGTTAGGCTTCTGCAGTCTTGTTTAAGCCGCAACGCCCTAGCAGCAGAGTGTCGACGTTGTCGCTTCCCTATAGTAGCTGCTAAGGAGATACTATAAGAGGAAGAACTGAGGCCTCGCGCTGGGCCACAAAGGAAGCCACCCAACGCGGAACCTCAAGCCCCAGCAAGCCCAAGCACTGCCCTCGGACAAGGCACGAGGATGATTGAGTCGGTGTCCTCATACGTGGACATGGCCACGCCCTGGCTCCAGTCGAAGTGCTGAAAATTTACCTTCATGCCTGGGCCTGGTCAGTGCGGCACCCCGAACTTTGGTCTCTATCTGCTTCGTGATGACGGCTCGAAACCCACAATCCGAAAAATGGTGGATGCTTTCGAACGGAATGATCATCTGGGTGAAACTGATCATGCCAGTTCTGTTCAGCTTGCAGATGCTAGTGCCGGCCAGGTTTGCACCCAAAAGGCCTGTCGGGATAAACGCGAATAAAACCAAGCAAGTGCTCATTTCTACTGACAGCACTACTACACAGCACTACAACTTTTCTAGAAAACTCTGTCACAGCTGATGGACGTGAGCTATCGCCCCCTCTCTAACAGCGGCTAGTTCCCTCGGACCTCATCTGAAAAGCAGCGCTCTCCGATCTGCCCCGTCTGCGCACCTTATGGCCACTTAAATGTGGTGCTACCTCAGCCCTGCCGCGTTTTAACTTCCATCTGCGCTGCCTAGCTGACCATTAGTAGGGGTTTCAGAAGATACGTAACTCCAATTTGCCCGCGATACAGACCCTAATCCGAGAAAGGGCTCCCTGGCATGGGAACTGTAAAGGTGCGCCTAGGTCGTGAGTCGTAAGTGCTCTGTCCACCTCACTACGTCCACGCGAGGCCCTGCTGGGCCACACGGGCATGTCACTCAAAGCTGCTCCGAGGTCCGTTAGTAAGAAAATATCATTTGATGATATGATAGACCCATACGTACATACATCCATGCATGCATACATCCATTACATGACATACAGCCATACATAGGTACATACAAGTGTAAGCGCATACATGTAAGGTATACGCCGAAGAAACATAGGGCAAAACCCAAAGCTGCATTCAAGTTGGCCCTGAACGATTCGTCTTCCAGCATTCTAAGCTCAGAGCAGCCGGAAGATCGAGCCCCAATGAAGCCGTCACGAATCCAAGCAGTTCCGGCAGCCTCAATCATGGCGAGGTTCCAGGGGGAACAGCACTATGAGATAGGGGGCCAACGTAGAGATTGCCACCCCTGACCAACATCACCGCGGGCTCTGAGATGCTCCCAGCTTCATGCTGTTTTGGGAGCTTGGGTGTATTGAATGGCCCAAAGGGTGAAGTGTGGGATGGGGACACCTCGTGATCTGAAGCTCGGAGGAGGCAAATGCCGAAGTTAAAATCAGCTGATGGCAAGGATGGCAATTCGTCATTGCAGACCGCAAATGGCAAAGCTTCAAGTTTGGCATGTCATTCGGGCACACTGCCTCCACCTGCATGCCATAATGGCCAAGTATACAAGAGCCGAATTGTGAGTCTGGATCACGATCAAGAAACTCTTACGGAATGAATCATTCTGGAAAATTTCACTAGCCCAATCACGGTAGCTTGTTCACTGCCGACATGATGTTTGGAGTCTCTGTGAAACTTCGCGCAAGCCCAACGTTTCAAGATATTACCTCACTCCTGGATGTCAGGGTGCCTGAAACCTGAAACCATGCTTTCCCGATGTCCTGGGGCTGCCACCGTCCGTAGCTCTGTCCGGCTTTCCGTGAGAGCTGTGGCTTCCTCAGAGGCAGCAGCAATAGTAGCAGTACTAGTAGTACGCAGGAGGAGGAGGAGTTGTTGTTGTCGTTGTCATTCTGTAGTCTTAGCACGACTCGGCTGTGCAATCGGTTTGCTGCTCAACTCTCCTAAGCACTTGTGGCTCTATGCCGATTTCATCCGACAACGTTTGCGGACTGCTGCTGTCACGACGGATCACATCATATTCGAGCAACGATATGAATCCTGTACGTTCTACGTCTGCATAGCTCAAGTCGCATGCACGACCCTCCCCTGGCCCGTCGGATCCCGGACTGTATTGCCGCGAAATGTCCATGCTGACCAAATTTGCTCCGAAGGAAGCATTGACAGATTCGATGCACTCGGAGGCGTTGTTGGCGATAGAAGAGTTCTCACACCAATTAATGAAAAAGCTGTCGCCCTTGTCATAGACTTCCTTGAACTGTGCGTAGTTGAATGTAACCTGCAGCACGTCGGCAAGCAAGCTTTCTAGCAGCACGTGCACGTCCTCGAATCGGAATCAAACGAAGCACTGCAGTCGCAAGCCCGAGCAACATTTTGGTACTCTGCCAGGGGTACGCTGGCCTCAACTCAGGTCATGCAGGATAGGGTGGTAAGGAAGTCTTGCGGGAAATTCTATCATGGTTTCCTGCGGCAACTGTGCCCAGGCGATCCAGCATGTCTTTGGATAACTCAATGGAAAATGGTTCAGATTGCAGCCACGCTTCTGCAAGAAGAGCTGTAACCTGAGTTGCGCTTCATTCAGTCCACCGCCCCTGAAGTAAGCGGCTGTCAATCATCTGGAAAGAACCATGGTCACCGGCTCTGCTCAACATGAGCTGTACATACATCTAGACTCGTGAAGATCTGCTCAAAGCCGTGCCATGCTCCCAATGACAAGGTGCAGACCGGACCTTGTCCCGAGGCGTGCGGAAGGCGAATGGTGCAGAAGCCGCCTCCTTGAGGATGTTGGAGCGCGGTACGCTGGAGAGGAGTCCTTGCTTCAACTTCAGCCGCTCCCCGTCGTTCCTGGCCCTGGCCCTGGCTTTGCTCCCAAACCCCCCCCCCCCCACCCGATCTCACAAAAACCGGGGATCTGCCACGCAAGGCGTGGGCGGGGGACATCTCGTCGAAGTAGCCTGGGCCAGTCGCAAGGATCGCAGAAGACTGGGGCGTCAAGATCAAGATGATTTCAATCGCAGCACTGGGAAATATCCCAAAGTGATCATCCGTGCCGTGTCTGTTCTTATGACTCTACAGGGCTTGAAATTCCATCTTCAAGCCTACCCCAAGCCTCTCGCCATGCTTCGGAACCCCAACAGTTCCCAACAGCCGAAAACTACAGGAGTGCCAAGAGTTCAGCGTACACATTGCAGGCCGGATTCATGGTGGGAACTGCGAAACAAAAAATGACGACCATCACTAACCGCGATGTAGTTAATGTAGTTAAGAACCACGGTACGGCTGACGGTGAGAATGACGATATGTGGGCCTGTGCAGGACTAGCCGCAGTATTATGATCATCTGATTAGCAGCAGCATCAAACATGCGCGAACGGCAAACAGCAAGCAGTAGTACGAAGAAACTTCCTGAGCCCAAAGACGGCTTTGGAAGTCCTCAGGCACTCTTGTCTTCGTCCACCTGCCGAGGTCTTGGCTCCCAGCGGTCAGAGGGTTGCAAGGTGCAGACTGTAGAAAGGCATTTGATAGTAAGTTTAGTCTGTGGCCAGAACTTGCGCATGCATCAGGGCAAGCCAAAGCAACTCATTTAGCATCGTGCTGTAATGTGTCGATGCTGCATCATGGTACTGCCTTCTCATGGAGTTGCTGCAGCCTAGATAAACTGTTTCCGCGGCCCACCACATGCTGCTGGAAGTACAACTGGATGCCTCCAAGAGGGTTTCTTTTGCCGCATGAAGCCTCCAGGCGAGCCAGATGAAAAACGTCGTGGTGCGCGGAATCACAGCAACTGCCCACAAGATTTCTTCCGAGCCTTCCTTCGGGCCCCGAGAAACTTTGTGCGCAATGTGAACCTTAGCAGCTTAGCTTCATCGACCCCTGGAGTCACGGCTTATGCACTCCCCACGTGCACTGAGGTGGCCGAGGCGAGGACACTCTTCAGGCGCATGCCAGCTACCTCAACCTCCGGAAGGAGGCCATGTTCGTAGAGGTCGAAGAGTGAAGCGTCTTCGAACGTTTGCGTCCTTGACCCCGCCATCTCCCCCAAACAAGTTGCAACAAAGCGCGACGGTGTGACCGAGGTCCAAACCGGGACACGACATGAGGCAGCAAAGCGAAGAAGGCGATAACCTGAGATTGCACCCCGGTGGCTGTGCAAGCAAGGTAATTGGACGCTCAGCCGTCCCACTTTGGCAGCAGAACCTGCAAAGTCATAGCAAGCGAACGCACTACTCCGTCCCTGTCCCAGCTGGTCGAACTGTCGTCATCACGGTCTGTATGCGCCAGGCAACTCGTTTCATCAAATCGCAGGGCACTCGTCACAGGCTCCGATGGCTCATCCCTCCGGGAGGACGCTACGGCCTGCGTCAGAGAAGAAGGCTGGATGGAGGGAGAAAACAGAATGCAGCGGAAGCTGGATATGGTACTTGAAGCTTTTCTTCAAGGCTTCGTCCTAGCTACGGGTCTAGCCAGACCTGCGCGTGAAAATCCAATATCGAGCCTTATTCGGATTTATGTAGCAGTGGCTGTTGGATTGCTTGGTTGAACGTTGAAGGTTACAGCCCGCGTCGGAGCATCTTCATAAGACCAGTGTATGAAAGACACTGATATGACGAGTGCATCTCGCGATTGCCGCTACTTGACAGTCACCCTCTTCAGACATCGAACAAAGACTCCGGTCACAAAGCTACCCTGCGATCATTCTCCATACCGCACAGCGCAGGAATTCGAACATGATGACCCAGGAGTTGCGGCTGCGCGGCCTGCGAGGCCCTGGCCCTCTTGGCGACTACATCGCCGATGCTGCGGGGAGCCAAACCCGCTGCAGGGCACGGATTCAAAGCCAAACCATACTCAAGAACCAGAAGCTGTGTCCTCCTCGGCTCCCAGCCATTGGGTCTTTGGATTGATTGAATGTACTGCTCGAGCAGACATACAAACCTAACCTACATGTTTGTTGGACCCGTGGCATGGCATGTTAAACACCTGGAAATCCAGGCATGGCAGCATTGAGTGGGAATTACGTGTTCAGGCCTGTTACTCCTGCCTCACCGAGCGATAACGAGACTCGAGCAATGCAAAACAGTCTGCTTTTTCCCCGGTGCGACATGCACATCCGGCAGGGGCGTCGGACGCGAGGCGCGAAGACCTTCCTTCGCGGCGCCCTGGAGACTCTGTGAGATGTATATCGTGTTCCTGTCTCAGACCCGGGATCCCTCCTTGGGACACCTTATCCTGTCTCTTAGTGCTCAGTCTGGAGTCTAGTCTTGGGCCCCTGATGTTGAGACATGTCCGTCTCTCCGTCTCTTCTGGTCTGTTTGGAGACGAGAGGGCCGAGAGTGCCGGCACTAATGTGCTGGCGAAACGAGACGGGCCGTGCGACTCCACGGAGCCAAAGCTGCGCAAAGCCGCTTACGCCCAAGTGGTGCTGATGATGTCGCTCGTACATGTGTGGACGTACTTGGAAGCAGTTTCTGCTATTGATATTTATGTACCATCGTGTGATAGATCTTTGAACCACAAGCCTGCAGTCATGCACGAGGTTGACCATCTGCACTCCAGCAGCCGGCGGTTTAGACGTTCATACGCACCGGGCCGGAAAAGCAAACATAGAAGGCTCTTGCCTGTGCAGATGTGCCAATGCCGAGTAGGAACTCTGGAGGCCGACGCCACATGGGAACTGGCAAAGCCCTTTGGGCTAAGGAACGGCCGCAGATTGCAAACGCACAGCTCCGACCATGTTGGAGAAGCGTCGGTCTGGTGCACGTAGATGTAAGTGATGTAAGCATCTGAAACCGTACCCCTCCGGTCTATGCACGACATCTCATGGAATTTCGAATCCCTGTGCAAGTCTGCGGTGAGTGTGGGGGCCTCCTCATGCCTGCGCCACTAGATGTGGCTCTGTTGATCGTCCGAGCTTGTTGACTCGGTCTGGCATTGGTCACTTCTGCTCATTAAAGAAATTAGATAGACTACTTACGGTTCTGAGAGTCAGCCTGCAAGGTGTCAGGTCTGACTTCAATACTTCGAGTCAAGGTCCTTGCGGAGTTTGTCGAGACCTGCCTGCACAGTCCAGTAGAAGCTGCTGGTGGTGTCCTGCCGAAGCTTCTTGGGCTGTATTTTGGGAGCTTTTTTTGTCCAACCGGCTTTGATTCTAGACGCCTCGCGGGACGGCGAACCCAGGGTGAACTTGTTGCAGCAGATCATTCGGTGGATCCGGACAGCCCTCTTTGCAAAGCGTTCCACACGGCTCAAGTGTTTCGTCTCCCTTCTCCCATCACATGAATCGGGGATCCGGAGGTCAAGCCCCAGATCTACGCAGAACCCGTGCCAACCATCGTTCTCCGGTGACACTGCAGCATTACCAATGAAGCCCTTAGTAGTGATGCCCACATTGGAGAGGAGCACCAACAACTAGTGGGTGCTACTTCTCCTTCTACGTGGATGCCCGGCTCTCGGAGTCCTGGTACGTCGCAAGGCTTGCCAGCGCACCGAATTTCAGCTTCGCCAAGTGGCGATCCAGCTTCCTGTCCAGCGAACTTCTGCAAAGCCGAAGGACTCGACTTACCACTGATCGGCTTCGGGGCTCCGCTTCTTCCGGGGTTATAAAGCCCGAAGTCTCTGTCCTGAACTCGGCCCATCCTGGCCTGTGGCGAGCCTTGCCGCTTTCCATGGCGCTGCCTTGGCGCCTGGCCTGAGCTCTCCGGACACTGGGACTCCGAAGCCCGTGTGGACATGCACTGCTGTGCAAATGTACTCCTAAAAAACTGGTTTCGGGAGTGTCTGACCAGTAGAATCAGAATCGAACTACAAACTGGTCACTAGTGCGCGCTTGCCAGCCTCTGTGTACCGGAAATCCGTCTTGTTTGCTCTCTCTTGCAAGACTCGGGCACACCATGATCGCAGTCTGGTATGATGTGGTTTTCTCCGGTACGCCGGCCCTTCAACACGTGGTCCAAACCGCCCTGTTGCGGTACCCTGCACGCCTCATCCTCGAAGGCCTGGAGCACAGCATCTGCCTGTCCACTCCGCGAAGTCGGGCACGCCGTGGCGGATGAGATGAGGAGGGCTCGGGGCGACTGAAGTGGCTGGAATTGTGATGACTGCCGCGAATGCAACATCTCTACATCGATCGTATCGAGAAATCCCGCCAGAATCAGGCAGGCCAGAGAAGCCAACAAGCTGATGCCTCAGGAAGAAATTGGCGATCCACGGCACGTTGTCGCAGATGCCGCACCAGGATGCACAGCCTTTGAGGAGAGTTCTGAGGTGTGCTGGAGGCTTCGTTGCGTTGAGGCCGGCTGAAAGAATGCCCAAAAGTCTGACACATCCAGGCGAGGCACACACGCACTATCCTGCACTTGATCTCAAACCTGGCCAAAGCAGCCCCGCCAAACTAGTTAGTCCCGCAACTACATGAAACCACTCTTACAAGAACTTACCGCTTGCTCTTGACCTGTTTATGCGTCTATTCTCGGTGATGCAGCTGCTACAAGTTGTGGTGGGCACGCCTCCTTCCGAGCCTAAAGCTTCGACACCGAAATGCCTGCTACCGCACCCTGACCGACACTACCACAGTTGCGGAGATCTCGAATGTCCGTAATCCTAAACCTCAGCCGATCAACGATCAGAGAAGCCTGGTCATTAATTTGCACAAGATGGCAGTACAGTTGTTTCAAGAGCTTGAAGTCCTCGAACTTGCAAGCTGCCACTAGGGCCATGCGATGTGTCTGATCATGAAAGCCTCCGAGCGTGTGAGGCCGTGATGTGAGAGAGAGAGAGAGAGAGCGAGAGAGAGAGAGAGAGAGAGAGGTTGCTTGACGTCAAGCAGCTGCTCTGATCGGTGAAGGTCAAGGAACTGGCACCGGAGATGCCTGGGCTTCAGGCTCTGAAAGTCTGTCCAAGATGACCCGGCCCTGGCTCGTCAAGAACCTCGTAACACAGAGGCCCCTACGCAATACTCCGCATTGTTCAGTAACACGGCTCTCGTGATGTGGATTTTGCTATGCTGCTGAATGAGGGGGTGTTCAGCAAACCTTTCTACAGCTTCTACGAACCGCAATTACAGCCGCTCTCGAACTTGAGGATGCGTGCGGTTGCTGTAACAGGGACCAAGGATGGCAGCAGGGGCGAATAAACCAAGAAGGGCTTGGGAGTCAGGGTCTGGCTACGGGAGCTTAGAGACTCAGGGCTGTGCTATGTGCTCTGTTCGCAATGCGGAAGTTCCCATACCCAACTCCAATAAGTCCTCTAACATGGGCCATAAGTATTGTTACCCTGCTTATACTCATTTATCACTGCCCATGAACCTCAACACCCAAGAACCGAAACCCCCAAGTCGAATCCTGGCCGCCGGTCCAGCTTCGGCGGCCTCGTCTCGTGTGGGTGGTGGCAGTACTCGCAATCTTCGCCTTTGGGGCAGTGACCCATCCTCAGCTCAACACTTGGATGCGGTGTTGTAACATGTATTACAATACAAAATGTCTATATGTATATGTATATGTATGTACTATCTGCATATGTATATATATATATATATATGGAAATGTATTATGTTATATCAAACTATATATATATATGTATATATATATATACATATTACGTAGTTAGACCGGGACGACGGGCTGTAGTTGGCAGGTTTGAGAATTCTAGGGCTCACTGGATGAGCTTAGAACTTAGAACTGTTTGCAAACGCAACAGTTGCGGCGCAGATGTGAAGAATATTTATTCAAATTTAGCTTTCTGCCACCCACGTCACCCGCCCGTGCTCAGAGGCTAAGCGAGTGGAAAGCTGATCTAACTGTTCTAAATCTTGACACTCAAAGATCATGCATGACAAGTTTCTGCATCAGGACACAAGGGCGGCGGCACACCTGATACCAACTGGCATCAATGGCATCATCGGAAATGTGTCGTAAGCGAGGCTTGCAAGGCGATATGGGCACTGGGCGGCTCTTGTGTGTACACTGTGCACCATGGCTGCTCGATCTTCATTCAGTCAGCAGCATGCAGGGACGTAATATAGGGAGGGGCCTCATAATTAGAATAGGTTTTGGGGGCCTCATTCTACTACATAGTTATACGGAACCCCGAAGATAGTATAGGTAGTTGGTAAGGCAGACCGAAACACCTCGACAAGCATCGAACAGCCATCTCACGACTTCCCGTCTGCAGAAGAAGGGCTCCCCGAGCTGCAGACTCCATGATTCTATAAGCATACCAGTGACAGAGTCGTGCGGGACAGCTGGCATGCTGGTACAGTATATGAAGGTGCGTATGTATATATAACTGTATGTATATACATGCATACATACATACATATCCATATATCTATATACATATATCTATATATATATATATATATATATATATATATAAGCGCAAAGCTCAAAGAACCCGCTCGCCTCCGGGTGTCCCAGTCCCCCCCGGCTTGGTCGCGGCGGCGCGGCACGAAGTCGGGGGGAGGCTCTCACCTCTTCAGGGCTCGCTTCGGCTTCGGAGGTCCCTGCTGGTCCGGGTGATGAGGAGGAGGGTGCGGGTGAGGCCGGAGTTCATGGGCATGCTCTGATCTGCCATGTCAAGGTCTTTTGTGCTGCAATCCTCGCTACAGGGCTCGCGAGTCATCGAGCGTCACCTTGCGAGTTTGCAACCTATGAATGAACTCTCTCTCTCTCTCTCTCTCTCTCTCTCTCCTTGAAACCTTGCAAACCGATGGCAAGTTTCAGTGTTGCACAGGGCACGCCAACGGCGGCTACACGCTCTGCCCTTGCCACCTGGAGCTCCAGTGATCTCACGTATGCGGCGTCCTCAGGTGCGCACTGTAGCAAACAGTGGCGAGATATTTCTGCGGGTGGATGACAGAACGGACGGCTGCGAGAACCCTGCATACGGAGTTATCGGGATAGGAAACTGCGGCAGCGGCAGCCCTAATCCGACTAGAAGCAATACCGGCAATACTGGCAGTGGGACATGACAAACAAAATTCAGAAAGAGCCAGCACTGCCATTCTGCAATGCCAGTCATTGTGAATGTGGTCATACCCAGCCAGGTAGTCTTAAGTTCGGGTCAGATTCGCGCAGAAAGTAACCGTTGCCGTTTTTACATGTGCAAAGATGCGCACAGTATATTATTCAGGGAAATTCAATTGGCACTCAGGAAAGAGACATTACTGTCACGCTGCCTAAAAAAATCATTCATGTTCATCCACTGCCAGACTACCACTTGTACCAGTACTTGATTTCGATTGATTTCGAAACCTGTCAAGCAACAGAAGCAACAACCACAAGAATAAGCTGGGAGGGTATCTACAGATGCTGATTATGACATGTGAGTTCTTGAGGTGTGAGATGTTCAATCAGGTGTTGCACGAGACACGAAACAAATAGCGTCGAACTGCGCACGGGGCCTGCTCCCGCTCCCACAAGGCATCTGCCTCGAGTCCCGAAGAGGTGCCGAGGCCTTTCGGAGCCGCTTGGGAGGCTTCGGTTCGGACTCCGGACATTCACATGGAATAATGGAACTAATGGAACATGATTATTGTGGCTAGGTGGTGAGGAAGCCAGCTCTCGATGCCAATGTGCACGTTAGTCTAGCGGATGAAGGAGCAAACGTGGAGACACAAGGTGCATCCAAGAGACGGGGTGGGAGGCTTTCGTATCGTGGTCTCAGCGGGCACTCCACCTGGGAGTTTGACTGCTTGCCTTCCCAGATCTCCTTTCTTTCAACAAATTGACGTCTTTGACGGGTCCAGGCAACGTCGACTCCGAAACTTGGAAGGGTCAGGCAAGAAGAAAGCTTGTGGGGCGTGGCGCGCACCCTAAGAAGAACATGTATTTGCTGACCAAGCTGCTACGTCGATGAACGAGAACCGATAGTCCAATTGAGCCATCGCACCGTCCTGCTTTAGTTTGCTGAGGTGCAGATGCGTGTTGCAACCTGGGTTTCTGTGCCGGTCAAAGACGTCCGAGTTGAGTGTAGTATGCAACGCATCAGTATAAAGTCCAATCTTTGTTTCCACTTCCCGTGAAGACGTGCTGGAAAACGGAAGAGGTGACGGGAGAACCGAACATCTGAGAGGCTTTGGCTTCTAATTTTTGCCGCAGCCACTTCCACAGGAAACCAAGCTACAGTACACAGGCCCCACAGGAACTCTCACCTGAACTTTGGGCCCACCAGGCCAACAACGAGACTTCACAACGACCACAACCACTTTCCACACCAAAGAACACAAGAACCGCAACGTAGAAGAATAACAGTAGAAGAATGTGAAGAACAAGAACCGTAACAAGCTCAAGAACAAGAACACGGACAAGAACAATAACTAGAAGAAGGCGAATAGCGAGAAGACTAAGAATAACAACAAGAACAATAACAAGCTCAATAAGAACATGGACAAAAAGAAGAACCAGAAGAAGAAGAACAACAACAACAACAACTGCTACGAAATACTACTACTACTACTACCACTACTACCACTACTACTACTGCTGCCACTGCCACTGCCACTGCCACTGCCACTGCCACTGCCACTGCTACTGCTACTGCTACTGCTACTGCTACTGCTACTGCTACTGCTGCTACTATGACTACTACTACTACTACTACTGCTACTACTGCTACTACTGCTACTACTGCTACTACTGCTACTACTGCTACTACTGCTACTACTGCTACTGCTGCTACTACTACTGCTGCTACTACTACTACTCCTCCTGCTGCTGCTGATGCTGATGCTGATGCTGCTGATGCTGCTGCTGCTACTGCTACTGCTACTACAGCAACAGCCGCAACAGCAACAGCAGCAACGGCACCAACACCAACATCACCACAACAGCAGCCACAACCGCAGCCGCCGCCACCACCACTGGCACTATCACAAACGATCACAAATACAATGGGTCTGGAATTAGTTTGGGATTTTTTTTTGTTTTTTGCATTTTTTTTTTTTGTGGTTTGCTTGGCCGATCCCTGTGGAGGGTTCATCGGGGACGTAGAAAAATTGCACCGCACCACAGCGCCAGCGCTTCGACGCGCAGGATCCCTGTGGAGGGTTCATCGGAGTTTCCTTGATGTCGTCGTGGTCGTCGTCCTGGTTGTTGTTGTTGCTGTTGCTGTTGCTGTTGTTGTTGATGTTGTTGTTGGTCGTGGTTGTTGTTGTTGCTGCTGCTGTTGTTGTTGTTGCTGTTGTTGCTGTTGTTGTTGTCGTTGGTTGCTGTTGTTGTGGTTATGGTTGTGCTTGTGGTTGACAGGGTGAGGGATCAAAAAAAATTTAAATAAGGATCAAAAGATTAAAGCACCAGGGTCAAAAAACTAAAACAATGATGAAAAAATTAAGTCACGTAAAATACAGCAATTCCTGGGGCAGAGGCATAAAAAAAAAACAAAATAAGGATCAAAAAAATTGAATCACTCAAAATACAGCAATTCCTGAATTTCCCAAGGGAAAACATTATTTTCCTATGGATTTTCTTTCATTTCCTTAGGATCTGATTGGTTTTTCCTCGGGGAAACACGATTTTCCTACGGATTCCGTGGTATTTCCTGAAATTTTCCCTGGTTTTTCCTAGGACAAACACCATTTTTCTATTACCTATGGCATTCGTGTCATTTCTTCAGGTTTTCAGAAGGAAAACATACGTTATCTTTGGTTGTTCCTCGGGAAAATCAAATTTTCGTTACAATTTCGCATTTAGGACGGAATTCGTGTTGTAGCTGTTGCTGGTATTCCGCTTCATCACCTATCTTAAACACACCCCCTCATTTGGCGATTCTGGCTAGCGGGGGGGTTGGGGGGGGGCGCAGCCCCCCCCCATTTGCAGACACAACGCTCACATGATGGGTTTCGAAAACACTGTTTGAATCAAGCTTGCACGGCTCGAAAAGCGCGGCGGTGGGTCTTTCGTTCTTCCGTGCCTGTTCGTGTCTCTTCTTCCGTCAGCATTCTATAACATAATATAACATAGTAAACCATAAGAACGACATAAGATGGTTCGACATCACAAAAACCGTGTGACATTTTCTGACATAACAGAACCTTGCTTCTTATAGCATCTAATAAACATAACAAAAGACGACAATACAATATAACAGAAGATAACATAGAACAAAACAAGATCTTAGTTTATAGTGTAGTACATTGTAACATAGTACAATATAGTTTTTATATATAGAACATAATATTTGGTATATAATATAACATCAGGTTACATTATGCTAAATATTTTAGGGTCCATTACGATATTATTGCATATTCGATTGGACTATGTAGTATCCTATTGCTTGTATCTTTGTTTCTGTGATTCTTTCATGTTCTTTCTCTTTCGTATTTTCCAACTTTGCCTGTTTATTCTGGATTTATTTCTTTCTTTCGCTCGTTCATTTCTTTTATTTCTTTCTGGTGTTCTTTCTTTATTCATTTCATACTCCCTTCCTTCCTTTCTTTCTTGCTTTCTTTTTCATTTATTTCGTTCTTTTTCTCGTCCTTTCTTTCTTTCGTCCTGTCTTCGTTTCTTTCTTTCTTTTCAGATACAGCAATTCTTGAATTTTTCCAAGGGAGAACACTGTTTTCCTATGGATTCTCTTTCATTTCCTAAGGATTTGCTTGGTTTCTCCTCTGGAAGACATGATTTTCCTACGGATTCCGTTGTGTTTTCCAAGTTTTCCTTAGTTTTTCCTAGGAAAAACACCATTTTTCTATTACTTATGGCATTCGTGTCATTTCTTCAGGTTTTCAGAAGGAAAACATACGTTATCTTTGGTTGTTCCTCGGGAAAATCAAATTTTCGTTACAATTTCGCATTTAGGACGGAATTCGTGTTGTAGCTGTTGCTGGTATTCCGCTTCATCACCTATCTTAAACACACCCCCTCATTTGGCGATTCTGGTTAGCGGGGGGTTGGGGGGGGCGGCCCCCCCATTTGCAGACACAACGCTCACATGATGGGTTTCGAAAACACTGTTTGAATCAAGCTTGCACGGCTCGAAAAGCGCGGCGGTGGGTCTTTCGTTCTTCCGTGCCTGTTCGTGTCTCGTCTTCCGTTAGCACTCTATAACATAATATAACATAGTAAACCATAAGAACGACATAAGATGGTTCGACATCACAAAAATAGTGTGACATTTTCTGACATAACAGAACCTTGCTTCCTATAGCATATAATAACATAATAAAAGACGACGATACAACATAACAGAAGATAACATAAAACAAAACAACATCTTAGTTAATTTATGTCATTTCGTCTTTCTTTATTTCTCCATTTTTGTTCATTCGTTATGTCTGTATTATTTGCTTTTCTTTGTTTCTAACTCTCGTTCGTCCTTTCCTTGTGTTTTCTTTTTTCTTTCCTTATAGCTTTCTTTATTTATCTATTTGTGTATTTTTGATTTCTTTCTTTCCTTATAACTATGCTTTATGTATTTCGTTCTTTCTTGCTTTCTTGCTTTCTTCCGCTCTTTCTTTGTTTCGTTCTTTCTTTCTTTATGTTTCTTTCTCTCTCTCTCTCTCTGTCTTTCTTTCTTTCCTTCGTTCTTTCTTTCTTTTTTTTTCTCTCTCTCTCTCTCTCTCTCTTTCTGTGTCTTCTTTCCTCCGTTACCCCCCCCTCCTTTCGTGGATACCTGTTTAATTTTTTTGTGATCCTTATTTAATTTCTTTTTGATCCTTATTTTATTTTTTTGATCCTTATTTAATTTGTTTTTAACCCCTATCCCGTGGTTGTGGTTGTGGCTGTGGCAGAGGACTAGGGGACCGCATGCACCAGGGGACCAGGAGACCACGGGACCAGAGGACCAGCAGACCAGAGGACCAGGGGACCACAGGACCAAGGACCAGAGGACTAGGGGACCGCGAGCAGAGGACCAGGGGACCACAAGACCAAGGACCAGAGGACTAGGTGACCGCATGCACAAGGGACCCTTGGCCGCACCTCGCAAACAAGGGTAGGCCGCACCTTGGAAAAAAAAAACCCATGGCCCCTATCCCGCTTTACTGACCTAAATTCGCCTCGGCTCGGCTTAGGGTTGAGGGCGTGACTTAAGGACTGATTTATGAGGCTCTCTATGCCGAAGAAAAAAGCCAAGAAGCCGAAAAGCCAAGAAGCCAGAGGCCAAGAAGCCAGGGAAGCCGAGAAGCCAAGCCAAGCGCGCACACAAGCCAAAAAAAAAAAAATGCAAAAAAAAAAAAAAATCCTAAAATAAATACGCCTCCAAATACAATCACGACGGCAAACGACAACCAACTGCAACACGACACCACAACAACCACGGCGACAAGGACAAGGATGACGACAGGAACATCCGCAGCAGCAACAACAACGACGACGATGAGGACAACCACAACGATGGCACGTGACGCAGTGTCAACAGGCCCACTGTTGTTCCCAGGCTTACGGCCGACAGCGCATTCCCGTTTCCGCGGTGACCGCGCTTGCTCAACCCAAACTTGACCCTGCAAATGATCACGATGCTGGAGCAGATGCTTGATCCCGAGGATGACTGACACGACTGATGTCGTGCTATTAGCAGTACTGTCCGCAGCAGACTCAAGGAAGTAACGATAGTGCTAATGGAAGTTCTGGCGCATGGCAGTAATTACACTACCAAACTGCGATGCTTGTGAAACACACTGAACAGCTTACTGTTGCCGACAACGCTGTTTCATGTTGTCTACCATAACTGTTTTCTCTTTGCTCCGGTGGATGCGGAATCATACCATCTGCGCCGTCTTTCCCAGTCTTGATCTAACTCTTGGTTTTCTCCGTCTCGTGATGTCCTTGGCTCTTGAGGCTGTTCGCCTCTGCGCGCTCGGGGTCTTGAGCCCAAACTGCTGTGTCCTCACGGCTTCGACCCTTGGCCGCAAGAGCTGGGTCCAAGCTTACCGTGTGCCGCATGTGGGCTCACTAATCGAGCGGAGAGCCCAAAGCCCCAAATCCATACCCACTCTGCAAAGAGAGGTTACTGGAAGTAACGATCCGTGGCTCCTGTACTACAATGTCCTGACCCAAACCTCAGGGGTAGCGCTGCCTACTCCAGGTCCACAGAAGTGGTAGCCGAGCTGCTGGGGCTTCCCCGGAATTTCAGAACACCCTGCGAAAAGGTAATAGAAACATTCGGCGTTGAGCCACTCCGATCACGGGAAGGCAAGATGCATATGCCCCACCAATCCCCACCACAGCGCAGACCTGCACCCTTGGAGGTCTGTAACTGTAACCAAGGCAAACTGTTGGTCGTCTTCAAGGACATGCGCCCAGGCTCCAAAACTGTCTGAGGTCTGCTGCGCGTCTTTTCCTCCGCTGCCGTCCAGCTGCTGCCCACAGCTCTGGAGCATTCAAGGCAGCAGGGATAAGGTCTTGTGGGGCTGAGGATGGGCTTGCTCGGATATACTGGGGACTTGATATTGGGGAGTGTAGATGGGTTCCACTCGCTCGGATTCATCACACCGACTAGTAATGACGGACCGAAAATTTTCAAGCTCCCGTGTGCAGGCCCGGCCACTTGATAGAATCTGCACGACTAGCTTTCGATTCATCACACTTGGCACAGGGCTCTCTGCGTTGCGGCTTTGCTGGTCGCGCCTCTAACTTCAAAAGTGGTCGCCGACCGCTTCCAGCTGGGCTGAGCAGGTCTGCACAAACAGCAAGTCTGGCTCAGCGTCAGTTGCCGCACTGAAGCCTTCTGAGAAAGCGTTCAAGTCGTCAGCACCCTGCGTCCTTTCTGCGCCGTGGATCAGAACACCTTAGCTAACATCTCTGAAAATGCCTTCGTTTTCCAAGCTGCAGCTCCAAATCTGTGTTGCTGCTCGTTTCGTAGGACACCGCAGCTTGATGATAACAAGTTCTGTCGGCTAGGCTCGACACTTGCACCAAATATCGGACAATCTCTGAAGCTGTAAACCATGATATAATGCAAAAAACAGCAAAGTATACAGGCATATCTGTCTTCGCGTATGTTTTCGCACAGTGCGGGGGTATAAAAACACAAAAGCGAGCAAAGCCTTGACTAAATCAGTCTGGCCACGCAGTTTTTGGATTGGTCCGGATTCGGCTTCAGGCACTGTGCAAGCTGCACCAGTTTCAGCAAGGCGTGCATGTACCTTGCTTTCAGGAACTTCTCCAGAACACTCGAGAGCAGCAAAAACCAGTCATGCATGGAATCTGTAGGCTGAGGAGAGGAGGCAGGCGATTTTGCAGTCCCAGAACAAAAAATTCTGCCGCGCTTCTTCTGCGAGTCCGGATCCATGTCGTAAGTGTTGAAATTGTCTCCTGAGATTTGATCGGGAAGCATACCTATGGGCTTGCTGCTTTCGGGCTGGACAGCTCACTGACGTGGCTGCCGAAGACTAGACCATGTTGCAAAAAAACAGTCTTACAGACTCGCAACCAAATTTTCTGAAAAGTATGGCGCGTGGCTGTTTCGTCGGTACTCTCTGGCACCCTTCATGGTGCACGCCGCAACGTGTGCCACGAACGTGTTGTTCCACGTCTTGTTGCCTGCACCACGGGGCAAAGCAAAATCAGAACCACCCTGACTGAAATCAGTGCTTAGACCCCACATGGCGTCCCCGAGCGTCAAGGTCAGTTCTGCTCACGTTGCTCCGGCCCAATGACACTTATACAAAGCTCGAATAAAATAAACAAAATAGGGTGTAGGTTACAGGACATATTGGACATATATGCCTGAGTACACCTGTGTAGGGACAAGAGAGCAACATCATTACCAGTTACGAAGCATCTACTCTCGGAAAGCGGTGCAAGGGACTGGCTGGAAGCAAAGGCAGGCCTAAGGTAAGCTTCATGTAGCCGGCGCGTGCCGCCAAGTAGTCCAGACTTTGAGAGTTCGACGTGATGTCGTCAAGCTGCGCTAAAACCTCCCATTTCACTGCTGACACTCTTCGGAAGGGAGCAAAGTCGGTTAAATCTTGATGGTCAAGCTCCGGAAATCGAACACCCGAGACAAACTTTATCAACTTCATCGTCGACTTTCGTTGTGCGATACAAACTATTCGGCTTCGCGCACTCCAACCTACCTCATAACTTCTCAGCGGGGACCGGCAACCCCCCTTGCTTCGGCCAAGCAACGCTTCTCCTTAGCAGAGCAGCCAAGGGACTGAGTGGCAAGACTCACAGGGCAATCCCAATTTCTATCGACTCAGTGGGGGAACCGGACCCTGAAGACGCACTAAAGGCGCCAAGGCCCAACAGTAGATGCATCGTCTATTGTGCAAGTGGCGATTCAGTGGCGGTTCAATACTTGGCGACACCATACCAGTGCAGTACATCCAACCGGGTACTTGCCTCCTGAGAGCCAAGTCCTCCTCTCCACTCCCGAATCCCTCAAACCGTCTGAGCCTCTCTGCTCTTAAGCCTTGTTTTCTGGTCGAGCGTCTCCTGTTGCACCTTGCCTTCCATGCCGGCGCGGGTCTCGCGGCCGCGGCGCACCGTCTTTTCAGACCGGTCCTAGGTGTAGAACCGAGCATGGCCACAAGAGATTTGATGCCAAGGTGAGCGCTAGTAGCGACATGCTTCGACAGAACAAGAAGTGCAAAGCGACTGACAGTCTCCGGTTCTGGGATCGCATTGTCACGGTTCCAAGGCATGACGTACAGAGGCAAACAACATAAGCTGAGAAAGGAGCGTGGACTCTGAACCTTTGGAGTGGTCATTCGATCCGAGCAAGCCCCGGGCTCCGCGACAAGCTACAAGTATCGGTGCAAGATCCAGTCTGCAATGTCACAGGCGGCGAGGGTTCTTTGCTACCCCAGCGTTCATCCCGAAACCTGCGCATGGGCTGGCACCTGTACTCTTGGCTTCTCGCGTCCGTTGCTAACTATGCGTTGAAGGGCCGGTTTGCAACTGCAGCTAAGATTCCAACTCTCTTGGGTTGTGAAGTCTGCGAATCAGGAGCTCCTTGCAACATGCAACTTGCAGCTTCCACGAGATTCTGATGCTCTGAACACTGACGTGGCAGCCGAAAGTAGTATTCTGACTGTCGTCGTGGCGTGGTGTCGGGACGAAATTAAAATTGATGCTGGGTTGACATGCCGCTGTATCAACTCAGGGCAGCGCCAAAGCTTCCATGGAAGGCTTCAGCAGGGGTTTCAACGTGGTTACCTGAGAGAGAGAGAGGCGAAATGGCCTGGTGGTGTTTAATCACTTGGGTCTCTCTGTTCACGTTTTCCGCGCCCTGCTATGCCCTATTGCAGGGCCAGCTTTTGAGTTCACTAACATCCAAGAGAGTTGTGTTGTCTTCGTTTCGCGTTGATTCGCTCAAAGCTCGCCAAAGCTGTCCGGGGCTGTCTTCCTACCCGGGGCAACACCAAACGGCTACCTGAACGATACCGTCGACCTATCTATCACCCCCCACTGTGGCCATAAGAATTTTAGCGGAAGTCACTGCCAGGTCAGGGAAACCAGCATATCCGTCTGCGGCCTTCCGCGAACAGGCAAAGGTCTCTAGTTGGCAGGAAAATTTTGTTACCCTTTTATGTCAGCTGTGAAAGGGCCAACCATCCGTAACCTACGGCTGTTACATCCTGGTGTTGAGGCGTCAGAGCTTCAGATTTTGCAAATGTCGCCAGGCTACCACATAAAAACAACGGCGCGACTTGCGCAGTACTCAGCTTCAATCTCATTTTAGCCGACACTCCTTTGAAGCCTCCCCTGTGCCTTGCGCTGCCACTCCCCGACATAGAAGCGCACGTAATGCTCTACCCAGGCCGTGGCTGCCTTTGAAGGGCTGAAACCATCGAGGCAGCCGTTTATTATCTACATATAAATATACATACATATATATATATATATATATATGTGTGTGTGTGTGTGTGCGTGTGTGTATATATATATACACTGTATACAAATGTAACAACCGTGTATGTCATAGATGATAGGTTATATCAGCCCTGCCTTGCTACTTGGAAGTACCGGCGATCGCGAAGCATCTTTCAGAAAGAGTTTGGCATGACTTCATACTACTGGTAGCCCGGAGGAGGTGCGGTCGAAGCAGCTGCAAACGCATGTCTCATGTTTCTGCACACTATTCCTTGCGATTATACGCACCCTTGAAAAGCTAGCTTTTTATGTTTTCAAAAGCCCTGCTTGGCCTTGAATTTGTCTCGGGGAAGCAGCTCGGCCGGTGGATTCCCCCAGTCAATGATCTCCTGCTAATACTGAAAAAGACCATGGAATTCACAGCGCTAGTCTACGCTCATGGCCGCTTGCTGCCAACAGTGACAAGTTCCAACATCACTGAGCTGTCTTCTGACATACATGTAATGGCAGTCAGCACCGAGTTCGCACAGTAAGGGTACCCGGCCCTAGAAATACGTAGCGACTGTGAACCTTGATGATACAAGTCATGCCCAAGTACTAGTAGGAAACTAGCAAGGACAGCAAAATGGATGAACGCCCGATGCCACCTGCACAAGATAGTAACAGATAGTAACAGTCCTGACGTGGTGGTATGACAAGACCACGAGATACTGCGAGCGCACTACATGACAAGACGGTCGCAGCAAAAACCAAATCTCATGGCATGTCACATCAATGTCATCTCGGACGATCGCGATGACGAGCAGAGGACGGATGTAAGCAGGATGAAGCTTCGGGGACTGGAACAGAAAACATCAAGGATAGTGTATAGCTGCTTTTCCGTTCGTACAGAAACCGCATGCACCCACAAACAAAAACAAACAAACAAACAGTGTTTTGAAGCGGAGCGCAATGTTTGCAACCAAGCGGCCACGCCATCGGGCCTTGGCATTCCATGGTGGGACAGGCAGCCACGTGGAGGGCTATCATAAGAAAGGTCCCCATCCCGTTTTCGGAAGTCCGGGCAGTGCAACAGAAGACAGAAATACAAAACAGAAAGAAACTGTATAGTAAGTCAGCAACTCAAGAAGAAACTCAAGCTACGTTTGAGCTGAGTCCCGCCATGTGGCTGGCAAAAGCTCTGAAACCCTACACTCAAACACAGCATCTCATGCAGGAGGACGTCTGCTGACTAACCACGTACCTCAAATGCCTGCTTGCATCCAGCTCCCTGACTATAGTCCAGCACTCTAGCTGTCTGGCACTTGCACCAGTTGAAGTTCTGTCCAGCCTGGTGACATCCACGGCCGCGATCACGGACCGCGACCGACTTAGACGCCACGAACCGATATCCCGCCGAAGCATCAATCCAGACATCCTCAAACCTCTCGCCGAGGTGCCCGAAGTCCTCGCTGTCCGGGGAGTTGTCCAAGTCGCTAGAATTGGGATCAGGCTCTGGGGGCTTTTCCGCCATGCACCTGAAGCTTGGGAGCAAAATAAACAATCATGACAGCGACAGCAACTCTGCCTGTGACGACGCGTCTCACCGACTCTCTCTTGCAGTTTGATACCTCGGACCCTAAGTGGCCTGAGATCTAATTCGATTCTGGGCACTTGCCCTGCTTCTCCATGATCTTGCCTTGGCTTTCAGGCACATAGCTTCCTATGCTGCCTGTTCTGACAAGAAAATGTCGCCCAAGTAAAGCTCCGGCCTGCCCCGAAGATGATACCAACAGGGGGCATCTCGAGAACTAGCTCTCTTTCAACACGAATCCCCTACGACAATGACCACCAAGGCGCAGCATTTGTAGCCCCACCGCTTGGTCTCTGCGTCGTAGAAGGAACCCCAAACTGTGGTGTGCTCACCGATGCACCTCAGAAAGATTCGTCGCATGAGAAACTCATAGCTCCCTGTTGGGAGATCCTTCTACCTCGGTGCCTGAAGGCCATGGCTGCTGGCATCTGCCGGTTGGCGGTCTGCACATGTCGGCTACACCGAAAAAGGCTTGCAACCAAGCAGCACATCCTCTTTGTAGAGGGTCGACCTTAGAGCACAGCAGTTCCCAATCCTAGCTGGTGAACGCGAAGGAGTTGCGACACGTGCTTCAGAGATAAATTGAGATACCAGAACTGCTGGACCCTGCAGACCCATGCAGCTTGCTTTGTTGGGTCCCTCTCAGAGCATCGGCTTCGATGTTTACAGTGTACAGCATCCATGAATCCATGCCATCGGAGTTCCGGGAAGGGTTCACCCTGAAGCCACCAATCAGCATGGAGAGATACAATCGGGCTACTGCTTGCAAACAGGTCTACAAACGCAGCTTGCCATGTTGGCTGCCTGCGTTGAGACTGACAAACTAAAATCTTGAGCCCGCTTCACGTGCGCCAGCACCGGCCCCAAGCCCATCCAGCCACTGAGAGCGCAAGGAAATTCCAGAGCCCGATCCACTCTACTCCTTGGGCGGTGGCAACTTCTGCAAGAACTGCCCCTAGGAGAAACAAGGAACCAGTCAGGAGACTCACGGCGAATACCTCCAGGATGAAGGGATGGCATCTGTGCTTCCTTACCCATAGCCCGTGCTTCATGGCGAACGTGGAAAGAACCGCGATGGCTGGAAACCAGAGAAGGTTCAGGGCCACGATATAGCCCATGAAGCAGGCCAGAAGACTTGTTGCAGGCGCCCCCACTATCCACAAACCCAACAAGGCTTCGCAAGTAAGGGACACAACCGGCAGCAAAGGGAGCCAGATATACTGGGCTGGTAAAATGCCGTTCGCCTGTATAAGGTCGATGACCTGAAATCGGAAGACATCCCTTATGTGCGCGGAGAATTCGTCAAGGCTGCCGTACCACTCAATGATGGCTGCGTGGATACATTCTCTGTCGAAATCGTTGCCGCATTTTACGCGTTTTACGTCAAAGCTGGCAAGATCCGACGTTAGTTGCATGTCTTCCTGGTGCTTCTTCCGGGCCGTGTACGCAAGGGCCGGAAATAAGAATATGAAAGTACTGCTGGAGACCCCGAGAAGCCTCGTGCTGCGGCTAACCCGGTCAACGGAATCTGCCCAGCTGGCCAAAATCCCGATCGAAGCCAACTGCACCCAGAAAAACATCATGTAAACTGCAATGTCTGTGGCAATGGGCTTGATGACAATCTTGCCGGCTGGGTTCAGCTTGCGATATGCCGCGAGCTCGAAGACACACCATAGCCTGGGGCACGGCAGGCACGTAGGCAGGTGCTTTACAGTGCAATGGGCTACGCCTGGCTTTCGCAAACAACGAGCCGCCGAAGGAGAAAAGGCAACTGAAGCGAAAACCTTTGCTCTAAGCGCCCTGCCTAGTCAGATACGGCGGGCTCCAAAGCACCCGCAACTCCCTGGAAGCCGCAAGGAAAGCTCCGATAGATCTGATCCCTTGCTGCATCATCTGCTTGTCCGACTGGTGAATGCATACGTAGTCCAGAAAGCAGGTATCTGAGCCATGACAGCTGACGTGTGGATAAACTAGCAGGCCTAGAAAGGCTCCAATAAAGCCAGCCGTCATCAACCAGCAGTGGAGAGGGATCGAACCTTGAAAACCAGTCACATCGGCGTGGAAGCTCGTGACAGCTGGCATCGGAGCCAGGAGGCACAACATCAGCGCAAGAATTTCAGCCAGTGCCCAGGAGATAAACATGGCAGGCCAGCCGAACTGGAGCAGTAACGCCAGCATCTTCAACCCTCCGGGCGTGAGCCAGGTATGCGATAGAAAAATGTCGTAAGTTTGCGTCGGCGTAGACGAACCGAAGAGCTTTGCCTTCTTAGCCTCGCTTGCAATCCTTGGCTTTGCAAACCACATCGAACCTCCCCATCGCAAGGTCTTGCGCATCGACACGCCCCGCATGAGCTGTGGCGAGCGGATGGTGCGTTGTGTCAGGTCTCTCATCTGTGCCAGACTGCTGTCATCAACACGATCACCATCATTATCATCGTAAGAGTCCTCCTGGCTCGAGCTGCTCGAGTCTATCTGGATGTGGATGGGGGATCCCGCACCTGAAGACTCTTCGTCTCCTTTAGGCTGGTCAGTCTCACAGCTGCCGCTAAGGAGAACCATGGCGCTGTTGGTTTTCACCACCTCAAGAAGAGAAAGTAGAACCCCCTCCGTTGGTTTCCTGCTTGATGCTCTACTTGTCGAATCCTCTCGGGGTTTCGGGTGTTGACGGGGTTTGTGCCTTGGCATTCTATATTCACCTGGCACCCTTTAAACCGCGGCCTTTGCCCAGGGTTTAGGCAGATAGCTCTGCCACCCTACAGACGTGAGCCGTGAGCCATCCATCAGTGGGCGGCGAGGAGCAGATCTTCAGAGCTCTCAGGAGCTGCGCGCCACGGCGGCGACAGCAAGAAAGCTCCTGCCTGCCTTCGCAGTGCCTATATTCACTACCGTAGGTACCAGCCCTAAACCCTTTTGCATCAGCCTTGCAAGCCCTAGACCCCAACCCCACCCCTCCGACCTTAATAATTAGAATAGGGTTTGGAATATATTATACTATAATATACTTATAACAAGGAACCCCCAATACCCTCTTGAGGTTCTCAGCCGAGCGGCTCCAACAGCCGCTTTCCGGAAGGCGCCGCCTCCGCCGCGGCGGGCGGAGCCCCGGAGTCGGCCTCCATGGCCTCAGCCACATTGGGTGGTTGTCAAAATTAGGGTCCCTTTTTGGGTCCTTATTATAAGACGGCACCTAATAGTTAAGGTACCCAAAAAGGGACCATAATTTTGACAACCACTCACATGCAGCAAGGATAGGGTAGCATAGAAGAGTAGAATATCATGTAGCAAGTATAGCACAGCATGGTAAAGCATAGTACAATATACTTTGGTGTAGTATGGTATAGTTTTAATACAGTGCCATGTAGCCTAGGTTAAGCAAGTGCATTATAGGACAGGCTAGTGTAGTCGTGTACAGGCTGTTGCGTTGATCAGTGATTGATGTCCGGGAAAGTCCGCTCCTCAACCCAGCTTAGCCCAGGAAAAACAGCTTTGCGGATTGCATCGCCACGGGGAACATGTAGATCAAGAACGTTGAGGGCCTTGCTCGTACCAAAATTGCAAGATGCGCCCTTGTCAAGTCCTTCAACAAGGGCAGCGACGCTTCCAGGCCCTACTGCCAAGACCTCCCGGAACTTCCGCGGCCCTCAGTATCTTCCCTTCACTGAAATGCCGCAGATTGCCACAGGCTCAGGGAGGCTCTACAAGATCGCACCACAAGGTCTCGTGCTTTTCAGCGGTGCAGGTTGCCGGTGTTTGAGACTGTGGAACGATCCCGAGCCCATTCCAGTTTCCAACGCAGCGAAGAGGCTGTGTCAGCCTCCGCCATTGCAAAATCCGCTCGCGCCAAGGCACAAAAAGATGCAATGAGCCGTGTCTACTTTGTCGATGGAGGATTCCGGCGACGTTTGCCAATGCACTGGAGACTATTCTGGGACTGCTCCTAGTCGGATCAGTTGTGCCCACAGACTGGCAGGCTTTATGGCTGGGAGGCGAATCCAAGCGACGTGAGATCCCTGTCTGATAACTCCAAATGAAGTTCAACAGTGCGATGGAATCATACTGTCCGTCTACACGATGTCTAGCTTCATGGCCAAACGGTCCATATTGCAAATGTGGCGCATGCTCTGTCTTGTGTTTCAAAACTTGGGCCCTTGTACCCGACCGTGAATTGACAGGCAGTTAGCCAGCAAAGCTCTCAAAACACACCTAGATGCGATGCAAGGCCTGTCGGGCCCTGATCTGGCCAGTTTTTGTTTCCCTGGTCGGCGACAAAGCCTGAAGTCCGGCACAGATTTATGCCGCTTGAGGAAAAGCACCTGTAGGTGCAGCAAATCAGAACACACTCGATTTCGTGCCGTTCTGGAAATGTGGAGGCTGTTCTGCATGAGTCGTCCCTTTCGTGTCTGTGTAGATGTTCCAGGGTTGAGAACAACCCCCACATGCACTGGGCATTTGCAGGAATCAGGCTGCTGGCTGGCTCTAGAAAAGGCTCTGAGTCTCCAGAACATCCAATAAAACACAAACTCAAGCCAGACGGAAATCTGCGATCATGCATTATGTCCACTTTGTACACAAGTTTCATTCTTCATTATTCTTCGAACGCCGTTTGTGGATCCGTCTCAGGTCGCCGGCTCGAAGCAAATCCTGCTTTAGCTCACACGGCCTGGCACCAAATCCACAAACAGCACAGTTAATGCTAGTTGTGGCATAAGCCTCTTGTGAACTCACGAGATGACGTTGTCACGATCATCTGCTTTTGCCTCCGAATCAAAGTGTGCAAAGATCCCTGCAGCTGCGACGTGAAAGATCGTGTCTCATCATCGGCTGCATTAGCTACTCGCAGTCCCTAGCAGTTGTCTGCAGGACTATCCTGGTTGCTCTTGCATGCGCAGCAGGCACGCAAGCTTAACTTTTTCGAGCCAGGACTTCTGATGCTCAGCTTCATGCGTCTTGGTCTCACCACAAACTTTCTAGCCCTGCGCTGGGCCATCACGTCGAGCTGAGGTGAAACGAAACGGCGCCCGAGCTTCTGGAGGACCCCACCACCTCATGCCGCAAGCAGTAGACTTCGTAGGGCACTAGGCCCGAAACTCTAATAATAATAATACTAGTAATAATAATAATACTAATAATAATCTATGGAGATGGCTGTGGGATGTTGCTCAGCAGGAGGACACGTCCCTCAAGGCCCTGGCACGAAGCAGAAGAACACGACCACGCCAAAGGCGAAGATGCCTGGGGAAAGATTACAGAGGATTGTTGAATTCTTGGTAGGTGTCGGATCGCAAGCTTGCAGTTGGGTTCTTCAGGGTCTCTAGAAGTTGCCTGCATGCGTCGCGGTTGGTTCGCAAAGGCCTTTGAGCGAGAAAATCTGCCAGCTCTCACTGATCCGAGTCCTCCACCGATGATGTAGCTCCGTCCCGCCTCGTCTGTCTCCCTGAGCACACACGAACAAAGAAGCCCGGCCCCAGTTCAGGCTCCGGACGTTGATGAAGCTTCCTAGCATTACCCAGGGTGCATCTCTTCCCAAGGCCGTCGCACGTGGGGAAGATTGAACATGCCCATGAAGCCGGCTTCCGTGTTGGCCTGCCTCAATGCACATACCGCATAAGGGCCTGCAAGCGGCTTCGTCGCGGAATTAAAGGGGCATGAAATGCCTGAAAGGATCAGAGGTGCAAGCCTTAGCGTAAGCAAAATGGATTAAATCATTCTGCTGCCTGCATGACTGGGCGGCCCCGTTGAGACCAAAGTCAGAAGAACGGGCACCCCCTGCCGTCAGCAAAACTCGGCCTAAAATGAAGATGGCACGAACGGCAAGACAGTCGAGTAGCAAGAGACAGGATAGATAAACGGCTCATTGTGCCGGACAAAGCGATACAGCCACGCACCTGTCCCCCGAAGACTCCGTTGCAGAAGGGCTAAGCTCTGGGCTCCCATCTCCAAGGCTTCAACCTGTCGTGGTGCGGCTGTTGGGGAGGGCTACAACTCACGCAACACAACGGAGACATCAAGCATCTACAACGATGTGCGCCCGTGTGTGTGTGTGTGTGTGTGTGTGTGTGTGTGTGTCGTTTATGTGTGGGTGGGTGAGTGAGCGAGCAAGCGAGTGAGCGCACGTGCTTCTGAGCGAGGGAGCGAGCGCACAAGTGTCCATCTGTGTGTGGGTGCGTGCGCCGCGCATGTTGTCTTCCTCGTCGGGGGGCGGTCCTGTGCATCGGCGAGCTGAACGAAATTAGGGAAGCAGCGGCAAGTAAAACTTGAAAAGGCAGGAACAATCACCATCCTCTGCCCGAGCTCGCGGCTGCCGCCAAGGGGGAAGCAGTGACTCGTCCTTCGGGCGCAAGTCGGGATTGCAAATACTCTCAATGGTTCGTGAGGCCAACACATTCATCAATGAAATAAGGCTCCGGGGCACGTTCCAGTACAATCATACATACAGGGACTATAACGGCAAACTATTCGTACTTATTCTGACTAATAGGTGATTACGTACGAATTTGCTGCCTTTCAGCAGAGCCAGGCAAGGTCAGCAAAGCAACCGTCGAAACTTCAGTACCGGCTCGTTCCCCCGGCCCGCTAAGAACCATGGTCGTTCCAAAGCCGCGTTTTCAAGAATACGGCTAGAATTTCGCTCCGAGCCGACGCGACAGAGCCCCTTCTAGAATTCTGAAAACGCGGGTTTAAGACTAAAGGACAGTCGCATGCGGGACAGTAGAATAGAATGCACAGCCGGTCCTCCTCCGCTTCGTCTTCGTCCTCGTCGTATTCCAGCAGCTCTTCTTCGACGGTCTCGGCGCGGAGTGATGCGGACGAGCTAACACGTCTGCAATGCAGAGCCGCTTATCCGCCGAGGCCGCAGGCGGGGATATTGGGGGGTTAATAAATAATACCCTCCACCTCCATTTCCCCCCCCCCCCGCCCGCCCCCCAATCATTTTCCCCCGCCCAGCCCCTCCCACCTTCCTTGCGCTGCCCTCCCTCCGTGCCTTGACCCCCTCCCTCCCACTTCTGCATCGGCTCTGCTCTTGAAACACGTCGATGAGTTCTGTCGCTGTGCTGGTCTCCGGCAAGCCGAGGCAGGCGGCGTAGCGTCAAAATGAAGTGTGGACAGCATGATCCTAGTACCCAGTGCAAATTACACCACACAGCGGTTCATGATGAACAGACGGAAAGTCGGAAAGTCTAAAGTCGGTACATAGTGAAGACAGTACTCCGCTGGTGACTTCGTTAGCAAGCTTGAGCTGCGCATTGTTCACACTGCTGGATGCAGGACATCGCAGGGCACGCGCTGCCACACCCTTGAGAGGCGTGCTTTCATGGCCTTGCTTGTGGCTGTCGCCTGGCTGTTTCAAAGCGGCACGTACTAAAGGGTACTGGACCTGGCGATGCTATAGAGGCCAGCAAAACCTGTTAACCGAGTCTTGCTGCCATAACGAACTACAGGGAGATACATGAGCTGCAGTGGCTGACGAAGCCTGGAACCGTCTGGCTGCGCTGGGCAGCGGCATGGATACTGTTGGTGCAATGTGCCTCGGCAGTTTGTGCCATGATGCTGCACATATATATATATATATATATATGTATGCATGTATGTATGTACATATATACATATATATATATATATGCAAATTGTTGTTTATATGCTTATACATACCGATCACTAGGTCACTAGGGTCAGGATGGCCAGTATGGACCAGTAGAGCTTCGAGTGCATCAAGCTTGGCGCAACCCAGGAAGATACGGGAATGGGCAACACACCGAAACTTGCGACAAATCATAACTCTAATACGCCGTTCTTATGTCAGTATCCTCCGCGTGCCCAGAGTATCCAGAGTTTAACATGCGACGAGGGAGCCATGAACACACCTCGACGAACAAGACGACCGCGATGATCCACCCTCACCTTCCGGCCTCCCCTCTGTAGAAAGACTGGGCTACCGGCCCGAAGCGTGGCAGGCAGCCTACTGCCTGCAGCGACGGGCGGCAAGCGTCAGGCCGTTAGGACTCAGGCCCTTTAGGAGAAAGGCTGAGTGAAGCTCTGCTTGGCGACTCACATCTCGCAGAATTGCATGTGCAAAGATAGTACAGTATAAAAGCGTGAATAGTTCGATCAAGGTTTTGGGGGTGCATTATGATATAACTATATGTGGACTCCACGGGGCTACTGCTATAGGTGATGAGGACATTTATATGAAGCTTCACGGCTGGAAGCTTCCGGTTTCAGGTGTGAGCACAGCTCCGGAGCCTTGGCATCACGCAGCCTCCCGAGTCTAAGGAGGAGACCTTGCGCTGGATTCATGGAGGTGGCTTTAGTTGTGGATTTGGGAGTTTCCGAAAATGGGGGACCCCAATACAGCCCCGTAAACTGTAGGATCCTTAGTATAAGAAGGCCAAGACAAGGTGCCCCCAATTTTCGGAAACTCCTATTTGGGTTTGGGGTTTGAGGGATCTTCGGGTTGATGGTTTTGCGCACTCGCAACTCGGACTCGCCAGACGAGGTCTCTCGGTTCGTATGTCAAGACTACTTGGGATTCGACCAGGACATACAGTATAAGTATACGACATGCCCATCGCCAAACCGCAACCCTGTCATGTCCCGGCGTCGTCTTCCACTGCAGACAGTGCTTGACTTGCTGGCGTTCTTGGCGTCGCTGTTGTTTTGTTATTTTCATGCGGGCAGCAAAAAAGCGCTGAGCGAAGCTGCCCTAGTGCGTCATGCTGCCCAGATGCACGGATGTGGGCAACAGCACCAGATGCCATTGAACCGGTTATCGGCGGGTCTGCAATCATGTTGGCTTTGATCGGCATCCCGAAGACAGGAAACAAGGCTCCGCGCAGACTCTTGCAGCCGGTTGATGTGATTGCGCAAATCGAACTCCTTGAGTCTCCGGTTCTCTGCGACCTCCTCGGTCTTGTCGTGCCCGCTCGGGGTGCACGGCGATTACATCGTCAGGGCCGTTTACTGTCGTGTCCCAAGTTAGGAATGTCTCCGCACCCCGCCCGGCAGGGTACAGAGACATTCCTAACTTGGGGACACGAAAGGAAGGGGTTGATTATCGTCAGTCTGCATAGTCCAGTCTGTTAAGAAATGCGAAATCCCCCAGGCCAAACAACTACACCCCAACCCCAGGCAGCTGATCATTACTAAGGCCAGTACAAGACTGCATCCTGAGCCGCGCTGCCATTGTGGCAGCAAGCGCGTCTGCTCTAGTCCTGTTTACCAAAACATTCCGGCTTTCTCTTGTCTCTTATCGGCGTCTTCATCATACTGACGTGACTTGCAGCTCGTGCTTAAAATGCAGGTCGCGGCATGAGGTTGTGAAGTACTGCTTGCTCGTGAGCTGTGTCTTTCCGATTCGGCAATCAAGGGCCACCGCACGACAACCGGACCGGACTGCCGGATCATGATGGGCAGAACTTGCAAAGTTCATTCGAGTTGACAGCATTGCAAGGTCCCGCTGCTTTCCAGGTCCACGGCACCTCTTTTCGTCGAGATGCTCGAGATGTCGCGGATGTCCAACCAGGTCTGTCGTCTTCAAGTGAATGGTACAGTTCAATCGTCTAGATAAAGGCACAGACCCAGCATTGGTTCATGCATCGGAGCTCTCGCCCAGGGGCTAGCTACTTAGAAGAAGTCTTCACAAAAAAAAGCAGCTGTTTTCATGCGCATCACTTGTCCTGGCTGGGAGCTAACGAATCACGGCTGCGGCCAGCAGGTCACATCTCCGGCTGTAAAAATAAACCTCGCCTGTAAGGCAAGGCATGGCCCGGTGGTCGAGACGGACCAAGCCGGAGAGTCAGAGAGTTTTGTTATGGCAGAAAGAGCACGTGCAAAATCTGCAAGCTCTGAATTCTCAACTAATTCCCACGTGCACACAGGTGGCGCTGCGCGACGTGCAAAACTTACGAATTCTGCTGAGGCAGGTTCGCAGCGCTAAGAAAAAGATGGGGCCAGTTCAGCCGGCCTGCTTGGTTCCTATTTTTTGTCAATAAACTTCGGCGGCCTGTGCCTAGTAGTGCTGGTATGGTTGGTATAACCCCAAGATGTCCAACAGCTCCCATATTCTCATCCCAAAGCAGGTTCTAATCCATCTGCCTGAATGCTGGACACTCCCCACCTGCATCGACTTCTGATCGCTCAGACGTGGCCCGGTCGGATCAAAAGGGTCCAAGCTTTGCTCAGTGCCAAATACTGCTCCTACTGCTAGGATGCCAACTGCTTTTGAAAGACTCTTCCTGGAAGTCTCTGGTTTGCATTTGGCACCCTCCAAGCTTTGATTTCAATGCTCTCCTTCTCAGTCCTCGGCCTCCAGGAAGCCTGGCGGCTGCGGAGCACTGTCATAGGAGCCCTGCGTCTGCTGGCTGCCCTGCACCTTGGCGGCTTCGGTCGCTCTCCGGCTTTGGGATGCCCTTCAAGCATTGGGGCTTCTCCAGTAGGGCAAGATTCCACAATCAGGCTGGGACTCACAGAGCTCAACTGGTGGGCTGCAGGGGTTCAAAAGGCCGCTACAGGAGAGAAGCGACGAAGGTACTCGAGGTCTAGCTACTTTTTTTTGTTTGGCAGGGTTGGTTGTTTCAGGCGTATGCGAAAGATGCACGGGTTGATGCGAAAAGCCTCTCGAGCGATCAAGGCCCTCAGCCCCACACACTCCCCCCCTAACTCCCCGCATGTCCCGGATGCCCTGTGCTCATAAAGGCGCTCGCTTGGCCACGCTGGACGGGGTGCCTTCCCTCAGCTTCAGGCGCCTCCTGCCGGGATGAGGACTGTCCTATCTTCTTGAGCCTTAAGTCCTTTAGCGTTTTGCTTGGTTTGGGAGCCTAGAGTCCTCAGTGCATGAAGTTGGCCCTAGACAGCCCCCTAGTTTCTTAGTTTGTTTCTCTACACGCACCTTGCTTCTGCAATAATGCCCCGGGTGACAGCGACGCGCACGCAGTAGCGCCTGACCACCTCGCAGGGGGCTTTGCGAGGCGAAGCGTGGACATCCGTCGTCTTTTTCTTCTTTTGGACCGGTAGCTTGGTCGTCTCTGCTACATCGAGCTTCGTGACCATATCTGTTATATTCTGATGACTGCTGCTCTTTCGGTGCTAGCACGTGTTGTCGTGTTGTCACTATTTCCACAACGGCGTCGTCGTCGCTGCACTCCTGCAAGGCGGAAACCACTCAACGATTTTAAGACTCAGCCGTTTGCCACGGTGACCAGTCGAAGCGTTGATGATTAATGGACCCAGCGTTTGAATGCAGCATCTGCTGCTTGGAAAGATGCAAACCGAAACGCAACACAGGCACACAAACACACACACACACAGACAGACAGCAACTCACTTTCCGCTTTGCGAACACCACAGCATGTAGCAGCACAGCCACCCAAACAAGACATCATGACAAAAGGCACACTAGAATTAAGCATTGTAAATACGCTCAACACCTTCATCCGCCATTTCTCTTATTCAACAACAACCTCGCACTCCAAAGCCTTCTTCGTTGAACGTGTCAGGTGCGATACAGCAGGCAAAGACGCTGAATCCTCATCCGTGGCTCGTTGTCGGTTTCGTTTGATTCAATCACCGACTCACGACGTGGCTTCTGCACGTGTGAATGCTTGTACATTCGACGCAGCAACTGGTAGCACAAGACCGTGCAGCGTGTGCAGGTATGTGCACACGTACATACAACTACCTTCACCATCCATGCATGTATTCCTCTCTCTCTCGGTTAAAACCATACAGCATAAACTGATAAACAATAACATGCTATGATATATGTTATGATATACAATAACCGCAATAACCCACTACATTTCACTACATTACATAATTCCAGCCCAGGCCTGGCCCAGCTGAGGGCAAGTCAACTTCCGGCGCTCGATCACTCCCATGAAGCTCTCGCGGGTAAGGAAGAGCACCTCGATGTACCTGCGAGGATTGGGTTCTGAGGTTCGGGTCTTGGCCTGCCTCTTTGCGGAAGGAGTAGTGAGTAGTGTCTACAGTTCGTGGAGATGGCACAGCTCCAAAGCATAAGCGAAGATGCCAAAGCCGACAAAGTCACGTGAGTGCGAAGCCAGCCACGGGCCGGATCAGGCTCGTGTCCGAGAGGACGAAGTCCTCCCCCCATACCGCCCCATTGTGACCCACTCGGCTGTTCAAAGCCACCAGGCCCTTGGAGAGGATGTAAAGCACCTGCACATTGTCAAAGATCTCCTTCTGTGCAAAGGCGGCGGTCTGAAGTTCTCGAGAGATGTCTGCAATGCATGCGCGGAAGGGTGCGGTGTGGGCTCCATCTGCCTCAAGAGCATCTATCAGAGACATGAACTGCTGGAAAAAGGAGACCTTCTCAATCCACGGCATGTTCAGCGCCGTGCAGACCTCAGCGTGCAGCTGGGGGCTCAGATTCTCCAAGAGCTTCTGCCTCGTCTGGTGCTCTGCTTGATGCCGGTTCTGAAGGAAGAAGCTGCGCATGCGCTTTCGAAGCTCGGGTGGAAGCCCCTGCTCCTGCATCAAGGAATTCAGGTGGTGCATCTTCTTCCTGAATCTCTGACCCTCTGCCGTCATTTCACTGACGATGGCGCAGACTTCTCCCAGAATGTAAGCCCAGGAAAGGCCCGAGGTCAGGACAATCCACGTGCAAACCAAGCGTTCCAGCACATTCTTGGGCCCGTTGTCTCCATAGCCCACTGACGTCATGGTGTAGCAGCAGAAATAGTACGCGGCTATGTAGATGCGCAGGGGGGAGTCACGGGTGCGAATCCCATAGGGCACATCGGCTGATTCGATATCGTTGATCCATTGCGGGAATGTGTCCTTCATTGACGCTTCATGGCGCTTTGTCTTCTCAAGCTTCGGGTGCCCTATACTGCTACCTTCCCCTCTGCATGCAATAACCCGTCGAGGCTTAAGCTTTACACATGCTATTATGCGCAACCAGATGCTTGTTGTCTTGAGGCCCTGGCATCAACGATCTTCAGAGTCATCGCCCACACGCAGGCCAGCCAGTGGCAGGCCAGGACTAAGATGAGGAGGAAACGGAAGAGTGCCACCTGCGTCCGACAGGCGACAGGACACTTGGAGCTCGTCTTGGCATGTTGATGTTTTTCTTTCATAGGACAACCCTCGCGCCTGCTGGTACGGGATCGACAGCGGGATCTCGAGCCGGTGCGTCCTCAGCTGCAAGATGGAGGTTTTCAGCTTACGCAAGATCGACTAACAAGATCCGGTTTTTACGCTTTTCTCGGATGGCGCATGCTTCGTGCGCTTCCTCTCGAGGTGAAAGGACCATCGCACCTGTCGCTGCTTTCCACAAGACAATGGCCCTGTGAAGCGTCGCAAGCTCATGTGATGCCTGGGTCCTGCAATCCTTGGCTGCCGCCTCAAAAGTGGTCAGCAGCGTCTCAGCCATGGGCAAACGTTCACGGCCCTGCGAGGACTGCCAGCAAGGTGTTGCTCCTATACTGCCAGCTGAGGCCATGTCCTGAACCTTCCGGATACTCTTTTCGATTGCGGCAGTGCGCCTCGAGCATTCCTTCTCCAAGTCCTGTAGTTCCCGGTTCCAGGTGGCCACGGCTCCATGTGCAAAGGCTCGGAGCGCTTCCTTTGTCAAAGAGATGCTCTCAGTGTTGAGATGTGCTGTTTCGTGAGGATCCTGTGCAGCCTGAAGGCGACGCTGGAGGCCCTGGCACTCGTCCTGGCAGCTACGGCGAAGATCCTCATTCTCTGAGCGTCGTTGTCGGAGCGCTGCCAACGTAGCACGAAGTAACTCAACAGACGGAGATGCGGTGGCATCCTGGTGCCAATCTTGCCCTCCGTGCCCTCCGGCTCCGGCTGCTCCGCGCGACGGGGCCGAATTATGCGGCTGCACGTCCAGGAGTTTCTGCAGAGCACCCACGCGCCACTGCAAACTAGCAACCTCTTCTTTCGTCTCAGCCAGCCCTGTCGCCAAAGCACGGCTGCGTGCTTGTGCTGATGCCCTTCCAGCAGCCAGAGTCTCGAGGCGTCCTGCAGCCTCCCTCTCGTTCTTCGCTGTCGCTTCTTGCAGCAGCCTTACCTTTGTGGCCAGCTGCCCTGAAAGCGTGCGTGCCCTCTCCAAGGCAGACAGCCGTTGATCACGGACGAACTGCAGCCTGCTGCTGTCATCAAGCATCGCTATGCCTGACATGGCGCCTTTTCCCTAGCCTTAAAACCCGGATGGCCGTTCCATAGATTACGACTGGCCTTCTCGTGACATGCCCGCCGTACGAACATCAAGCAGTAGACCTTAAGCCTTCAGGCCCACAAACAGCATCGAGTAGTTTTTACGTGGTGCCTGGTCGCGTGGGACCTTGAGCAAAACAGCCAATAGAAAAAGCCAGGAACGGTTGGCTTAGCTGGCCATGCCGCACGACCAAACAGGTACGTAGACGTTGGGCTGAGAGCGGGATGCACACCCCTAAGCTGGAAACACGCCTGATTCCCCTTCGAGCGAGAACTTGCCAAGACAAGAGAAAAGCCAGGGAAACCCTGCCATGCTGAACCCAATGATGAATCATCCATACCCGACAACCACAAACTCTCGATCACCCAGGCACAGTCGAGAGCTCCGCAGCAGCCGCATGAGCTTCAGGAGTCGGAGGACGCGGATTACTTTAATGCTCCGCAGGTCCTGGAACTTCGGGCTTGGAGTGTTTAAACTGCTCGGATAAATATATATATATATATATGTATGTATGTATTATGTCCGGAACGGTTCTGAGGGTGGGGCTCAGGGCTGAAGATCAGGATTCTGTCAAACTTGTCTTTCATTTTCTGGCAAGCACCAAACTTGCTCTCGCCATCTACTAGAATCTACGGTAAGCGAAGAAATTGTTGACACAAACCTTCTGAAGCCATCTCAGCAGGGAGGCCAGGCTTGGGGGCTGGGCGTTCGGCTAACGCAACCGTCCTAAATCCTGTGAAGCCCTAAGTACCTGTACCAGCTACATCAACCTGATGTTGGCTAGGCAGCGCTAGGATCAGAATGCGACGGGCATGGCAAAAAAACACAGACCTGACGCATCCACAGCGGCGACCGCGAGCACGACGACGAGGACGACACGCCGAGGACAAGACACGATGCCACAAGCTGCACACGAGGTGTGTCCTTGAGGCTATCCGTGCCGGAGGATACTCCGATCATGTCGAAGGGGATTAAGGTCACGAAGTCCAGGAAGAACCAGGTCCTCATGGCAACTGGCCGGAGAAGCTGAGGCTCCCCACAATCGGACCAGCTCCAGCGGCTTGGGGTTCGGGTCTAGACGGATTTCGGGGGCAGTGGTCGTTGTTTCCCTCTGGGAGTTGGGGTTTCGGGCTTAGCGGGATCGGTGTTCCGCACTTTTATGGAGAGCGAAGAGAGAAAAGCGCAGCTTATGATCTGTACTTACGGGGTCTGCATTTCGTGTGCACACTCCAAACGCTGTGGAGGGACAGGGGGCGGATTGCCCACCGTAACAACTATTCCAGAATCAAGTCATAAAAGAAAACCGACAGGAAGTAGTGCCAGTTACCACGCGTTGATGTGGTTGCCGCCTTCAGATCTAAATACATCCAAGTCTCACACCACATCAATCGTCCGAAGGCTCAGTTCATCGGTTACTAAGAAACCATGGTGCCCTCTGGCTGTCCCTTGCCAAGGGAAGCTCGGCCGCAAAGGAATCGAACCCGGGGCCACAAAGGAATCGAACCACCCGGGGCTACTTCCCAAAAAAAAGTCTAACAAGGTTTCAGCAACTGCGGTCGGACTAGCCAGGCGAGTTTCCACAGCTGCACTCCTCCTACTCACCTGGCAAGCTTACGGGATTCCTGGCAAGTTCAGTACTTGTGGCGATGACAACTGTATTGAAAGGGCGTAAGCAAAGTTCCAGGGGGCTCAGGAGACTTACCTCTCCCCTACCCAGCAGACGCTGTCCTCAAGTAGTTCTTGGCAATCTTCTGTGGATTGAGCTCCCACTCCAACCCACGGGCTGTCGTCCGCGGGTACATCGTGACGAACTGGAGAATCATGTCGATGACAAACACGAAGTCGACCATCATGGTTAGCACGAAGAGAAAGTCCAAGTGGATCTCCAGCAAGCCGACCTAAGCAGGCTCAAGGGCTTTGGGGGTGCTTGCGGCTTGCTTTCCGAGGCCATGATCGAAGATGTAAGCAGCAAATTATCGTATGTCGTAATGTCGTAGTGTAGTCAGTAGTCAAGCTACTTGTAGAGGAGTTATCAAGGCCACGAAGGCGAGGGCGAAGTTGGTGATGATCTGCCAGGCCGTCGAGAAGGGGTTGGTGTCGGGGTTGATGACGAACCACGGCTTCTTGACCTCAAGATCTCAAGGAGCTCTGGATCTCAAGCTCAGGTGTTAAGAACTTGCAGAGCCCGGAATTGCCCGTATGTAAGAGGGCGATGAAAAACCAAACTTCTTCTAGAAGCCATGGCCAGGCACGCCAAACTCTCGGGTCCTTTGCGCACGCATGATCATGAAGCGGACCTGCTGGGATTCGATGAGCTTCGACACCCGGGAGTTCCTCCGAGGCTGGACTAAGGGAATCTGTGAGATCTGGGAGATCTTGCTCGGCCGGTGCGGATGTGGAAGGACCACGTCCTTGGCTGCAGACAAAAGCGTTTCCCGATGTTTGCACCTCCCCACCTGTTACCGCCAAGCTGCGGTCTTCAGGCCAGTGACTTCCTCTTCGTCCTCATCTTGTTGGCTCCTTCTAGATCTTCGGACATCCCCTGGTCCCTCAGGATTCGGAGGGGACGGGAGGTCGCACTGCACGATGGGCGGCATCTGAGACATCTCGACCGGAAGAGCTGCCACTTCCTTACCGAATCTGACTGGTTTGCATGATGTGGTCTGGTGATGTCATGCTGCACTGTGGCCGAACAAGTATGAACCAGGTTGAGCGAAGGTTCCAGTAGTCGTTTGTTTTGGAGCTCCAGATCCCGCAATTTGGCGGACTGGCGCTCCAGTTCCGTAGAGAGCTGTTGGAGAAGGCCCCTCCATGGCTCAGCCATGGCAGCAGCCCCTCCTAAGCCCCAGAAAAATGCTAATCGCTACAGTCCTACAAGGCCCTACAATCGACGATCAGGCAAACACTTCGAAGCCTCCAATCCCAGCAAGAACATGACTCTGCTGCTGGTCTCTGCTGAATCCACTGTCGCAGTGCGATGAGACTGGGAGATGGGCTTGGTCCATGCGGGAAACAAGCACAGGTTTGCCGCTGCTGGACATATATACCTCACCCAGAAAACTCCTCTACTGAGCTCGCTGTGGCAGGCCCCTGCACAAGACTTCTCAATGTGCCTCACACACCACACGTCATTGGCCGTGGAGTCGAGCAGTTGAACGCCACCGCCTTCTGGACAGGTTTCCTGGCACAAGCAGAGTGAACCCAAAGCCCCGGATGCATAAGACTGCCAGGGGAAGAAGCATGGCTTAGGATAAGCCAGGAAGACAGACGGGAACGAATATACGTACATTATATAATCTACTATGAAACACTACACTATAACACTCTACAGTATACTCTCATATACTCTAAGGTACTATTGAGTTGGCGAAGCCAAGAGTCGCCGACTTGGGCCGCACGGTTGGCAGCAAGGTGGCTGCCATGCGAGGCAGCGGCCGCGGAAAGGTCTCCGGGCTCGCCCGATCCGTCGACGGCCTCAAAGATTCCACGACGATCGCAGTCTGTAGCTCTACAGGTAGCATCTATCAAGCCGATTGTTGCAGTCACAGTCGTGATAGCAGGTATTGAATCACAGCAAGCATTTGGGACAGCAGATGCTACTAAATCCACTGCCTGGAAGAAGTACATGTCCACGGCATCTTTGCTTTTACACGACTCTTGGCAGCAACCAACCATAGTAACTATAGGCTTTGTTTGCATGGTAGGCTTTGTCTGCATGGTTGCTCCATGGGTCGATGGTGTAACAGGAGCTCTCCCAAGACAGCAACTTTGGACATGGAAGTGGGCATGTGAAACCCTGGGCCGTGAGCGGCGACAACCTTCCAGTCGGGCTGTCGTTCGAAGGCCCCTGCCTTCGACCAAGAGAACGTAGGACTTTTCATGTGCAAGATCCGGTCACTTGGAGTCTTTGGCTTGGACATGCCATGCTCTGCGGGGACAGGAACAACTTCGGGCTTGGTGCATCTTGGTGCTCGGGACATTGCGCTGCTGTGTCTGCCGGGTCTCAACTTGCAACCATGAGCCCGAGACCCTGAAACACAAAGAAACGTTGCCTGGACTTTGCAGGTATCCTGGGGCTCCAGGGCTTCGGCCTTGGCACAGGATGCATAGAAAAACGCCACCAGGCTAAGCCAAAAGACCGGATAGGGTTCTGACGGTACTTTGCCGGCCGGCTCTGTCTCCTCTTTAGGCTCTTCAGCTTCTGCTTGTGATCTTTCGTGGAGCGGCTGCAGCGGCGGCTTCTCCGGACCTTACGCCAGGCGACGATCTCACTTCGAAGTCTGAGGAGGCACCCATCACGAATGTTCTTGCTCTTGGGTTTGGAAACCAAGGTTGCGCTGGACCGCACTTGGACCTCCTGCATTGTGATGCTGACGGGTGTGTTGCGTACTTGGCCAATTCCGACACATGAAAGACATTCGCGTCTCGAGTGGCGCGAAACCAGGGCCCACAGAATGCAAAACTACCCAAAACACCAAGACGTCACAAATGCACATCCACTAAAGTCTAGTCCTGAAACCCGGGGACTGGCTGGCTCGCAGACCCAGGAACCTCCATCAATAAGACGCCGTCTGGGAGTCTTGTCTGGAGTCGGCGGCCTGCTCGGGATTTGCGAATAATCTTCTCATTGCTCACTACCCTTACTGTCCCCCACTTATAAACCGCTAAGAATGATTCAGCTGTGGTGTGGGGTCGCCACATCACACTGACACAACCCCCGGAGCTCGGGAAGTTTGGGGGGTGAAGCACGCCTGGTCTTCCTCGCCGACAGTATCGCTAGCGTGTGTATTGCCATCTGCCTATGCCACTATGAATGTCGGGTATCCATGTTGCAAGGTTCTGGCTGTCAGCGTCGCTGTGAGAAGTACCAACACGGCTACTGCAACCGGGCTATTCAAGCTAAGCAGCCGGTGAAACGTTAAGCCGATAACCAAAGACTAAACTCCAAACCAAGTGCGCCGCAGCCGACAAGCCATCCTAGACCCTGAGCCCGGTCTGCGCGTTTTATCGGCTTGTCGGCTGCAGCTTTGCGTTTCCCCGGAATTTTGAAGCCGCTGGGGCCTAGGGTGCTTTGCTGCCTACTTGTAGGAAGCCCTACAACCTGAGTCTGTAGTCGGGCAAGGTCTGCAGCCCGGTGGGAGCAGGCACGGTCAGGGTTCAGGCCTTTCTCTCTTCTTCCTTTCCCTGGCCCAAAAACGTTCAAACTTTCTAAGGTAGACCAAACATATATATATATATATATATAATTAGTCTTTAGTCGACCCAGAGTTTAACGTTCCCCATTGGCTTTAGTATCTAAGCTTTGGGTGTCAGCTCTGTCGAATCTAGAGGCCTGGAAAGTGGCTTGAGCTTGTCCGTGCGCGGCGGTGTCTCCATTCCGAAGTTGACCGGGGTGGCGCTCGCCTGTCTTCACTGCTGGACGGTTGCTGCACATCCGGTGCGCATTTCCACTAACCAAAAGGCTGAAATATCTTGTCGTCGAGTCATAGGCTCGCAAGTGTGATTTGGAACAACCATCAAATTTATGGATCAGAATTAATAATTAATAATTAGCCTGACTCTCGTCTGGCGAGGGTTTAAGGCAGGGAGAAAATGTCGTTAATTGTTCCCAAATCGAATCAGCACAGCTCTGAAAACCCCAAACATCCCAAGCTCGAGGTCCAAACCCTTGAAGTACGGAACCTGGATGCTGAGAATTAATATTTGGGCTTGTCGGTGCTCTTCTCAGTCTGCCCCGGGTGGTGTGCTATCCCGCCTTCTATAGCTGAACAAGCGTTCCGCCACCTGAAATTTAGCACGCTCCCATGTTCTCAAAGCAGTGACCCGCTCGGCCTTGCGCTGACCCGTTGCATCCTCAGAGAATGGAGACCTCGCCGCCCGGCTTACGAGCTTACAGGGATGTCTTCAACTGCCAGGATTTTCATCGCGCATTGCGTGTGGTGTATGTGTGCATAGGCGGCTTGAAAACAGTGAATGTCTGAGAACGACATGATTGGTTCGAACCGGATCCTGTTCGACCAAGAGGCAGTACAACCAAGCGTTGATGCCTCTTCTTGACACTACTCGTGACTGACTACCCGCTTGATAGTTTCGTGCGCGATGCAGCCAATTGATGCAATTGCGAGAATCCCTCGCAAAACTCCTATCATCAAACTCCAACCCTGGCTTTGCAGAAAGATTCTCGATGCGTGAGACGGTCGGAAACGAGCATTTCTCCATCCACTGGTCGCACCAGGTCTACCACAACTAGTGCTCCTACGCTTAAGTGACCTTCAAAGAAAAGGATGCATGTAGGTGAACGGGGTTCTCTCACTACACGTGGTCCTGAACAGCCAGCTCCTGCTGTCAGGGAACCAGAAACTCCCCATAGTAATGCATAAGAAGCCTGCACAACATCATGAGCTACACACACAGTCTGCTTGTGCATTCTCTTTGCTTTTATATGCCTCTAAACACAAAGTATTAACATATGTCTATATATATATATGGATATATAACACTCGGATACATTGTCTTGTGTCTACATCATGTGTACAAACAAAAATATACACATATATATATATATACACACACATACATCTGCACATCTGTGCCAGTGCGTGCATGCCCGCGTCTAAAAACATGTTTGTCTGTACATGTGAATGTATGTACGTAACTATGCATGTATGTACGTACACATGCATGTATGCATGTACGTATGCATGCATCCATCCAGGTGTATGCATATGCAGTTGTCTCGGTGTGTGTATGTATACATGCTGTACTACATACATACATACATATATATATATATATATATTAAACACATAGACACATACATATAGACATATATATATATATATATGTATGATAGGTATAGATGTAGATGAAAAATGGTCTAGGGATCTAGCTTTTAGATATAGATAATGCACACACACATACACTTACATACCCGTCGTTGCAAACAAGGATGAGCCTCGGCGTTTTGATCGACACAGAAGGCGAAGGAAGCGGAGAGCTCCGCCGTCGGCGAGGCGGGCTACTCAGCACACCCAACCGGGAAGGCTTAAGACAGCAGCTGTCATGATTTGAATGGAGCTTTGGGGTATGTGGATTGTGCTATACCGTATCATGGGACTATGAGGGACACCTCTCTCTGCCTATGACATACTTTTACATTCAGATCTGTACCTGGGAAAACTTCGGGGACCTCAAGGCTAGATGCTCTTGCTTTGCCTGCAACCGAAAACATTTCCAAACCGTAGCCGTAGCAGCCACGATTCGCCGCTGCCAAGAAGGTCAAGCGAGATTAGAGATGCATGTGACTGTAACTGTCAATGATGCCGAAGCCTGAGGCGATTCCCTGAAGGCTTGGGATCAATGGAGTAAAGCGGCTTCCCTTGCCCCACGGCAGACTCTGCAGCCATGGAGAGCTCCTCCATGTCGACATTGGCCACAGTCGGCGTGACCTGCACTGCCATCGAGAAGTAAGGGGCAATTCCGTAAAATCCTTCGTCTCGGCCGTAAGCTTCCGGCACAACGTGATCGGGGTGAGGCCGACCGGTCTCCGAAGTTGCCTGGCTGCAGCACTGCGACGCTACGACTACTCCCGGTCCTCCACGTCTAACACTGGCTGAGCATGAAATTGAGAAAGGGGAAGGTACCAGGTATCCCTCACCTCTTCAAAGTATGGCCTTCTTGTCTCGCCAGCATGTTAACACTTCATCGGCCGACAAGTGAATTCGCGTTACTTCGGTGTTGACTACACTTTGGAGCAGGGTTCCAAGCAAGGGTAACAGTACTAGCCCAAACGTTGAGTGAACCCATGCGTACTGCTGCCTTTCTGAAAACAATCTCATGCCCATACATAGAGTGACGACTCCAGGAAAGTACAGAAAGCATTGGTGAGTAAAGCAGCCCTTGACTGTGGCATTCCGAGAGTAGCGATTGTGAATTGGGCAAGGACGGAGAGATAGAGAAATCTGGGGGTGCAAACAGATACGAAGACTGTGCCCCCTGCGACCCCCTTCGGCCTGCAAGGTTCCTTGGATTGGCTGGCAGGCCCGGCGACAGCGGCAGCCGGAACGGATGCTGGAACAGAGACCTGCTTCTTCGGAGTTCAGCATTTTTGCCACCCACGCTCGTGAAGACTTACACTCTTACAACTGGGACGATCCAGGCGTAGGTCTGACAGGCATGTTCGGCGTGAAACGAGTATGGCTTCCCTTTATACTCGTGAAGACTTAGGGTTTCAGACATTGAATGAGAACTTAGCCATAAAATCTTGCTGGAAGAAATGCACACGGAACACCGAAACAAAAGTACTGCTTGCTGCTAGAACTCATACGACCACTAGGTACATCAACGAGGATGGCGCGTAGGATGCATACCAAACATCTGATCGCCACACCTTTTTCGCACCCAGACTCTGCCGATCAGCTGGATACCCACACAATTGTTTGCATCAACCCTTTGCAGCAGGAGTTTTAGGCGTATGCCAGGAAGCTGGATCTTCATGAGACACCAGCAAATTTGCAACGGAATCTTGTCAAGAAAAGGATCGGAATCTACTTCTTACAAGGCTTTCCACTTCGCCCGGAGTACAACCCTAAACCGTCAACTCTAAACTCCGATACTCTGGGGAGCCGTTGGAGCTTTCCGTCTTCTTGCAGCGAGGCGGCTCTCGGAGCGTGTGCCTGAGACAGATGAGGTAATATAGGGCCTCGGTAATTAGAATAGGGTTTTGGGGCCTACCGTACTATACTTACAAAGAGGACGCCCCCAAATATGGAAGGAAAATCATAAAATGATGCATCGTAGGAAAGCACCTGAAGGTAGATACAGACACATAGATGTCTATGCAAACGAAAAACTCGAGGTTGCTCCTGGTACATAAACTGAGGTTGCACCAACTATTTCTTTAGCGGACTTGAGCGGAGTGTACTTCTTCAGAGCAGACTGACCCTGTGACAGCAAGATTATACAAGCGTCCAACCTCGGAAAACCCACAGATCATCGGAAGTGCCAGCTGGCGGTCCGCGCCCCCATCCTCTACAGTATTGCAGCCGTGTCACTGTAAATGCCTTGCATTCTGTCGCTGCATTTCTTGCAGAGCTATCGGCGACACGATTCGAACAGGCGGCTCGGACAACGCCCTGCGGGGCGTTGAAGCCTGAGGCGCAAGGATCTGAGTCCAAATCCGTCGCGTTGCGAATCCATTTCTGCAATGCTTGCTTGGGACACTTGGGACGACACTGACTGGGCGGAGAGGGGCCGAGGCGGCGCAGCTGCCTCAAGAACTTGCATGAACTTTCTGCAATCTCTTGGAAGCCATTATGTGTGCGTTGGTGCTTTGAGCCAGCCACGCTGTTTGCAGAGTGCGGCCGTGATCTCAAATCCAGGATGCTGCCGGCCTCGGCAGATGCCACTGCCCTACACTGCGCACAACCTCCGCACTTCCACCTCAATTACTGCAGCGTCCTGAAACAACTGTTCTGCCTCAGGCTCGTTTTGCAGGAAGCACTAATTCAGAAGTTTGGACGTCCCCCACGCATCTCACACTGGGCAAGGCATAGAGCACTGCAGATTCGAGCGCAGCACCCAGGATCTGGCGTGTGGCGGCCTTGCGTGCTACAGCAACACGGCTTGGCTAGCAGAGATTCTTCAACGTCCGTGCTACTGTAAAGATTACAGGGTCAATGTCAGCAACCTCAATACCAGCATAATCATATCTGTAAAACTAACCTAGAGAAGCCAAATATGTATAATGTATACATGGAGGGGCGCAGAAGACTCTAAGAGGAAGATAAGAGACGAGAAAAGAAGCGAGAGAGGGAGAGAGAGAGAGAGAGGGAGAGAGAGAGAGAGACTCCATCTGGCTCATTAATGACTTGCTACCAACTGTTCTTTCTCGACGATGGGGCAGCGTTGAAGTGCTGTCCAGGAGTTACCGCCTTCTACGTTGCACGCATCTGCGCGACATGGCTATCGTCATCGAGGCCGAGGGCGCAGCGCGCCATCTGATTGATCCACGTCCGATCGCCGAACTGCATCCTGGCAAGGGCAAGAAGGGGACAGTGCCGAGTGTGGAGGGGAGGATGACAGTAGCAGTTTTGGCGTTGGTGCTGGCGGTGGTGCGTGGTGCATTTCCGCTAACACTCCATGAAGCGGGCGATGGTTACAAGAAGCAGCAGAACAACTGACGTCTTCATCAAGCTGAAGCTGTTGATGACCATGCCATGCATGCCGGCGATGATGGCGATGAAGAACGTGATGGTCACAAAGAGCGTGATGATAGCGAAATATAGCGAACAGGAACACAATAACAGTTGCAGTCTGGACCACTGGATGTCGTCATCATCATCATCAGCATCGCCGCCCCACACCTTTCGCACTATCATCATCCTGCATCGTGTGCCTAGTCATCAAGTCGCCACCGTCATCCTCAGCACAACAGCGATGACCCCGGGTCACTACTTACGGTGACGCCAACCTTGCCAACAAACCAGGGCCATGCACCATAAGGCAGCCCTCGGGATCTAGTCAGGACGAATCTGAAAGTCGGAGTAGCTGAAGACCCTTCCCCCAAATTTTCCCCCACCTCCTGCCACAACGCATCCGGAGTCACAGAAAGTAGCTGTAGAACCCTGAAGAGATAAATCCAATCCCAACTCCGTAAATTTGGACTCCACATCCTCAAAATCTTACACTTCTCAAGGACCTCATAAAGCCGGCTGAAGACGGTGCGACTGCAGGTGTCCCTCAACAACCTCACCTGAAGGGCTTGCAGGTATGGCGGCGCAGCACGCTAGCCCCCAGCTTACGGGGTCTCGCTATGTGTCGCTCAGGGCCTTGTGAATTGCGGTGCCCGGGTGGGTTTGGTTAAGCTGCATCCTGATGTTACAGCAAAGTCACGTAAGACCTTTCTGTGTTTCATGTGGCTGCTCGTGCCGTCCTTGCAGCAAATGTCATGCAATCCTCGGTCGACAGAGGTTTTGGGAGAAACTACTAGTTACAGACTTCGCGAGCAAGTCGAGAAAGTCGCCAAAGAGACCAAATGCCTTGCTAGTAGGGAAGGTACCTAAATTCGGGAGTCTTGGTGTAGTGAATTGTCTGCCCAAACTTCTTGAAGGCCTCGTCGAACTACGCCGAACTTGAGTCCGACCCTCATGATATGGTCATTATATAGTGCAAGTATGCGCAATCGTGAGCTGCATGTATAGAAAGACAGATCGCCACAGATGCAGCTAGATCAGGATCCGATGCCTCTTCCTTGATGCCGGTGGCCGCAGATCGTCTTCTTTCTGACTCTGATTCCATTAACCTTCGAGATTTGTCCGCGAGGTTGTGGGGCCCTTTGAGGTGACACCGGACTTCTGGGGATTTCGACAGTTGCAGCACTGGTAGCAACAACAAGTGCCAGCAGATTCTGGCCTCACGCCCTCTAATGTCTATGACACCAAGGGGAACAGGCGAATTCGGCTGTAGGGACTTGGAGTTCCTGTTCGTGCTACATAATGAACGAGATGTGGGGATGTAGGTTCTGTAATTCTATATAGGGCACATAAACGGACACAAGCAGACGGGAATCTCTTCGCAGCTGGTCTCGTCGATCCTCCAGCCCCGCTCATACGGGGCAAAAGATAACTTGAAAGGCAGCTGCAAATTTCTCTGAGCCGTGCCAAATTCAGCACGTTCCGCCTGCCTTCAGCAAGCTCCTACAGTCACAGCTGCTCCTGTTCGACTGGAGATCTCAAGAAGCAGCTGCGGGCGCACTTTGGCGCCAAAGTCTGTCTTAGGTATACGACTGGCATCCAAGGAATTCGTTCGCTTCCGCTGCGGTCGGACAAGTTGCATCGCATTGCGCGGTATTGCCCTGCCTTCCTTCACTTGAGTACCGGGCCTCAGCTCTTTGCCCTTTGCGTCGGCATCAGGAGTTTCGGAACGCAAAAGGGCCAAGGGCAGACGCTCCGCCTTGTGCACAGCGAACTGCCGCCTCGGGTCCAGGGAACGAGACCTCTGCGCCTCGGGGCTCGCCGTGGTTGTGGGAGCGGAGCACTTTGCCTCGGAAGCCACCAGGGTTTCCGGTCGGTCCTTTGAGGACTTCCGACGCTCCGACCGCTCTGGAAGGCTCACCGAACACTTTGGCTCCGAAGCCAAGTCAGGTCGATCCTTCGAGGCCGGCGGCGCCCGAACGGAAGACTTCGAGGATGGCCTTGGCCCGGGCGGCCCGGGCGGCCCGCTTTCTGGCTTCCGTTTGCCTCCCTTGGACACGGGTCTCGGCTCCACGGGTCTCACAGAACGCCGCTCTGCCCGCTCCGGCGGCCGCTCCTTGCACTCCTTGGCATCCTGCCACACCCCATGCCAGCCGCAAGCTCCACGGCATGGCCGCTCACGCGCTGCCACGTCCTCGAGGCTCAAGCCCACGCCGTTCGGGAGGATGTCTTTCAGCCTGGTGGTCCTGCCTGTCCGTGGTCGGATAGTCTGACCCAGCAACGCTCGTAAACTGGCCTGGCGAGTGTTCGGCACTCGGCTGTGGCAGTTGTGGCCGTACAAGTCCAAGATGCTGATGCAAACAGCCTCACCAACCTGACCCCAGGAGCTCTGAGTGAAAGGTACCGGCTCCTGCACGGCAGACAATTCCAAAACAGTCTTTCCCTCTGTTGCGGAAACGTCTGAACAGTCATGTCGCTGATGCTATCTATGGTCTGTACAGCCTCTTGTTCCTGCTTGACTTGGCAAACAAAGGCGACGTGGCGGGGTCCTCGCTGGTCGTGCTGCAGCTGGGAGACTCTTCCAGCCTCACGCGACAGCCGAGCAGATGAGTCGGTGCCCTGTACGATAATGATTCTTCAAAGTTGAACATGTTGCATTTAGAGCAGAAACACCAGCAACACCTCAGAAGAAGTCTCAAAGAACAGATCGGATGCCAAGAAACCACCTGGCGCCCCTGAGAGGCAACATCGGCCTGGTAAACCGGCCAGTGTTGTAATTACATTCCAGCGTGTAAGCGTTGCAAACCTTGCAATCTCGGTAGACCGCCACTCGTCCCGAGCCCTCCTTGGACATGCCATCCTTCCCTTCCCTCTCTGCGTCGTCCGCCTCGCCAAAGTCGCAGAGTTCCAGATCGAAGTAGGGTGAGTTGATTTGGCAGAGCCGGGCGAAACCAGCATTCCAGCCCTGCCCAGGGCCCACGAGACGGTTGGCCAGCAGGAAGCATCCCCGCTTAGAGGCGTGACCATGCAAGTCCAGGTAGACCAACAATCGGTTCTGCCTGGCCCAGTGGCTCAGGATGCGCTTCGTGGCCCAAATGCCCTCGTGCTCCTTTGGAGTGGGCTTGTCATAGTGACGGTTCAAATTGAGGCCCAGACTGTTCGTTCTGTAGTGGCCAGATGCAACTCCGTCCGGATTCAGAATCGGGACCAGTTTGAACACAAAACGGTCCCGCAGCTTCGCAGCCCGCGGGTCGTCCGACAGGAGAAAGCGCAGCGCCCCCAGGAAGACAAACTGCCCTGGGGTCTCACCAGGGTGGACGCGGGCAGACAGGAAGACGATTGGCCGGTCCGGGAACTTCAAGGGCAAGCCGCTCTGAGGGCACGGAAGGTCCGGGGGAGGCACGTCGACCTCGTCCATCATGTCCATCCCAGGCCTGCATGCTTCAGCGATGAATGCAAATCATCAACACGGTTTGACGATGGATCAAGCACAATATTACAAAACAATTTATAAGGCGTCCATGCCCCTGAAAGTCGATCTAGGCATCAAGCCGTCGAAGCTGGCGAAGACACCTACGGAACCTATCACCTCGATCCGACCTCATCCTCTTCTTCTTCAAATCCACCCCACCCATCCCCATGAGTGTTCCAAGCCCACGGCACCCAGGCAAGGCCGTCACAGTGAGGAGGTCCACTCGACGACCCTGCAGAGATCTGTGGAGGAGCTGCCTTGCAAAGCATTCTAATGTGCAGTTCGTTTGTTACAAGCATTACACAACAGCAGCGCAACAATCAAAGATAGCATGTTGCAGGGCAATACCTACTCCAAGGAACACGTTGTGAGGAACAGGGTCCCGGCACCCAAAGACAGTTTTCGATCTCTCACCCGGCCAAACCCACACCCCGCCACGATCATAGCGACAACAGTGAGAAGAATCAAACTTGAACCTAGCTGCTGGCAGAACTAGCTGGTAGGGCCGCTACGGTAGTGCAGGGTGTGCATCCGAGTTTTCGTGCATAGCTTCCCAACTGAATCCCCCAACCGAACCTTGCACTTTTCACATGATCATCAACGTTTATATGTTGAGTTTCAGCACATTTCGGAGATCGAGAGCAGGGAACGACTTGAAATGCAAAACGTGACACGCAATGACAAACTGTCACACTGTCTAAAACTGATCGCAACCTACAACAATGTCGTTTTGTACTCGGACAAGCAGCCGCCGCAAATAGATTCCAGAGCCTGCCCGCGGCTGGTAGGTCCTCGGTGCCGCGGCGATGCTTCTCATCAGAAACAGTTCGTATGTAAACATACTACATGACGAAATAAACCCAAAACCATAGTCCAACATGTAAGGCCCCGAGCCGGTGTTCTATCAGTCAGAGTCAGATTCAACAGCATCTGAGAACGATGGCATGTATGCCAGCAACCTTCATCTGCTCAATTCACCCAGGGGAGCAGCTCATGCGATCCGTTCTGACAAGAGATTTAATTACCTGTAATTTCCAAGCCCTTCTTGACATGTATAGTGTTCGGAAGTGCTTGATGTGTTTCTGTGATGATACTACTTCTGCTTCGCCAGACGCGATTGAACGTCAAGATTCTCTGCAAGAGATCGCGAGAGGTTCCGAAGCGGCCGGAAGGGATCCGTGAAAGTCTCCGCGAAGCTTTCCTCCAGCTCTTCCAGGAGCCCCTGGCAGTCGAGATAGCCTTTGCAAGCGCACGTGATGCTAATGATTTGTAGGTGCGACACACTCGCGCATGAAAGTACGCAGCATCTAGCATGCAACAACTTGCCGATTGTTTGTTGAGGGGGAGTTCTAGAAGTCTAGCGGTTGATCATGAACACATGAGAAGCACTTTGAACTCTCTGCCTACACACTTCCGAATGCGGAAGCTACATGTGATGCTCCAGTCCAAGACCAAGGAAAGGAAGCGGTTTTCACATGCACCACATGCAAATACAAGCATGTACTGTAATAGTAATTATTCACGCATGCACTTTTGCTCGCCTCTCATTTGCAGATGTCTGCACGCTCCCCGCTCAGATTTCAACACAAATTCACGGTGACAAACTCGTTTCACCCAGCATCACATGCACGAGTATGGGATGCCTGGGTGCGTGTGCGTGTGTGTGTGTGTGTGTGTGTGTGTGTGTGTGTGTGTGTGTGTGTGTGTGTGTGTGTGTGTGTGTGTGTGTGTGTGTGTGTGTGTGTGTGTGTGTGTGTGTGTGTGTGTGTGTGTGTGTGTGTGTGTGTGCGTGTGTCAAGCCTGTGGCGGACACCTGATCCTGCCAACGGGTCACTGTACGGCGCACAGAAGGCAAAGTACGTAGTGCCCGCGCCACGGCGAGAGTGGTGGTGCCAGCGGATAGAGAATCCGTCGGCCTGCTTAAAGGCATGTATTGAGATAGCTTTTGCCATTGCCTGTTTCTACTACTCGGTACGTTGCAAGGCCTGTGATCTGTGTGCTCGTGCGTCGCCTATACAGGCCAGCCAGTTGCCCAAACCTCTCCGAGTCAAGGATCCCAAGAACCCAAACTCCGGGTTTCGGCGGGTTGCCTTGCACGCTTGAAAAGTACCATATATTATATATTACATACTATGTATTACATATACAGTGAATATTACATTATATATATATATATATATATTATGTATACAGATAGATTTGATAGGATGCCTCGAACCCGGCCCTCTGGAGCCTGCTTCGCATGGGAAAACGCCAGCAGCGATGAATCCTGTAGTCGCTTCCAGGTGCCACCGGGAGCTTTGCACCAGGGCCGGTAGCCCTCATTGTAGAGCTTGCCTGATTCTTGGCTTCGAAACTTAGTCACGGAGGAAACTGGACTAAACAAACGTAGGATGACTCCATGCGACGATGCCAAGTCCCAGTGTGATGGTTGGAACAGAGCTAAGCCGTGCTCATGAATGTTCACTTTGCTAGAATCCTCACGTTCGACCCTTAACTCCCTTAAGCAAGAGGCCTGACAAAGCCACCTCAAGCCGAGAAATGGAAAGAAAAGATACCACACTTGCAAACCTTGCTGCTCTGGTTGTTCATGTTCCGTACATTCCTGAGTTCAGCTGCAACCGGCAGCTATCTCTCGCAGTTTTTTGTGCACATGAGGCGACGTAGCTAAAAAAGGCTGAAATCTGATAAATGCACTCCGGCGGCAGGAACATCGAGATCTCGCCATCCGCGACCTGTGGAAGCGTCGTCGCAGCTCTCTCCTGAGCCTTGCTTGCCTCGGACATATGGAAGGCTCCATCCGTCTCCTGGGTCTCGGTGGGATCTTCGCCGGCAGCTGAATCGCTGGAGGGTGTCCTGAGACGTGCAGACGGCTGAAACAGGTATGTTCCATTCCCTCGTCACCCTTGCTGCTATTTTCCACCGAAACATCGAACACTGCTTGCCTCCTAATGGACAGGGCCGGAGCCAGCAAACAAAGTCAAAAACAGCACGGCCACGGTCAGAAAACAACCCGGACACAAGTCACAAACACCACAGACACGGTCCGAAACACTCACGGCCACTATCGGAGGCACCCACGCCCGAAATTGCAAAGTTGAAGAGGTTGCCACTTGCCCCTCGAAATGTAGGCTGCCCAATGAGCGGGGCGTGTTGAAGACATGAACCGGAATTGCCAAATGACGGGGCGAGGGGGCGTGTTTAAGACATATGATGAACCGCAATCGCCAAATGAGGGGGGGGTGTTTAACACATACGATGGTTCAGAAATCTTGAAATCAGGGGGCCTGTTCAGGATATGTGATGAATCAATCGGCCCGGAACTTATTTAAGATATAGGAGGATAGGAGGAACCGGAATCGCCAAATGAGGGGGCGTGCTTAAGATCTATGATGAATCGGAATCGCCAAATGGGGGGGGGGGGGGCATGTTTAAAATATAAGCCAATTCGAATGAAGCCTGCGAGTCATCTCATTTGCCGTGTCTAAGGCTTGCTTTTGACCTCCGGCGGCGTTGCTTCTGACTCGAGGCCTCTCTGTTTCTGAAAGTAGGCTGTGTGTTTTCTGACTCCCTTTGCTGAATGTTGGCGATTTGCTGAATCCGGCTACTCCGTCCTCCTAATGGGTACCGGCAGCACTGCCACGGCAGCAGCAGCAGCAGCAGCCGCAGCGGCAGCGGCAGCGGCACCAGCAACAGCAACAGCAACAGCAACAGCAACAACAACAACAACAACAACAACAACAACAACAACAGCACCCTCGGCGGCAGCAGCAACGGGATCAACAGCACGGTGACGGTTGTGCCGATGGTAGTCATGCTATATATAGTTAGGTGACAACCCTGACAGATATTATAGCGCGTTATAGTATACAATCGCGGTCGGGAGGGCTTTCCCGGTCGCACCAAGCGTCAGGTCCCGGCTTCGGGCCTCCGGCGAAAGTCTTTGGGAAGCCTCCGAAGGGAGACGCTGGGCTGCAGCTAGCTCGACGGGCCTTGGCTTTTGAAAGGGGTTTCGAGGCTCACACTCGCACAAGGCAGGCAAGGCTCCACATAGGGGTTTAGGGTTAAGGGAGCTTCGGGGCCCTGCACAGGAAGGGCAAGGGTTTTTCGGAGATTCTTTTCGTTGAGTTCGCATGACCCAAGAGAAAGGACTCATGAAGACTTCGAGGGGCTCTGCCACGGAGATTCCGAAATAAAACCACGTCTTGTATCCTTGGCTGCTTCTGAGCAGCGCTCTCACTGCAAAAAAACGCTTGACACCTTGACACTTACAGATTGGCAGGTCCTTCTTCGCACGTTGGGGGCATGAGGCAACACTCGTATTCCTTTGTAGTTGGCCCTAGCGTCGTCAACTACAGGTTGTTGGCATGGGGCATACGTGTGCATGCAGAATCGACAAACATGCATGCCTTGCATCCATTCTCGTGGTCGGTGCCTGCGCAGTCCGGCGCAACATCTATCACGTACTCCAGCTGTGATGCTGTCGGCTGACAGTTCAGCGAAACAAACGGCGCGTCTTCCAACAGTTCCACATGGCCCATGTTGCCTCGGCCACCATCCGAACACATGTTCGACCCTTCTCTCGGTAGGACTGAGGGAAACACAACGTTGCAAGGGTTTATCGAAACTAGTGGCCGCTGTCGAAGTCTGATGTGAACACCATCGGCCCAACCACGACGCGCTGACGCTGCCTCAGTCGGCATGTGCTTTCCACCTTGCTGTCCACGCCAGCACGCGGTGCCCATGGCAAATCAAGGGAGACCATCGGCCCATCCGCAGCGAAACGGGAAGGTGAGGTGAGTCTCATCTCTTCTTGGGCTCAGGTTCAAACAATCTCTGCAAAGTTACATGCCCTCCTCCCTGGAAACTCATGGCAGGGACCTGAGCAGGAGCCGATAGGGCAGCCAATGAACAGAGAAGCAAGCATGTCACCACATGCAGCTCCGTCCCGCGAAAGTAAAAGCCTCCTGCTTTTGAGTACCAGAATACACTATCATTAGTTTGACGACGACATTATATGCGAGATTCAACCTGCGAAATTCTGCTGCTCAAAGACGGAGTGTACTGGGGCGCAGGCTTCTTCTGCAACGCCGCTAGAGAATCCTTCAGCATGTTGTTCGTGTTGGTGAGTGCCTGCCGTTGCAAAGATCCCCTCGCGCCAAGTTTGGCCAGACAGAACGCAGGGCTCCTTGCAGGAGCCGGGTGACAACTGAAGGGTGACAGCTGAAGCCCGCAGCACACGGACACACACGTGCATAGGATTACACAGGATAAACGTGGACATAAACATAGGATATCTTAGCATAACAGAGCATATCAAAACCTAAGCCCTAAGAAGGCTGGCAGCAAGAGAGATGCAGAAGAACACAGCGCGACACGATGCAACTTACAGCACCAACCACTACTAGTCAGATGACCATACAAACAGACACTCTCTCACACACATACAACCAGATATTCGTGTGCTTATGAACGATCAAGTGGGCGCAGCAGTACCAGTCAAGTTCTCACCGGGCTCCGGCCTGGCTTTCATGCTGCGCTCGCTTGAGATCGGCACGCAGCTGTGCCACCTCCGATAGTCAGGCTCTACTACCGCAGAACCTAACCTGAGGGAGGTATATAACAGGCTCGATTTCTACTAGAAGCTGACAAACCGTTTTGCACCTGGGTCGGGTGGAGCTGGCTCTCAACAACCTCAGTGAAGAAATCACGGAAACAAAGCTGGACAGCTTCTGGGCTGGGCCGGGCCATCTTTCCACAAGGCCCCGACCTCCCGCAGGTCGTTCTGCAACTTCTGAACTTGCTCGCGGTGATCCTACGCTTGGAGGTGTTCGTAGGCTCTCACAGTCTCTGCCACTCGGACTCTGCAAAATTAGGTTCATGGTGCAGAATAAAGTGGTCGGAGTGAAAGTATCAACGGCTTACGATTGGATCCAATTTCCTTAGTAAACATTGCCGGTGCTTTCGCTCGGACAGCCACACTCCCGACATGCAAGCTCATCCAATGCATCCCACTGACACCCCAATACTGTGGTACACAGATCAATGCTCTGATTTCTCGGGTTCACCTGAAGCAGGCAAGCCGCGAACCATGGATCAGCTGCAAGAACAGCACCGCATGTTGACTTTGCTGGCCTTCTACAGTACGAATGTGCGGTGATTCTGTCTGCCAAGCCATACGTGTCGCTCCTCTGCCTGCTTCGCCCAGTCGGCCTTCAATCGAGCATCTCTTCCGCGAAGACTAAACAATTCACAAGATGATATGCAAAAAGGAAACTTACATAGTTTAAACAATGCCTCGTGCTCGGCCAATTTCTCCTCGTACTCCTGCAAGGCCGGTTCGGGAAGGTCTTGGGCTGGGACTGGCACTCCTGGGCACTACCTGCTGCCGATGCTACCGCGGCTGCTACTATTTCTTACTACTATCAGATTATCACCACCACCACCCCCACCACTGCCACCAATACCCCTACACTACTGAGACTACTGCCAGGACCACCACCAGTGCTGCTGCTACTACTACGGATTCTTCTTCTGATGCTACTACTTCGGTTACCACGACTATTTCTACCGTTACTGCTACTGCTACTGCCGCTGCTACTACTACGACTACTACCACTGCTGCTGCTGTTACTACTATGACGACGACTAGTACTTCTACTACTACGACTACGACTACTCCTCCTCCTACTGCTACTGCTACTGCTACTGCCACTACTACTCTACTACCACTGCTACTTCTTCCGCTCTTCCTCTTTCTCCTCCTCCACTGCCATTACCAACTGCTACTGCTACGACTACGACTACCACAACGACGACCACAACTACCAGCACCAAGAGCAGCAGACCCGCCCCCAAGCACCAGCAGAAGCAGGAGACATGCTTGCTATTGTTGTCGTTAGCGGTGTTGTGGTAGCTGCTGCAGGTGTCCTGGTTGTTATGATTGCTTCAAGCACGGGTCGCCGATGTCCTCTGTACAACAGTGAGAAATTCAGAACAGACCTGCATCTTAGGTGTCGTGCCGACCTCCTGCACTGCACGGAGCTGCTTGATCGTCTGCTCCAACTCACCTGGACATATCTACCGACTGGTGATAGGTTTTTGTTGGTCTTTCTTGCAAGAACAACTCAAATCGCGTCCATGGGAGTCCATGTGCATGGTCGAGGCTCCGGATAGCAAAGACACGTGATCTGAGGCCGCACACATCGGCAAATCTCGTAGTCTTCCCGGAGACTCACGTATGCCGGAGCCTCCGAGGCTACTGACTTGGTGGTTTCTCTGCGCTTTGAAGCGACATGTCGCATACCAGACCCACTCAATACATGATACGGGACCTCTCTTCGCTGTAGCATGGGACTACACTGACAACGCTCGACATCATCAGACCTTTGGCCCTCGGTGATCAGACTTACGGCCTGGCGCAAGTTGTCCATGAAGTTCGACTGGAGTTCGACCTGAGACAGACCGATGTGCCATGCATGAAGAGCTCAGAAACGTAGCCGCTCCAGGAAACCCTCGAAGTGTGAGAAAACATGCAGAATCATCGCAGAAATTAGTCACTAATTAGTCATGCTGTGGCTTGTTTGTGTGCATATTCAGTTTTCGCCACCAGGGCCCCTGATGAGGCCGAAAGCAAACTGGCACGAACCCAAGAACCCAAAACAACGGCACTACGGACTGCAGAAACAGATGAAGTGAAGGAGGCATTTAACCATACCCTTACGGAGCCGTTGGATTCAGTCGCGGTGGCCGTGGTCTTAGTCATAGTGGCGGTAGAAGTTCTTGTTCTTCTCGTTGTCGTTGTCGTAGCAGTAGTATTGCATTACGGTCGTCGCACGGATCCAAAGTGCTTGACGAGTGGGCAAGAGCCTCGACTACTACTACTGCTGCTGCTACTACTACTGCTACTACTACTACTACTACTGCCACTACCACTACCACTACCACTACCACTACTACTACTACTACTACTACTACTACTACTACTACTACTGCTTCTACTGCTACGCCTACGGCTGCTACTACTTCTACGGCAACGGCTACTGCTACTACTGCTACTACTGCTTTTTGCTGCTGCTGCTGTTGTTTATAACAGAACATCTACAACAGCAACGACCACAACAACAGCAGCAACCACCACCGCCACCGCCGTCACCACCACCAACACCAACCATAACAGCAACAGCAACAACAACAACAAACACCGCACCGGCAACGGCAAGGCAATGGCGACAGCAACAGCAACAACAGCAACAGCAGGCGTAAGTCAAAGCTGCACAGAATGGCAGCAATGAACCATGACGAAGGAAGAAGCCACATTACATTTTGAGCAGCATGACCACCACGGTCAACATCATCAGCACCACCACCACCACCACCACCACCACCACCACCACCACCACCACCAAATTTTACAACATAACATGTGGCCCTGCACCGAGTATCCGGCGATGTTCTTCTCGGCACGTTCGGCCCGGTCCTTCATGGATTGGACCTCAGAAGCACAGGCCGTCTAGGGGTCGAAGCGCTTGAAAACAGGGTTGCAGGATCTCTTATGCTGAAGCTGTACGGCAAAAGTGATCATGACGACATGTCTTGCTAACCTTGAAGATCAGAAGAGCACGAGGTCGCAGAAGCATGGCAATCAATCCCCATGTTTCGGACGTACCACGTGCATGATGCGTCGAACATCGGAGCATCGAGCTTTGCAGCCATGCCCGAAGCTTGATGTGGAGACACGGTTTTTGTCAGCACAAACAGTCTGAGCCATGGTTTACAGTGTGGCTTTCGGCCCTATGAACCAAAACCTGCGTTGTCCTGCCCTCTCTGCCAGACACATTGGGCGCACGACCTTTGCATCTGCAGCATCCTGCAGGAAGGTGTGAAGCCCTGGTTTTGTTTTCGTTCCTTGGGCTCAGAGGTCGTAGTTTGGGATTGCAGACTGCATATGCCAGGTGGCAGAAACTCGAATGAGGAGATCCTCTCACCATAAGAAACATACAGCATCTGCACGGCCGTGCGTAGTTGTCCCCCACATGTTTCGAGGGGCTTCGGTAAGGTCAAGCATGTTTTGTTGAGCATAACCACACTTCAACCTTGATTCACTCACCCGTCTGCCTTCTCTTTTTGTCTGGCTCCTTCCAACCTGAGCACTGCTATCGTTCCGCAGCACACGTGCCGTAAATTTAACCAGGCCAGTCGTACTGATGTTGATATTGAACGTCCCGCTGGTGCTATGCACATGCACTGTACTTCTGCGCCTGGCAGCTAGCAACAATCCCCAAGCTCCACAACCAATTCTCTCCAACGCATCGAGAAAGCTCGATACTGAAACTCAACAACTAGAGCCCTTGGAGGAGAAGACTTAGCCCTGCGAGAACAGAATGAAACAATCAGAGCCAACAGTCGCCAACAGTTTCTTGCTGGGAATACCAGTACTCTGGAAACCTTCTCTTTAGAGTTCGTTTCAATTTTTTTATATAAGTAAAAAGGTACGTAGGCTATTTGGGGTTAAAGTAGAAATTGGCAAGTAAGGCTCCTCGTCGGCAATATCATCCCACCAGCACCGAAAGCTGTTAAGAAAGCCCGCATCCGAGCCAGACAGGCCCCTGGACACCAAAGCCACCGGTCCTTCCTAATGCGATTGCCGACAAGGCCCAAAACCCTAGTGCTCTCTGAAACGAGGCCACTTCAACTATGCAGACAATATGCACAGGAGGCAATATCTGCGTACATCTTGTGAGATATTTGCTGATGTACCTATGT